AACCATCCCAAAATAAAAATGAAGGCGCTTTTTGGGACCATATAAGATTTTTGAATGATCCATTCTGTCCTCAAGAATGAATGATAACATACTTTCATAGCCAAAAATCATGATGGCTACCTGTCAAGTGATTTTGCTTTTCTGACTAGTCTCAAAATTGAAAGGGCACTACTAGTTACAATGGGGAACATAAGTATGTAATTTTAAGAAAATTCCATCCAATTCTCAAGAAATAGCTATAACAAACTTTCATTGTCAAATCTAAGATGGCTGCATTAAAGCCATTTTGTTACTTTTAATAAGTCCCAAAATCAGATGAGCAGTTAGGGATCAAAGATCCATCCAGTACTTCTAAAGAAACTGATGACGACAGGCTAACAACCATGAAACCCGCTAAAACACTATAGAAAAGAAAAAGGAAGTTAGATCACACTTATAAATGGTTCCTTGATTAAAACAAATCAGAAATCATTATTAGTTACAAGATAAAAACTAATGAGTTTGAGTAGAACCATTAACCAACACCTGGCATTATCTATATGTATCATGATGTAGGTATCGTTCAGCAGGAAAGGTAGTCTGAAATAAGTCCAAAGTTGTATAGGATATTTCAAGGCTGAATGACAACATTAACAGTGTGAGTAACGCACCTCAAAAACATGTTCATTTTGACTTATAATAACACAATCAGCAAATATCTGTCTTTTATGCCAAAATTTCAAGCCAAAAATCTAAAAGTTACTGAAATACTATTTAACTTATTCATACTCATATTCTTACTTCAAAATCAAACATTTCTGAACACATTTATCATATTGCACTTTAAACACCTGTAAATTAACGACTGTATTTTTTTCAAAGAAGAATTCATTAAGATAAATAAAATATTACCTTTCAATTTTTGCTAACTGCTACTATCTTACATTTACATACAATATATTTTCATGAATCTATAATTCAATTTTTTTTTAATTCTCACTCTTTTGAATTATACCACTACATATATCCTTAAACTATAGTTTCAATTCTATTCCAAATTTCTATATGATAATCTAGAAGAAATTAAAAGCAAACCTTCCCTATTGGAATAGTAACCTAAATGGATCCAATAATTACCAGCTGACAACCTACATCACAATAAAAAGCTAACTACACATCTAATAATCAGTTAGGCTATTATTCTTATTACTGAGCTCAGATTCCATGCATGTAAGCACAGGTACTGGTAACAATGTAACTTTTCTATAGATGTGATGTACTGTTTAACAGTTAACCCATATGGAAAATAAACTGACCAGTACCTGTGCTTATAAGTACAACTGCCAGGAATATAAGTTATATAGTGTATATATATATATGCTTAACAGCTACAAGTATGCAATACATTGAACATACACAAACAAAATAACAAGTTGCAAGCACTCCATGAAGAAACAGCAGTTGCTTAAAGGAATGTAGATAAGGGTGAAGTAAACATACAGGAATTCAGTCAGAACCTTTTCTGCATTTTTTCTGAAGTATATGATAATCAAGTAATTGAACAAGGCTTTGTGTAAAATGTGCCATGGTCCTTAATATAGGTCTAATATTTATGGAAAGATTAACATCTTCAATAAAGCTTAACATTTCCATATTTGTTAAAAGACACTGTTATGACAGAGTTGTCTCCCTTGTTATGACAAATTGCTATGCAATCGTAATGCATTGAAAAATATTCAATGTGTACATGAATGGTCTTAGTTAGAAGATTAATGTATATCAATTTAAGTAGATATAAGTTATTTCCTACACAAGAAGGTACCCATTACAACATATACCAGTACATATAGATTGTAGTATACAAATAGCTACAGAAAATATCAACAATCATAAATAACATTTCAGATCTATTAGTTGAGAAATATCTCATCATATCAAAAATCAGGACATTACCTTCTAACAGGTGTAAACATGGAAAATTTATCAATCTCATTTTGTTTTTGGTGTAACTAGTCTTTCAGGATGAAATATAAAAAAAAATTATAAAGTAATATCAACCAGTTTTAAAAGTTGGACACTTATAAAAGAGAATTGAAGTCATAAGATTCTGCTCACTGATACATAGTGTTACGTTAGCAGAGATAGTTTTTCTAATGATATCTATAATCAACATTTACAGGAAACAGATACATCATGATTTCTGTGAATTCCTTTCTTTCAGTACCACATGTAGAATGTAGTGATGTCACTAAGAAATAGCTGGCTAAATATTAACTTGAAGTAACATTCTATGTATCTGCTCAAAACAATTACTGGTTTAGAGTGTATAAATATGAGGCAACATTGTCCATGAAGATTAAGTGTGAATCCTTACTTGTGGCACAACATAAGCCTATAACTAGAAGCTATAGCAAGAACAGTCTAGGAATGATAATGTAATGAGACAAAATTGTTACAGTGACAATATCAAACAAATACATATAATGATTGATATCATTTTAACCAGTTGTAGAGCCAACATCAATTTGTCATGAATTCACATAAAATATAAGTCATGATCAATAACAGTATATCCTATTTGTAATCAGTCATTACATATAGCAACATATATACAACAAAATCTGTAACTTTGACATTCTAACAAAGACTGTAGTCATAGAAACAGACTGTAAGTCAAGTCTAATAGCCATACATACACTGCACATCATACAAAACAAGACAATTCAGTGAATTATAGTCCACTATGAATTTGTAATTATGCACCAAGAATGCACTACCTCACCCAAATGAATCCATACCCAAAGTGTAAAGTTCAAGTGACAAGTTCTGTAAGAGATAGAGCCTGGACAAACTTTTTTCTTTAATGTAGTTCAAAGGTCAAAATATCAGTCAAAGTGACCTTTGCTTGATACATGACATGCCTTACCAAGGTGAACACTTACCCCAAATTTGGAGTTTCGGTGATAAGAAGTGTTGGAGAAATAGCCCAGAAAAGACAGTAGAAAGACACAATGTAAAAAATTATCTCCCCTCCACCTCCCCATTGGTTTCTGATGGGGACAAAAAAAAATTGATATATATGTAGACTCAGGACTACTATATTAATCATATACACACATACAGACTATCAGTCATACCTATAGACTTAAGACTACAGGTATTAGCCATTTACACACATACAGTCTAATAGCCATACACAGACACAAAACTACTAGTATTAGCCTCATAGGTATAAACACATACTGTCAGTCGTACATACAGACTCAAGAGCACTATTTTTGGCCTTATACACACTTACAGATTAATAGCCATACATATAGACTCAAGGCTACTAGTATTAGCCATATACACACATACAGACTATCAGCCATTTAAGTCTATTAGTCTTACATATATAGACTATTTGCCATATAACATATCGTCTATTAGTTGTATATACACAACAGAAATCAATAAACAGACTAAGAGTTATCCTACATGTATACACATGACTTACCATACATATAAATCATAAATAATGCACATGGACAACTTGCCAAAAATACTTTGACAGTCACTTACAGGCTAGTAGTCATAGTTTATCAGTTGTACACATAGAATAAACTATTATACAAAGTGGCAGTTTACTTTGTCTTAACCAAATAAACATATAAACCATACAGACTGACCATTAATATTGCCAAACACATTGTGGCACAGATTTCTATTCCAGCATTAGTACTGTAAATTGCTTCACGTTCACAATTATTTAACAATTTTTCAAATACAATTGACATAGAAGATGGAGGACCAACTTCAAATAGTGATAGCTTATTCATATAAAGATCACAATTGATGACATCATATGATTGATAAATCTTTAAGAATTTTGAAAGATGTGTTGCTTGTAGCAATGGTCAACAAGACAATGGAATTAAGATCAACTCTTCAAACAGAACATACTTAATTTTCTGGTGGTTTTAAAGTAATTTTCAGTAATATCTAAATCTCCAATATATCAAGAATTTCATTATGTCAAATTCCATATTCAATCTTACCACATTACAGTTTAATTTTACATTACAAATGTCATATGGCAAAATAAATAGTCATCTAAGTGAGGACAAACAATCTGTGTAGATAATTAATCACATTCACCAATGATGTTTCCTAAAGATTTTTTCTCAATGTATCTTTCTAATGACTGACTTTTGAAAAAGAAGCAAAAGTTGAAGGGCTACAAAAATACTTCAAGAAAAAATTGTGTTAGATTTACTTTTAAATCAAAAGCCAAACAAGAGATCAGAAATTAATATAATTGTATAATTATTATAATGTTTTACATTGTTTGTCTTTGTAACATTATAAAATAGAGACTAGAATACAAATCTCCTGTCAAATGTAACACAGTGACTTAGTGAAACTTAACCAGTGAGAAATACATCTAATACAGTTACCATATACTGTTTACATTTTAAGAAGACAGAAGTCGAGGTATATGAATGCAGACTCTATAATAATCTGAGCAGTAACAAAAAAATTGTACTAACTATTACATAAAATCAATCACCAAACATTTACTTCAAAAGGAGCTCGTTTTGCCAAAAACTTCAAGGAGACTGTTGTGATGATGTGATTATCTAACCATTCATTTCATTTACATTTTTTGTATTTAGTTAGAACAATAAAGTCAAATTGATAAATAATGATTTCACATGAACTAATAAATCAATAGTATTTACTGTTTCATTAGTAACACACTAAAGATATGACTGAATGGCTTCTTTAAGAAAAGCCTAATGCAGTATGTGCTGTTGTGGATTGATGAAGACAAAAAAGCCTAATGCAGTGAGTATATACTGCTGCAGACTGATGATGACAAAAAGGTCAATACAGTATGTGTTGCTACAGACTGACTAAATCAAAAAGCCTAATGCAGTGAGTATGTGCTGCTGCAGACTGACTAAATCAAAAAGCCTAATGCAGTGAGCATGTGCTGCTGCAGACTGACTAAATCAAAAAGCCTAATGCAGTGAGTATGTGCTGCTGCAGACTGACTATATCAAAAAGCCTAATGCAGTGAGTATGTGCTGCTGCGGACTGGCTAAGTGAAAAAGCCTAATGCAGTGAGTATGTGTTGTTGTGGACTGATAGACAAAAAGCCTAATGTAGTGAGTATGTGTTGTTGTGGACTGATAGAAAAAAAGCTTTATGCAGTGAGTATGCGTTGCTGTAGATTGATGAAGACAAAAAGCTTAATGCAGTGAGTATGCGTTGCTGCGGACTGACTAAGTCAAAAAGCCTAATGCAGTGAGTATGTGCTGCTGCGGATTGATGAAGACAAAAATGGATTAGGATCAGGTTCTTCTTTCATCACCGTTACCTTCATCCATTCTTTGGTTTTGTTAGATTTCCTTATAGCATCCACAACAGTCTGTACATACAATGAGTCTTCAAAATTTGCTGCCTGTAATACAGGGTCCTGACAGTACCTCTGTCGTTCTTCTTCTTTTTCAAATGCATCTTTAACTGCTTCAATCATTCTAATGATGCCCTTTAGATATGGTGTTGCAATCTCTGCTCTGGTTTTATCTGAAACTCCATGCCTCTCCTCCTCCTTGAAATTGATAGGATCAAAGTGTATAAGTCTCTCTTTCTTTTCCGAGTGTTTCTGACCGTATAAGTCAGCACCCTTAGCAATCAAACGACCTTTTGTTCCAACCATGAGTATTTCCTGGAGAAACATGCCAGGTATATGACTGTTGATGGTAACAGTAGCACAGGATCCTCTGTCAAGCTCCATTTGAAAAGAGCAGAAATCATCACTTGTTATCTCTCTGATACCTTTGATTTTTTCGGTTTGTTTTGTATAAGTTTTCAACATTCCATGAACCTGTGTAGCTTTTTGACCAGTCAGAAAAGAAATAACATCAATTATATTACTGCCTATTGTATTAAGAACTCCACCTCCCATCATTTCATCACACATCCAGTCAAACTTTTCTTTAGGACTAGCTTCAAAATGTATGTTTACTTCACAAATGGTCATGTCTCCAATAAAATTGTCTTCCATGAGCTGTTTCATCTTACAAATTGTTGGCAAGAAACGCAATCCAAATACAATGAATGACATTAATCTCGGATAATATCTGGAGGCGTTGACCATCCGTAAAGCGTCTACCTGAGATGGTCCTGCGGGTGCCCCACACAGAACGTGTTTGCCTATTCCCAATGCCTTTACAGCAATTGGAGATTGAAGGTGAGGAGGACAGCTTATAACCAGTACATCCACGTCTCTGTTCAGCAAGACTTCGTCAACTCTATTTGTACTGAACGGTATGTTTAATTCTTTTGCAAGTTCGTCTGCTTCCTCTTTCGTTCGGCCCCACAGTGCGGCAACATGAAACCCGCATGATTTCAACAGTGGGACATAGGACCGTATTGATGTAGTGGTACCGATCACGCCAATACCAGGAAGCATTTTCCGCATTCTGCTTCATTTACTTGGACAATTCAACCATCAGCTCCAGTAATCAAATGCCCACCATATACGTATTGCAGAAATTATGATCCTTGGCCATGCACATGTGAGATTTTGTCTGATTTTCTGTAAGAAGGACTATCTTTCTTGGCCCTTCTTGACAGGTATTCAATACTAACGAAACGCTTCTACGGAATAAAGATAGAGTTACGTGCAATACAAACGTTTCGGAGATAGTGAAAAGCAAGTTTGGGTGTCGTAAACAGTCTTTTTTGTAGCTGCATCATTACAAGAAAATATTGTCGTACATTTGATCATACTACAATATAAAGAATCTTTAGCTGGTTATAAATAATTATGATGTGCTTATATATGCATATATTTATTTCCTATTATTTACGACAATCACATTTTTTCTTTTCCGGGTTCGTTGCACAACGTTAGAAAACGAAACTTCAGTGCTTTTTTTCGGGGGAAGTTGCCGACACCACAGGTATGAAGTGGTTATTTCAACAACTTTAAAGTGTACAGTGATTGTTATTGAATAACTATTACGTTAATAAGTAACCAGTTACTCAAATCACAGGAAGCAGGCGTGAATTAAAATGTAATGTGAAATATAGCTATTATACGGTACAACTACAACAATAGGAATAATATATCCGTGGCGCATCAGGTTCGAACCCTTCATATAAATACATATAAAACAATAATAAGAAAACCGAAATTGCTTCCTAGTGGCCTTTGATATTTTGGCAACTGCCATATTCCTTAAAAAGTGTCCAGAAAAGTTTGACATAGTAAGTGTATATAATGTTAAGTGTGTAAAGTAAATTTGCCACATGGTACTGGTACTTCTTGGGATTGCCAGCAAACAAAAAACGTGAATAAATGGCAATACATTGGAGTTGGAGTTATTTTTTGACAAAATGTTAAAAAAGAAATTAGGGTTGGTAGCAAAAAGATAGTGATGGTCAGGAATCACAGATCTTTTTTTTGTTAACCAATACAAGATGGTATATTTTACACAAAATAGGAGTAATTCATTTGTCAACTTTTTATAAAAATCACTAAATTCATCACCTCCATTGCCAGATTTGTATGTATATCAGAGTCCATGCTTATATTCTGACTTAAAACGGATCATGCTCACCTATGACATTTACACTTTGAAATTTAACTTTGATACATGTAACCAGGGATGTATAATACATTCCCTGATGTAACCTATATAAAAATTATGCAGTTACATAGAGAGTAACATTGGCTGTTGGTTCATGTTATTTATTGCAGAAAATGACTGAAACAATAAATGGTCGACTACACAAGGCCACATTTGCCATGAGCTGATTCTGGTTTCCAGAGGCCCAGTTTGGATGTGTCCCTGGTGTTGTTAAAACCCGAGTTGGATTCACTGGCGGTTCAACAAAGGATGCAACATATCGTAACATGTAATTGATTATTGTTTATCTTTCAATCTGTTAAAGGATGCACAATGCCAAATGAAGTCAGGAAACAAGATTTAAAGTTTTACAAAGAGCTTTATTGTGTAATTTGTGTTGTTTTTGGAAATTCAGAGTTGGTTTAAAACTCAAACAAATTCAACAAACTACATATTTTTGTTTGTGAAATTCAATGTGGGTATAAAACTCAAACAAATCCAACAAACTGCATATTTGATTGCCTTGAACAGCTGGTCATTGGAACATTTACATCATGGAATGATAACTTTAATAAACCCATTGATTGGTTAAAAAAGGTTTGAAATGCATGTTGCATAAAACATCTAGAAAAAGTATAAAAAAAAAAGAAAAAGAAAAAGTAATCCTTTAAAGATAAGAGCACATCTGATTTCTTTACCAGACTTTTATTTTAAGGCATAGGAAACTTCATCCCTTTCTGTAAATGAGATGTAAATCATCTTCTACACAGAAGGTTATGAAGGGTTCCAGTATGGCATGAAATGTACAATTGTATTATATGGGTGTAATGGCAATATTTGTTTCTTACATTGCGTGCATATATTAAAATGTTATTTCCTTTAACTAGATGTTTAAGCAACTTGAATGAAGCCGTGAAACAAGCAGTTCAGAATGATAAACACACTATCCTTCTGTAAATGTTTGAATTCTGGATGAAATTTTGCTCAATGGTAGGCAGTGTCTGTTTGAAATTATTATTACAATAGTCATTAGAAGTTTTTAGCCCACCATCATTAGATGCTGGGCTAATCAAATCACCTGACGTCTGTGAACCATGGTCTGTCCTTCCGTCCTTAAACAATTTTTGTTATTGTTATTTCTAGAGATTTTCTAATTGTGCCTGTTAGATTTTGGGACTGATCAGAAAAATAAAATGGCTAACAGGCTTAGTAAAGATTGTTATTGCCATTTCTTGAAAAGTATTGAATGGATCTCTTTCAAATTTCATATGTAATTTTTCTTTTGTCCCCTATTGTGTCCATTTAATTCAGCGACTGATCAGAAAAATAAAATGGCTTCCAGGTGACCATCTTGATTTGGCAGTTAAAGTTTATCATTGCTGATTCTGCATATTATTGTTCAAATTTCTTATCATTAATTATTGTGTTTTAGAGGTGACCACACTGAAACTGTGGCCTTGGACTTTGACCCTGAGAAGGTTAGCTATAGCGAGCTACTGGAGATGTTTTGGACCAATCACAGTCCTTGTACTAAAAGTAGAAACCAATACATGTCTGCAATCTTTTATCATGGTACAAAACAGAAAATTATGGCAGAGGAATCAAGAGACACACTCCAAAAAGAAATAGCAAGACCTATACAAACTAAAATCCTTCCAGCTAGTGTATTCTACAATGCTGAGAAGTAAGTAGCTCCTTGGTCTACATATGTTTGTGTGGTAGATGATATGTGTGTGGCGTGTATGTCATATTCTACAATGCTGAGAAGTAGCACCCTGGTATACACATATGTTTATGTGGTAAATGGTGTGATGGTGTAAATGTCATATATTACATTGCTGAGAAGTTATCAGCAACCTACTATGCACATATGTTTGTGTGGTAGATGATATGTGTGTGGTGTGTATGTCATAATCTACAATGCTGAGAAATAAGCAGCACCCTAGTATACACATATGTTTGTGTGGTAGATGATATGTGTGTGGTGTGTATGTCGTATTCTACACTGCTGAGAAGTAAGTAGCACCATAGTTTACACATGTGTTTGTGTGGTATATGATATGTGTGTGGTGTGTATGTCATATTCTACAATGCTGAGAAGTAGCACCCTGGTATACACATGTGTTTGTGTAGTAGATGATATGTGTGTGGCGTGTATGTTGTATTCTACAATGCTGAGAATTAAGTAGCACCCTGGCATACACATATGTTTATGCAAACCTCCTGTTTTTCAGTTATCACCAAAAGTACATGCTAAGACAACATGCTGAAGTTCTAGACAAACTGAATCTCTCTGATGAAGACATTTTGACATCTCATGTTGCTGCCAGACTCAATGGTTATCTGGGAGGTTTTGGCTCCTTAGAGCAATTTGATCAGGTGAGGATTTTGGATGAAATTTTGATTGATTTTGTATTGAGGAAACAAATATTTGATCTCTCCTCTCATGAGTTAATTCAAAATATGAAGGTGAAAAAGGTTTAAACAAATTTTAACAATGCAGAACATTTCTTTATCTGACAAGGATATACACTATATATTGAATCCATACTGTGTAGACTACCAAAACAGAGTATCTGAGAAGATACTAGACTTATAACAACATAACAATTGTTGTATTTTTATCCAACAACCTATCAGTATTGTTACATGACACAGAATTTTCAAGAAGCAGTTTGCTGGGTAACTTTCTTAATAACTCATATAAATTGATGAAAATTTGTCATTCAATATCCAAACTTGATTTGGATTTTAGTGAAAGGTTTTAATTACTCTAAAATTACAATTTCAGGAGTGCAACACATTTGGTCTATTGGAAAATCAGCTCTCATTTGTAAGGAAACAGATCCAAAAGAGACAAAAGAATTAAGATCTAGCTTGGTAAACCATGTACAATGTTACCATAAAAATAAGGAATACAGTGAGAGACCTACTAAATTCAAGTCTGTTGCCATCTCATCTTCATGGCTTTCAAGATTGCAAAGATAGTTCTAAACTTCTCCATGTTAGAAATGATCAACCCAGACCTCTCCATAATAGAAATGATTGTCCCAGACCTCGCCATGATGGAAATAATTGACCCAGACCTCTCCATTTTCGCGAGGAAATGTTCCAGATGTGCAGAGGGCAAATAGTGAGCATAACCCCTGGAGTCTCCGTGATGTGATGAAGAATGTGTCATACAACTTTTATGCTTTTTAATTTCTGCTTAGAATGATAATACCTTGAATCACCAGATAATGAATGTTTATAAACCAAAGGATGTATGGAAAATAGGTACGACATGCTCTATGTTTTGAGAAGTATGCTTTCTGTTAAATACTTAAATGTGAAATGCTTCTACCATGAAGTAGTTATGTGTACTCTTGCCAGGTCATGATGGTGATGGCAGCTCAAAACTTCATTACGATGGAAATTGTGGCTCTCTCAACCTCTACTGACTCCATGAAGATGATCAGGCAAACCTCTCTATGAAGATGATGAATTAAAAGCTTAGGTTTGTATATATACTGACACTTGGTATGTATAATTGGACATCTACATCAGCTTGTATATATCAGTGGTTCAGTAAAGGTCTTTTATATATGTTATAATATATTTTATCTGGTTTAAATTCCTATTGTTAAGAAGATATTATTTTTTACTACTGGCACGATATTATCTTATTTATTGATATCAAAGGTATCAGCTTATCAGCTGGTAAGTCATTGTCCTATGTTGGTGCTGATTCTCGATACATTTGTCCTGAAGAGTCATGTGATGTTTCAACAGAAGGATGGCATTATCAGCCAGGCTGTAGACTTCAAGTATCATTAAATGAAGGTGAAAGTTGAAAACAATAGACTTTGACCTGATGTAACACATGATATCTGTTGTTTGAAAATGGCTGACAGTAATGATGTTGTGATATTTAACATTTTGAAATAAACTTTATTGTTTTCTTACCTGTGTATATGTCTTTGTCTCCTTTTTTCAGAAATTATTCAAATCCAAATTAAAACCATTCTACCATTATTTAACAATTAAAGTATATGAACGTCATGTTTCCTAGTACAGAATTAGTTTTTGTCATGACAAGCAATGTTGCCTTCTGAAGTACTTCCTACTCTCTGTAAAGTAGTAGAAGTAAAATAAAACTTAAAACTTTAAGTTATCTAAAATAAATTTAATTCACAACACAAATATATTGGTCGTAACAAACAGGAATAAAACACATCAGTACAAATGTATACTCCAATGCATCCTCTATACTCCAGGGGTTACAATCACTTTTCACACCCTAGGAACATTTCATGGCAAAATTGAAGGTTCCATATACAACACAAAACAAAGACTAGCTTGATCCTTAGGTTTACATCAAGTGAATCTTGAGATCTCATAACACATATTAAACGGTATATTGTAAAGGCTTTAAAGTTGGGTGTAGCTCCTTTGTTATCTTAAAAAGGAGTGTATCAGCCTGTGATTGGTGATTTTTTTCTTCTGGAACCAATCAAATTACTTTGCTTGTGCTTTCAATATTGCCATGTCATGTTCCAAGGGTGCAGAGAGTGAAAGTGATCATAACCTCAAAAATGTCGAGGATGACTCAAATGTTGTAGAATGTAAATGTGAATAATACCACAGCACAAATACTTTAATATCAAAAACTTTTTTGTAAAAACTACTTTGTATAAGAATATTTTATACTACAGATCAAAATTCTAGAGATGTAAACTTAATACAGAGGATATAATGGGTCAGTAATGTTACTGTTATATCCCTGTATATGTATATTGAATATTAAAAAAATTGCATATTAATCCACACCAGAGAATGTTGATGGAACATGTATGCCCCACTTCTGCTTTAGGGAGAAAACGGTTTTATACAGAGACTTTTTCTGTAAAAATATGTAGGAAAACAAAAATGAAAAGAATGTGTACATTGGTATAACTTGGAATGCATTTCATTAATAAACATACTTGGTATTAAGCTAAATGCTTTACTGTAAAACAAAGCCAACAGCCAAGAACATGTTATATCTAAAGATCATTTGTAGGCCTATAGTTGATTTTGAAAGACACATGACCTAAAAAGGACTTGTGTATATAATTTTACATCCCTAGTCCAAGTAAGTGTAAAAATAACTTTTATAATTGTAAACATATGTTTGAGCACTGCAGCCAAATCAGATGGCTACCTGATATATGGTAAGACATACATTTTCAGTTGTTATTTAGAGGGATTCTGGCCTCCAATAAGGGTGATTTGTAGGCAACAATATTATCCACCTTTTCACTCAATGATAACAATTTGACTGTTAAAAATACAAATAAACCACATATAAGAGTATTTCATGAACCAAACAATTTTTGTTACCAAAATAATACTTTTGTTTCCTTTCATTGCAACTTGTATCATTTTCAGTTGATACCAAACTTGCTTCCCAGCATTTAAAGGTTAGTTTAAGGAAAACAACTGGTTCTCAATCGGTCTGGATGATCCTTCGCATGAAAGTTATAACTACATTTGTATGACTGGTTATAATTGTGAGGCCTTGAAATCTGAGATATATGCTATGAACCTGTTCAGAAAGAATTCTGCTGAAACCATATTTCGAAATTAATTTTCTGCTAATAAGTGAAATGAAACTTAATAAGAAATTGCTGTCAAAAAAAGATCTGTTTACTGATTTTTTAAAAAGAAAATGGCACCTGAGAACTTCTTGTGTTGTTGTGGAACATGGCACTTTACTTAGTAAAGACATCACACAAAACGACCAAAGGCCATATTTTAAAGATCATATCAGTTACACTGACAAAAATACAAGAGGTCAATATTGTGCAAATCTTATCACAATGGGTATTGATAAACCTGAATATAGCATCAAAACTAAAGTTTACATTAGTAATGGCTAAATAACAAATAAGGGACATACATGCATAAACAAACATATATCAAACACTTTTCTCTAATATTCCAAACCTGTTCACTTGTGTCCAACAATGAATTCCTTTGGCCAATGATGACCTAAATATTATAATGATTTCAATTGTGTAAAAGGTATTGTTTTAATGCCTTTTTGAATTGCACCACTCCACCCTAAAGTTAATATAAAAAGCAATATATATACATGTTATACAGATCAAATGAAATGTGCTTTAAATCTATTAAAGATTCCCTTTTAAGCTTGTTCCTCTGCCCAAGAGCGAATAAAATCTTACACACACACACACACAACCACACCCTGCCTCAACCCCTGCCACCACACTCTTTCCTTTTGGATGAGGAAAATCTAAACCTAATAAAACAAAATTCCTTAAATATATACAATGGGACCCATGCTATTATGGTATCAGATATTTAATGTCCTGATTAAATATCATGATACTACATATATTTGTTCACCATGGTGTCATACATACGATACCTGCTTCACGATTTGAGCCCACTCAACAAATTGTTTTCCTATAAATTATAGGTCTACTAACCTTGTATCAATAATGTTCCATTTATAAAATTCAAACTTGAAACAGTACTTATTGGAAGTTGGATGATTCCGTCCGAAACCAAATGCCTGACACAATTATGGCCGAAAGTTGATTCATATTGAACTGATCATTTCCTTATTATATTGGACAGAATGTTGACTTCCTCCAAAAAGCTTTACAGCACCAATCTATAGTATTCCAAACTCATAAGGCACACTTTGATGAATATTTGAAAAAAAGAAGCCCTGCATATGTGTCATCTTTCAGTTTTATCAATAAATGTTGAGATTGTTGGAGTGAAAGTTTAATTTCACAACAGAAATATTAAGGAAATATGAAAGGGAATAAGAGAGTATTAATGAAAACATTGTAAAATTCAGCTATATTTCAACTCCACCAAAATAATACAACTGTCTTCTATTGTATCCCATCTTGAGTAAATATTTAGAGATTTTGCTTTGATGAAGTCCTGGTGAGATTCTGCTCCACTAGAAGTTTGTTCCAGGATCTGTATTAGTTACTTGTTCAGCATCACAGCATTATCCTTTCATCATTAGTGAACCCAGGTACATTTGTAGGGTTTGGAGACAGGTGGGGTGTAGCATTTGTTACCTCCCTTGTCACATCCAGGGGGCGCCCAGTTCTGCAGAAAAATGATTTTACTGAAACCTTTTTTTATCAATACACAACCTGGTTTGCTATATTGAATCTGAGTCCTAGTTTGATCATGTGACTGATCCCTTATTACACTTTGACAGAGATATAAGACCAATGTGTACACATGTACAACTGTTACTGGAAAAAATCATGATTTTGATTAAGTTAGATGAAAAATAGATAATGTCTTTAAGACATAGACATAAATGTCTCTGTTCATATGTAAAAAGGAATCTGATCTGGCGTAGAACTTGATAATACAGGGTAAATATGAACCAAATCTGTTTAGAAGAAGATATAACATTGATTTGGAACAGGACACAGCATGAGCAGTGGCATGGATAACGCTATAGAACCAAATAAGATAGCATGGCATATTTATAATGAAGTATAGCTTACTTGCCCCAGGATGGTATGACCATTTTACCTGTAATATACTCCCTATTCCCTGTTAGAATATTTAATTTTCTGTAATTGATATTGTTAATATAGTTAAGTAAACCAGACAATATCCGTATGACAAAAGACTTTACAATGAGAATGACTTAAACATCAGTCCAGAGATCCAATGGTGTTGATTAAGACTGTACTTGGAGAGTTGATTCCTGGAAATTTATCCTCTCCCAAACAGAATCCTCATTATTACCAGCATGTTAAAAAATACACCAAGGAGAAATTGTTGTAAGATTTGACCCCTTTTAACTAAAAACAGATCAAGGACACTCATTTGAACAAACTTGACAGCCCTTCGTCCCAGCATGATATTCCCCAACCCCCACACCTTTTTTCACAACTTTCTATGCAAAATTACTACTGATACTTTTAGAAATATATCTTCCTACAGATTAAAGACATGGGATTGGCTGTTGGGAGGACTTATAACCCCAAACATCCTTTGTTCTATGGACACTTCCATCTTTAATACAAGGCAGATGTATTTGATTTTGGTGTTTAATGACTTCTGACCCTTGTTACTATACAAACTACAAATTAGCAATGAACTTTGACCTTACCATAACAGCACTGTCACACATGTTAAGCTGGGGTGTGCCTGGTACCAGGTTCTTCATGTGAGTAGCTACAGCAGACTGGATATCTAGTATCGCTCTGCGGTATTCCTCAGTGTTAAATCTGCAAATCAATTTAACAATGTATAGAACAAATGTACGAAGATTTAATACTGATGTATAAATACCATAACAATTTTTTTGGGTGGTTGACTTTTTTCTTTTTGAAACAATTAGTTTAAATGGATCAATGACTCCAGTATAGTGACAAGTCATTATAACACAGAGAACAAAAACCTGTTAATATAAATGAGAATTATTACTTGATGAAGTATTTTTCTCCTGGGTCCCTGGTTATATGAAACAGTAATGGCGGATCATGTTCAACCTGATCATGTGTTGTCACATTCTTTATCTCCTCCCCAGGACAGAAATCTGTACCCTGCCAAAACAAAATCAGCAATATAAAGTCATTGTCAAGAAGTCTCACATTTAAAGGATATATCTGTATTTATTTGTATACTACTATTTCCAATCATTGCACTACTATATACACAGAAACATTATTGGAGATATGTTTGTTTAGTCCTTATGACCAGTAATAAATTCACCCTTGAAATGTGACAGTTGTGACAAAAATTTACCAGTAAACAGTACGTATGATGAAGATGTTTGATTACTACAGGTATCATGATAATTGATATGGTCACATGTCAGGATGTACACTGGTACAGTTCTCTCAGTGTTATCTAGTCACAATAAAGGGAGGTAATTCTTTTTTTTTGTGATGACATAAACAAATAAGGAAACAATGTGATGCACGTAAATGCAGACCTGAACACAGATGTATGACATGTTGTAACAGTTATCATTGTCAATGTAAACTGATTTATGACTGGCAGCAGGGCCGGAGGAAACAGATAAGATCAACAGCTATAGATACTGGAAGGTCTACTAGTGGAATAGCTTCCATCGATGCTAGCATATTCAAGCATGCGAAAAATATCTGGCTGTAATTTAATGACAGTCATTCTTTATTTAAATTATTATTTGGGAAATATACTTCCCCACCAATTTAACTTTGTGATTCGACTTGAATCAGAATATAAATACCTATCAACGTTTTGATTTTGATATTACATGTATAATTAAACAAATCTCATAACTTTAAAGTTACAACTTACTCTGTTAAACTCCTGTAATGAGTTTGTCCATGTCCAGAGATGCGCCTTATAGTGACCCAAGCGAACTGCCATCAGTGTGTTCCCACGATAATAGAAAAGTGGTCTACAAAATTACATAAAAAAAACTGGAGTACACATACATCTTTGCCAGTTTCCTGATGGCCATTTTTTCATGTTATTATTTTTTTAAAGAAGAAATTCCAAAAGTTTCTTCAAATAACATGTTACATCACACACTTAAAACCTTGATAGTTTAACACTATAGTATTCATTCTGCTATATATATGTGTCATTGCAGGTACTTTTCAGCTATTTCATAAATTATCAAGGGTTTCTGTCAAATAAAAAATTTGAACTCTACTGATCACAAAATTAGAAGTAATAATCAATAACCTAGAAATCTTGTCATATACTTTTTTAGGTTACATAAATATACTACATTTAAGTGGTACCTGCCTTTGATTTCTAGTAGATTTACCTCTCTTATATACCAAACTATTAGTTTTAGTATCCAAAGTTATTTCAATTAGATGTGGAAATTATGTAGAATACATTGCAACTGTCACAAATTAATCATGTTAATTTCACCCTAAACAGGCATGTATACAATTCTATCTCTAACAAAAGGATTTCCCTATGATGAAATACCTTTGGACTTCTGTGTTTTGGAATAGTGTATCTTTAAGGCTGATGCCATCAATAGATCTGTCAGAAGGAGGCTTTATATTCACTAGATCAAGAACAGTAGTAAAAAGGTCCATCAGTGATCCCACCTGGTGAGAAATCTGTAAAAAAAAAAAGTCCATCGCTATAAAACCAATCTAAAACCAACATCACTTTGTCACTGATCCTCCCTAGTAAGATACAAATTACCGGTACGTTTATAAACACTCCAGCGGAATAAACATGAAAACAAACAGACCCATCAGGAGATTGGAGTTTAAGGTCTCAACTAATTTCATATAAAGATCCTGAAGCAAATACTGACAGTTACATATAACAAGTATTGTAAGGTGATTAGGTGGACTTAAAGAGTCTAAACCAAATTATCTCCTACTGATACATCATGTAGTTATAGCTGCTTACCTGTGTTTATAGAAACGTCAACCTATAAATAATAGTGTCAGGTCATAGAAACAAAGGAAAAGCTGATTATAGCTAGTTACTTGTGGTCACAGTTACTTATACGACAATATAAAGCCACCAGAGTCGACCTCTAAACTATAGTGTTAGGTCATAGGAACACAGGAAAAGCTGATTATAGCTAGTTACTTGTGGTCACAGTTACTTATACGACAATATAAAGCCACCAGAGTCGACCTCTAAACTATAGTGTTAGGTCATAGGAACACAGGAATAGATATAAAGCTAACCTATAGTGTTAGGTCATAGGAACACAGGAATAGATATAAAGCTAACGACCTCTAACCTATAGTGTTAGGTCATAGGAACACAGGAATAGATATATAAAGCTAACCTATAGTGTTAGGTCATAGGAACACAGGAATAGATATAAAGCTAACAGAGTCGACCTCTAACCTATAGTGTTAGGTCATAGGAACACAGGAATAGATATAAAGCTAACAGAGTCGACCTCTAACCTATAGTGTTAGGTCATAGGAACACAGGAATAGATATAAAGCTACCAGAGTCGACCTCTAAACTATAGTGTAAGGTCATAGGAACATGGTAATAGTCAAATCCATCTCCCTTCTCTTACTATCTTCTTTTGCTTTTCCCACTTTACTCGCATAATTATCTTTTCCATTCCGCTGAAAGGCAGAACTACCATAACAGCAGATGTTTAGCCCATTTAATCACTTATAATTGACAGTGTATGTATAAATTTTCCTTCATATCTGACCGTTGTGCTGTGTTTTGTGGCAGAGTGAGATTTTTCCAGGGAATTTGCACAGCCATCTTTTTCAAAGTTTTATTTCTTCTCACTTTTTGTTTGATCTACTAAAGAGTTTCCACTCAGGGAATGAATATTAACTGAAAATTGAGTTACTGCCCCTCCGACCATGATTAGCATCATTTCATCACTCAGCACCATTCCATAACATGACAACAGTATTTATGATTAAAGTGAGGAAATCTCAAACCATTCTATGTCATCAGTGACTGACACTGGGGCCAAAGGGGCACAAAGTCCTTGTTATCCATTTCAAGAGATTGGTAAGGAAAGATTTTTCTACTTTTGTACTGTCATGTGATCAAAACACATCCTGTAATAACAACAAACTTTACCTGGCCTGGTGAAATCTTTCCTGGCCACCATGCAATAGCTGGCTCTCTCATACCACCCTCAAACGTCGTCTCTTTACCACAAAGAAGTGGACCGTTACTACCACCTGTGTAGAATATTTAGTTTTTAATTTGCTTGCATACAATTCAATAACCATTTGACACAAACATTGCATGTATAAATTCTGTTTAAACAGGTATGAGTATCAATCACAACAGAATCAGAATGGATCTTTTTCAAATTTGTCTGATGACTGTTGACCGGTTTTTCCCTCTCGAGCTTATTTAGGACAACCAATATATTTTTTTTACCTCTAAAATACTAAAAATGTAGCTCCCCTATTTGGAAAATAGTATACACACCATTGCGTATTACACAAACGTGATAACTCCTAACAGTAATCACTATATATCAGTTTATATGTGACCTACTGTTACTGCTCACATATACTAGGCACATTGTTGGTAAATCTTATCCCTTATGGTTAGTATTCCTAAAAATATGGCTTATAGAAATATAGAAGACTCCTGTCTGATAGCATGAAGATAGTAGTATCCATATCACTGGGATCAAACATAAACTTAATCATGGGGTGGTAGCCATTCATAGCTTCACGGAAGGAGATAAATGTTAAAATTTACATAACATTCTAACATCATATGTTAAAGCCTTTCCCTGAACTACAGCAGACCAACACTGATCATGCATGTGACACTATATATACCAGTATTAAGTACTTTTTTTTAAAAACAAGAAATATCTTAAAAAATGATATTTGGCACAGTTAACAGAGGTATGTTGCATTTTATGTTTTATTTACCTTGAAAGGAAATTAGTTTGAAAAAGCCACCTCAACATGGAAAAGTTACTAAACCTTCACTATGAATTATCTCCCTTGTCAGTGTTAACTAACAAAGTATTACATCACAAATCTCATACTTCACGGAAATGATTGTGTAATTATGCAGACTCTGTCGATTATTCACAAGAAATTCACAGCTTATTATATTTCACATTTGCTTTGCAATATTTGGTCTGCTGTTTGAGATCTCGCTGCTCTGTGGAAATGACTTCACAATCACAACATGTGCACAATACATATTGTACTAAAATATTATGTATGATTGGAAAATTAGCATTACTTTCAAGTAACAATGACAATATATTGAAAAATAACTCTTCAATATCATAGCATAAACATTTCTTACAGCAATATTTCTTCTTTAATTTGCTGGATTAATTTAATGATTACTTCTAAGTAAAAATACTGGGGTAAGTAATTAAAGTCATGGCAACAACTTTGTCTTATTTAGCTGTGCCAAAAAACACCACATCTACAAATACCTGTGCCAAGTAACATCACATTTACAAATACCTGCAGTTTTTGCGTACGTTGCTGCTCCATTGTCGGATGTAAAAAATACAAAAGTGTTTTTATCAAGACCAATTTTCACAAGAGTTTTTAAAATTTCTCCAACCGCATAGTCCAGTTCTCGGACAGCATCTCCATACCTGGGAAGGACAAGACAATCCATGACATTCATGCTGTGTGTCTGTTTGTAAAAATTGTGACTGTGATGTTATAGTCCAATAGAATGTGTTTTATCCAGGTATGTAACATAATTGTCACATGTGACAGTGAGACCATCCTGTATATGTTGTCCTGTAGTACATGTAATACAAGGTATATCACGTCGCTGTCACATGTGACAGTGAGATCATCCTCTGTATGTTGTCCTGTAGAACATGTAATACTAGATATGTCACGTCGCTGTCACATGTGACATGTGAGACCATCCTCTGTATGTTGTCCTGTAGAACATGTAATACTGGGTATGTCACATCAAGGTCACATGAGTGACCAGCTGGATAGGATTGGTTGAGAAATTATTTCACTATCTATTTATGAAATTTCCTAAACTAGTAGGCTCTAAACACACTCCACAATCCCCAGAAGTAACTATCCACTCAGCCCAATTTTGCACACCTTATTCGTAGTAGATTCTAACCACACTCGACAGTTTCCAGAAGTAATTATCTACTCAGCCCAATGTATTACTATTTGTAGTAAGAATATCTTCAAAATATAACAAGTATAATTTTGAGCAACTCTATATATCTTAAATGACACAGTAGTAGAAGGGAGATAAATGAATATATGTATGCCAGACTGATAATAGAGCAAATTAAAAAATAACATTGAACTTTTCTCAAAATAAAGGTACATAGCAAAGTCATATAGTCAAAGTATAGAAGGATTAAGAAAGAAAGAGAAGATAGAATATTGAAAGATATCCAAATTGTTCTTATTTCCTCCAAAACACATGGTGCATGGTGCTTTTCATTGATCATCTCTATCAAGATCCTGGTCTTTTACATACTTACAAGATGATATTTCTCATCAACATTTAAATACAAACAGTAGGATAGGGTCATTACGACAAGCTAAGAGATACTTACAATCCACGCCTGCTAGTATTGTAAAATTTCTCTGACACATAAAGAGGCCCATGTGTGGCATCTGGAGCCCAATACAGGTAAAATGGCTGCTTCTTTGAGTACTGTTGTTCAATGAACTGCACAGCTTCCTACATATAGAGATAAACTTTCTCCCTTTTATATACAATAATGTAGACATAATACATGTCACTTGATATAGACATAATTATCATTGTTATATTATCATCATGTACAGGATACTGCATCTGTGCTAATTTGAACCAATTGTATCACACATCAGTAATAAGTCAAATGATAGTTGATAAAGAAAATAACATAAGTAATTAACTTTACTTTAAGTACCGTTAGAAATTATCTGGTAAAATAATAAAGTAATTATTTTCTATCTGATATCAGGGATAATGTAGTTGCATTATAATGATTTTAATATATCTATTCATCAATATCTGAAGTAACAATGTTGATTATGGAGACAGAGAAGCTCATACATACATCTAAATATAGCATGGTAAGGTTAGATAATCCATGGTCAATTTTAAAATCTTCATAGTACCTGTAACATCAAGGTCATCATTTAGCTGTGCTGTAAACCCACACATCATTGATGTCAAGGTCATTACATATACATGGGTAGAACTGTTAATGTCAAGGGCATCATTCAGTTGTAATGTCAAGGCCACACATCATTGACGTCAAAGTCATAACATATACCTAGGTAGGTCTGTAAATGTAAAGGTCATCATCAGCTGTGCTGTCAAGGCCACACATCATTGGTGTCTAGGTCATTACATATACATGGGTAGATATGTTAATGTCAAGGGCATCATTCAGTTATAATGTCAAGGCCACACATCATTGGTGTCAAGGTCATTACATATGCATCTGTTCATGTCGAGGACACCATAAATCTGCACGGTCAAGGTCTCATATCACTGATGTCGAGGTCATTATAAATACATCTGCTAATAGCAAGGTCATCTTTCATCTGTACTGTGAAGATGACATATACAGGCATCCAACGGGTCAAGATCATCAACCAAAGCACATTGTAATTACAAAAGTTAATGTCAAGATCATTATATTCATTTGTTCCCTTTTTCAAGGTCATATGTAATAATATTGTCACCATTCAAAACTACGCAATTTTAATATTTCTGTAATTTGATTATAATCATTCATTCATAACCTTTACCATTGACATGTAAAACATATAAATTTAAAAGCTACAGTTATGTATCTGGTGATGATGTATTATCTGAAATACTTTTTACTGGTGTAATATTAAAGTAAGGGATCAGATCAAAGTATTCAGAGGTAAACATAAGTATGATTTTTGAAATACTGAATGCTTCTCATGAAATGGAAATTTATCTGATGACAAAAGATAGAAGTACAAACCGTCCTGCCATGAGTGCATCACGATATACTGGTATATTTGGGGTGCCTATGTCATTGTACGGCCCAAAGTGACAGTTAGGGGAGCCAAACCACTCATCAAAGCCATGTTTGAGGGGATGGTACTGTGGCTGCTGGCCGAGGTGCCTGGGAAATAATAATACAAAAGATATAAAACGGTATTATCAGGTATTGTAGAAAACATGTTAATCCTTACATCTAATGGGTAACTCACACAATACAACAGAGATTTGCTGTGAAACATTTCCCACTCATACTGTCTACTCTGATACTCTGTGGAGAGAATTCATATAGCCTTTGCCTGTTATTTTATCCACATTGATTACAAAATCTTGACAATGTAATTTGTTAAAAAGAAATGGAAATATTTTCCACTATTATATTTGTGTCATTAAGATTGACATAAATATAAGATAAGTAATTTTACTTACCATTTACCAACAATTTTATTTCTATAACCTGTCTGCTTAAGAAGTTCTGGAAGGAGGATTTCAGAGTCAGGGATACCTCCCACAATGTTCTGGGGTGTGTAGGCTAAAACATCAAACATGAAGCAGACACAATACCAACTGTATATATCTTAACAAGAGTGCAAAAATAATAACAAAGTAATCAATTACTGTACAAATAATGTCACTCATATGTGATATTTTGTTTGCTGGCAGTACTGTTGTTAAACGCAGATAGTGGTATTGCCCTTGCTTACAGAGACTGACAGAATTCTAACATATGATCTTAGCATTTTTCTCTCTTGTTGTAATATCTTTACAAAGATACTTTTATGGATGATAAAACAAGGTGTGTGTATGAGATATACCATTTCTAGCATGGGCGTTAGTGGAATAGAAACCATTTCTGATGGGTAGTCTTCCTGTCATCATTGCTGCACGGGCTGTAACATAAGAGATAGAATCATCAAGATATTGGTATCTATTTTAACAGTAGACAATATTAAGAATGCTAGAATAAAAGTATCCTGCCTGGTACAAAGATCTTGGTTACCTGGTAATTTGATTTACGTCACCTCAAGACTCAGCATACAAAATTTTGAAAACATGATGATGCACAGTTAGAGTCTATATGTACAAAATTACTGAGAATTCAATAGTAAGAGGCTTCTTTTTAAAGGACACAAAAGAAGATCAGCAGACTAGTGATGAAAGGTGATTTAACACTAAATGATGATAATAGTTACACATACCTAATATAGATAGTTTTCTACTACAAACTTACAAGGAGAACACAAAGGGTTGGCAGAGTAGAAGTCAGTAAACAGCATTCCTTCACTTGCCATCCTATCCAAGTTTGGGGTCTCCTTATTTGGCTCTCCATACACACCAAGGTCTCCCCAGCCCATCTGTAAGTACAATAATGTATAAGTTAAGTGTCTCCTTACTTGGCCCTCCATACACACCAAGGTCTCCCCAGCCCATCTGTATGTACAATAATGTATAAGTTAAGGGTCTCCTTACTTGGCTCCCATAAAATATCTAAAGTTCAGAGTTTACATAGTGTGTTGAAACACTCCCATTCAGCATCAGTATCTAGCCCATTTTTTGTTACATGATCAAGCTTATGGTCTGTATACACAAATATATAGCCTGTGTTACATATGGTAACTACCGTTGAATAATAAGTTAAACAGGTATACAGTCCATCAATCCAAACACTATAAGAAATATTTATCAGTTGGTTGTTACTGGTAATCATGAATGATCCTGTCAACAGCACAAAATTGGTAATCTGTTGGCCGTTTTCCTCTTTCATAAGTGCAAGCTAATCAGTTGTTTAACAATAGGTCTGTTCTCAATCAAATTCACAAGAAATTCTAGATGTCCCTTCACATTTATATTATTTATTTCAATGCCATCGCAAGGGCTCAATCCCAGCACCCATGGCTTACTAGTCTGATGATCACTTCAGCTGAGGAGTATATTGCGGCTATGTATTTACCGGGTTTAATACTGCCACTCCAGGAAATAACTTGTCCTCAAGTTTTCAGGGGTTACAGCAATGTCTGTGCGACAATGCTGATTACTATTTTTGAGTCCTACATGGGGCCTATGTAACAAAGATAATTACTTACTTCACTGCCTCCACTAGGACTCAAACCCGGGACCCCTGGCTTACCAGTCTGATGCTCAACCATTTGAGCATAAGAGAACTTCTCTCTAGCTGAGCGTTATATTGCAGCTAGTATTTATTCTTGAGTCTCTACATGGGTGCCAATGTAACAGAGGTCACTATCAATTTCAATGGCTCCACCAGAGTTGAATCTAGGACTTCTGGCATAACTCACCAGTGTGACATTGAACTGATCAAGCTAAAGAGAAGTTCTTTCAGTCAAGTGATGTATTGTGACTAGTGTTTTACCTGGGTTACATATCATTTATATCATATCTGAAATGATATAATGTCAAATGTCGGATATTTGGTGCAAATCCAAAGGAAACTTGGGCTATATTCTTTGGTGTTAGTTCATATTGAACAAAGGGTTCACTTTTAATTTACATGATACTTTTGTTAAAGGAGCAAGTCACTGTGGCATGAACATGGACTTTGGTACTAACCTGAGCATGCTTTTTTGTGTCAGTTTGTAGAGCCACAGATTGTATTTATCACATTGGAGACCCAGGTTTGATTCCTGTGGTGGCACTTGGCAGGAATGTGTTTTTCCCTGTTCTATCAATTAGCATGAAATGAAATCCCAAGGGTTGTGGTAGAGTCTCTGGTCTAATGGTTGTACATAAATTCACTTTCTGTCATTTAAATGGCAGAGCATTCTTCTTTAGCTCAATGGATTATCATTATGCCGACTGGCTACATGGCACTCGACAGAAAACTGTTTTGATTGCTCTATTACACTTTGAAACATATGCTCTGTCATCCTAATGGTAGGGTATGTTTGTTTTTTTTCAGTCTTATTTGTTACAGCTGACGTTACATTGTATAATGGATTATTGTGCTCGAGACCCAGGTTACATTTCCGTAATTGTTTCCTTGTTAATTGGATCTATCCTACAAGTGAATATTTTGTGTTTCTTTTATTTTTTTCCACGATTGATAGGACTGACAAAAACAGGGAAATTTGCATTCACATGATCATCATCATGATGACCACCATCGGTATTACCAGCTTCCTCCTGCGTATATATACCTTTATCCAGTCCCTGTGTCTGATTACAACTTTTATGTATGTTTTCTATAACTGAAAAATTTTACCACAACCCTCAACAGGTTGCCCTGGTGAATATGTGTCTGTGCAATTGATTCGCCTGTTAACTCACATCGTCCATCAACATTACTATGACATTCGGTGTTTCTTTTGCGTATCCTTCCTTTGCTTTCAGCACCACAAATATCAACACGACCCACGTGTTATAATAGTACATGTTGATAAAATTTGAAGGAAATCCCTGACTGCAAAGTAGACAAATATCACATGATTTAGGCCACATGATACATCACGTGATAAACGTACAAAAGGTTCAGTAAGGGTTTTCGAGATATTGTATTCAAACAAATAAATTATTTGTGAGCAAACAAAATTACTGTTTGTATTCATACACAGACTTAAGAGCAAACTTTGGAATTTAATAGCTAATTCAAAGAAATGTTGATTAATGCACATATTTATTTTTGAGAAACCTCCTTCGTACTCCAAACACTATTAGTAGATGGCGCTATTGATGGAACAGCAGATTTGAGGGTGAAAACACAAAAAGAAATAATGGCGCAAACGTTTTTGGAGCCCTTTTCAGGTCTTGAACATTTGGAATTTATTTGAAAAATGTTGTGACATTGTTTTCTCAACTGTTTGTTAGGTTCGATGATGAGAGATACAGGCTATCTATTTACATGGGTTGGGAAATTTGCATGTTGTTGGTGTTCCGCCATTTTGATTTCCACGCAAGTTATTGAAACAGCTTTCCTATAAACAGATGTTTTCAATACGCTTTCATCATGTGAAAATTAAATGCCGATGATGAATGTGTATATATTTTGTGTATTTTTCGATGGCATATATCATTTGCACGTAGAAGAGGCATCAACGTGCAAAATTATGCAAATAGTGTGTTGCCATGAATGGGTGTGAATAACATTTCTGGAATGGCCAACTTGCTAACTGTAACGTATTTTACATGGGGGTTACATTTCACAGAATAGCCTCACCTCATCGGGTCATTAAGTTGACAGATAACTTTTAGACCTGTCCTAAACACAAGTTACGACCATAAACACGAGAAAATTTAACGTTAATCTCACTTCAGAACGTAGTGATGGGAATTTGCATAAATGAAGATGTTGTTTTGATAACATTAACAGGAAAAGTAGTGCATTGCTAACTTCACAGTGATCTAGGTAACTGCACAGATACAGAGAAATATTGCTGACCACAGTTCATAAACATTAATAAAGTTATCCCCTAATTTAACCATGAATGACAATAAGCACATCCATATGTTATTGAAGCTATGCAGTAGAAAAAAGGAGTACATGCTTTCAATGTTCTGTAATAACCACATCCCCAGAATTTGCAAAGGTTACATGCTAATGCTTGATGTAACACCAGAAGATACTCTCCCATTAAGGTGCATTGAACAAGATCAAAGGTTCTTAGTTAATGACCTAAAGTAAAATGAAATACATTAACTTTTCATTGAAAATCTTGATCAGAGCAAAAATAAAAGCAATATTTAAATTGAAGTTATCATCCTGAATTAGCTAACATATGTCTTTGTGTTGTGAAATTGAAATATACTTTTAAATCCAAGAGTTCATAAAATTTATACATCTAATTATTATAGTAAAAAAATGACATTATGACATTATCTTTGAAAAATCTGAAACTGCTGATTTTTGTTTTTTTTACAAAGAGTCCAGAGATCTATACTTATATTTAAAATATGCAATCCAGAATAATGATTCATAGCAAAAACTAGTAATGATCTTGATGTATGTAATGCATGATAAGATTTTGCTGAAAAATTGGTGATCTCTTCAACACAATACCTAATACAGTTGTAATTGTGTTAATTTACAGTGTCGGGGATGGATTGTCAGACTGCGGTGGCAGTTCAGTCTCTGTTGGAATCTACAGTTAGTGAAGCTTCTCCAAGTAAGTGTCCTTCCATGTAATTGTCCTCTTAGCTATACTATTTAACATATTTCATAGAAAAATCAGATATTTCTATGCCAAGCTAACAAATTGTTGTCAAGTTTCAATGGATAGCCTCCTTTTAGAACCCTTTCCCTTGTATTGTCAGCATCTAACTATCAGTTGTAGTGAGTACTAGATATAGGGCAAACAAAATTGATGGAAATATCCCTGGCCAATTAAGATTTCAGATTGCCTAAATACAGTTCTTATTAAAAAATGAGTTTGAAAACAAAGCTCAATGTCCAAGCAACAGTGACATTGTAAGTGAATTGGAAAAGATCTGTTGCTGGGGTTTGATAAATCTAGAGTACATATAATATATATAGATTTATATTATATTAACAAACAGATACTGAAATGTATGAAAAATTCCATGTAACTACTGAAGGACAAATAAGTCACCATGTTTGTTTGCAATTCCTTGCACAGATATAAATGTGTTGTGATGCAATCAAGACCATTTTTAAATCTATTTAGCTAGATAGATTGGTTGGCACACTGGTAATGCACTTGCCTTTTACTTTGTCGTCCTGGATTCAATTCCCGCAGAGAAGGTATTGGAGTCACCTTTTCGACCACATGTCGTTTTTTGTATACTCCACTTTCCTTCCACAGTAAGACCCCTTGTGTGCTTTCATCCCGGCCAACAAAAATATTGAATATAATGATGAAGTTTCCCAATTGTTGTAAAAGAAATAAAGTTAAGGATTCTGTAAGTTATAGATTGTTTGCTGGTTTTTGTGTCTTAGACTGAGGCATACAATTTCCATCAGAACATGATACATACCTGTGTACATTTTTCATAAAACAGCATCTTAACAAAGGACTAACTTGTCCCATATTCCCTTAAGGTGTTGAAGTTTTGAAATTTAACTAGTATATGCTAACATTTTCAGTTGACGAAGAGGATGTGTTCCAGTGTGGAAAGTGTAAAAAACAGTTCACATCACTTGGTGTCTTTGTAAACCACAAACAGAGTCGATGTGTGGCCCAGAAAACCCTCCAGCAGATGACAAATGCCATTTGTAGTGCTGTCAACACTGTACCAGTATCTTCCAGCTTAATCCAAAATGTCAACAAAGGGCCACAACTTATACAGGTAAACAATCATGAGCCATGTAGCAATTCATTTTGTGTGTAATTTATTGTTGCAGTATCCAGTAAATTAGATACATTTTTGTCTTTTCAAACCGAACATTGTAAAGCAGTGATAGGGGCTAATTAGCATTTCCAGTAGCACATCAACTGCTGAAGACTTAATTTGTTGCCAGTGTTGAGTTAGGTTGAGAGAACTTTGATTCTGATATGAAATAATACATAAATTTAGACCATCTCAACTCAAGTGCATATATGTCTTCTGTCTTATTGTGATCGTTTGAAAATTAAATTTTGATTTGTGAATCCAGGGAAGTACATGATTTGATCAATTCAAAAACATTCTGGATATTTAGCAGAACTCAAAAAATCAAATGAAATTTAATGTTCTGAACAAGAAATTATGAAACATGCTAGTTCAATGCAGCTGTAGATCACACCCAAAACAAGATAGTATAATAAAAAGACATGTCCACCTCCACACTCACTCTGATTATGCTTCTATCAAGCTAAGTAATAATGTAATTTTCAAAAAGTGACATTTGATAATTGAAAGAGACTTTAAGATTGGTGAGAACATGATGTATTCTCCACATCTTAATATCTACTTACACTTTCTCAGAAGCTGGTACAGTTCAAAGGATGCTAGTACACGCATACTTCTGATAAAATTAAATGCTGTATCTGAACACTATTGAATTAGTAATGGTGTAACTTAAAGCATAGTCAGGTGGTGCAGTGGTAACACACTCACCTTTCACCTAGCCGTCCGGGGTTTGATTCCTGAAACGAATGTGAAAAGGTAAGGGGTCACCTGTCTGGCCACATGGGTTTTCCACAGTTACTCCAGTTTCCTCCAACAATAAGACACCCCTGTCTCTCCCTCACTTGCTTACTTTTTGGGCTAACAAGAGTGATTAGTATAAGTTGAAATAACTTGTTTCACAATTGTTGTGAAATAAAGTTTATATTTATATATTGATGGTTGACAGGATTTGAATCAGTTTGATAAAAGTTTGATTTTAAGTTTGTATTGTACAGTGTATCTTACTTATTAGTGGATATTATTAACCTTTATTAGGGTAACATTGTACACATATACTCTATGATGTATTGTAGACATCGTACACACCACAGACCTCCATTACACAGCTACCACAGAACATGGTTCTCACAGATGACTTGATGTCCTTTGCCAACGTTGACACATCAGCAATACAACTGGTAAGATGTTTTGTGATTAAGTCTATAGACAACACATTGGCACTGGTTTCCATCTGTTTGTTATCCACATGTGACAATCGTACATCATCCACTTATTTATTATAGAATTGGATACTAGCAGATTACCGAGCAAAGGATGCTGGGTAAAATGTCACTTGTTTCTGAAGTCATTACAATTATGCTTTTGTTGATGCTGATTGTCTAATAATGTGTGATATTAATTAAGCTTGATATTCTTGATGAATGCATGTACTTAATTACTCCATGGTAAACATATATATACAATATTTCTGTGACATATCTATGGATGCAGTGCCTCTTTTTTAATTTTCATTCAGTGAAGAATTTAATTTATCTGTTAGTTAGCTTAAACATGGAATTTTTTCTTTTTGACATTATTGTTTTTATTTTTTGATACATTTATATGTTGTTATAAATGTAATGAAAAAGATTAAAATAAAAATGAGGGCTGAGCTGTGAGGTTCCTAGGATTGTTTTTATCAGTCACCTGATCATACAGCAGTGTTTCCCATTGTAGTTTGAAACTGACTTTCAACAATTTAGGGTTTTTTTAATACCCTTGTAGGGGGTAATGGGATACTGACACTAATAGGGAGGACTAAGACAGGGCTCTCGCACACCATTTTGAGACTGGGGCCCGGGGCCTGGGGCCCTTAGAATTGGGAAAAATAGCAGCGTTTTCCTTAGAATTGGGAAAACTTGGGGTCTAAATTGGGAAAAAAGTTACTATTTTGCATTGGGAATGGGGCCGAATATCGGCCCCAAATCTGTCAGATCAAGAACCCTGTAAGAGCTACATGTAGTCCATCACTTTGTCAATATTTATCTTTTCAACCAGTTTTTTATTTTGTTTGGATGATTTTAATGTAATGAAAACGTTTTTTAAAAAATCAAGTCCTTTCCCCTTTCATATTATGGCCCTATGATTACCTTGTGTCATCTGTCTTAGACTTGTGCTACAGTTATTAAATTTTCTATGTTAGTATTTCTTGGGAAGATTGCATGTCATATGCTGAAATTTGGTCACATGCCCCTAATACATCAGAAGGTATGAGGGCTGATCGATAAGTTCCGAGCTTCATATTTAAGGGTTTGGCTTTTGGTGGACATATTGCATTATTTTTCAACATAATCCCCTTTACATACACTTTTGCTAGCAATGTTTATGGGCCTCAATGCCACTTTTAAAGAAGTTCTTTTCTAGAGTGTTCATAAAATCCTCCACTACATGTATGATGTTATCATCTGACCAATAGTGGGTACAGGAAATATCCTTTTTCAATTTTGGAACTAAACGAAAGTCTGATGGAGTGAGATCAGGCGAATAAAATTGATGTTCAATCAATTCAGAGCCACAATCATTAATGGTAGTCATAGCAATGACAGACATGTGAACAGAGGAATTGTCCAGGTGGAACAATACACATTTACGGAGTTTCCTGCAGCACTTGGGTTTAATATTTTCTTTTAACTGCTTACAAAGTAATGCATAATATGTGCCATTGATTGTTTGTCCATTTTGCAGATAATCTACCATCAAAATACCATCAGAATCCCAGAAAACCAAGGCCATAACCTTTCCAGCTGATGGAACAGTCTTTGCCTTCTTTGGCGAGGATGAACCAGGCTGCTTCCATTGTTTAGACTGTTGTTTGGCCTCTGGGGTGAAGTATGAACCCACATTTCATCCATAGTCACAAACCTCTGCAGAAAGTTAGCAGATCTGTCTCTGAAAGATTCAGATAAGCAAGCTACGAAGTCTGCCGGGTGTGCTTCTGATAAACTGTTAGAAGTTCCCAGCGGGCTGAAAGCTTTCTCATTCCAAGATCACCCGTAAGAATGGAATGTACTCTTTCCTGTAAAAATCCCAACTGTACTGGCTATATATCTCTGTACCTCGCCTGTCAGCCATAACAATATCATGGACTGTATTGGCCATTTCTCAGGCCCTCTAGGGAGGGTGTCATCCCCAAGGCTGTACCTGCCTCACTTAAATTCCGCCATGTTTCACCATAGCATATGAAGTGGCATCATTCCCTAGTGTTGCTATCATATCAGTAAGGATATCCTTGGGTGCTAGACCTTTCTTATGCAAATATTAAATCACTACTCTCTCAGTTTGTCCATTATGCACAAGTCACTTGCTTTGTTTACTTCATTGTGCTACCCGTTTGCCATAAACTGACCAAATTACACCAATCTTTGGGTACACAGTGTTAAATAGTCAGGGAAAAGTAGAGATGAAAAAAGTCATCTCTGCCTAACTTCTTCAATACAAGGCCCACAACTTATCAGCTAGCCCTTGTAAAGTGCTTTGGTATTGTTGAAAACCATGTTTGTCCTAAAAGGTGTATTATTGATTCTTTGCAGTCCTTTTCCATGGTTGAAATGCTGGAATGCTGAGTTTTATAGATATTCATAAATTGCTTTAGTCTTCCACAGAGAAATTGTTGCCAAGTTTCATTGACCAATATACATAATTGTCTTGGAGGGAATAATTAAGTGTTTTTTGTAATGATTATTGCAGGTGAAAAAACCTGTGAAGGTAACGATTTGTAGAGTGATCCGTTTGAAAAACTTCATGGGATTTTATTTATGTATTTATTATAGCAAGCCTCCAATTTACAATCTGCTGGCCCATTCCTGTCCCAGGTTGCCACCTTTACATCCAGGTCACCAAATAATGTTACCATTCTTAGTCCTGTGACCACATCACTGCCTTCTAGTGGCTCTGCCTTCACCAGCACTGTCCATTCCACCAATCAGATTCACCTGCAGCCAGTCCAGCAGCAAATCACCTTGACAACTCTACCTGAGAAACCTATAGCTCCTAATGTGGGCAACATAGCTAAACCAAGCCCAACTAAGGCAGGTGAGTTGGAATGAATTTAGTATGGTGTCAATGTTTTATTTTTTATCTTTTCCAAGAGATTCAGTGAAATTAGAAGGCCTGTTCAAATTTCTTAATGAGAATTATTATCTAAAAATGCATTCTAGGTTTTTTCATTTTGATGAAACATCAATCAGTTGTGAGCATATAACTTTTTCTGTTCATTCAGGTAGAAAATCAGCCCAAGCAAGCCTTGTAACAGTGGTATCAGCAGATTCTCTGGTGAAGCTAAAACGCAGCAAAAATGGTAACATGGTGTTGGATGAGAAGAAAAAACTTCGCTGTAACTACTGTGATAAAACATTTGCTAAAAACTTTGACCTTAACCAACATGTGCGTGCACATACAGGGGAAAAACCTTTTCAGTGCATTGTATGTGGACGAGCCTTCGCACAGAAATCTAATGTCAAAAAGCATATGGCCACCCACAAGGTAACCGAGAGAAAAAGAAGCATTGTCTTTTAATGGAAAGAAAATTGAAATTGTCTTTCTAAATTATTACTACCAAAAGAAATGTGTGTGTATAGAAATTTTTTAATCTAAAATTTTCCATAGAAAAATGATTTTTTTTCTTCAGATTTTGAGAAAACAGTGATACTTTAACCTGTAGTGTTAAAATATTTCAACCAATTTTAAAATAGAATGCAAAAAGTGTTTAATATTTCAGTTTTTGCGCCATAAATAATTCTTTTATACAAAGAAATACAAATAAATGATATTGATCAAATCCTTGTGTATTGAAGGTATGGCCAGCAGGAGCAGGGTCCACCCTACCAAACCAGCCATCACCCCTGTTGATTGAAGAAGACGAGCCTTCTCTTGAATCCACGCTAGACCCACCCCCTTCAGAGGAATTGAACCAGAACCAATTGATGACCCATGAAGATTCTCTTGCTCATGTCACTGATGTCCCACAGGTGGTTGTCATGGATAATAGCCCTATAGTGGATCCATCTGTGGTAGATCCATGTGCATTACAAGACTCGGGACAGATGCTTGAGGATAAGGTGACCACCAGCACAATGAATACACAAGTAAATTATCGGTTTCTGATTCAAATTTTACATCTTGGGAGGGCAGGCGAGCTTTTGTCAGGGTGGGGTTTCCATGTCTGTCCAGTATCTGTGTCAGTATTGATGAGGCTGTGGCATTCTCAGTTATCTCAGTGTTGGTGAGGATATTTGTCCAGAAATATCCACATGTAAAGGGTTATCAGTTTTATTTTATGTTATTAGACACATTATCACAATGTCAAGGCTTAGAGTCAAATTAGCCTGCCAGGGTGTGTACTGGAATACCTAAAGTTCTTGGATAACATTTACAAAGCAATCACAGGATTTAACAGGTGTAAAAGTTTAGAATCAAATAAAGAACCTAGTTTACAGGTTGTATGAACTAAGTAAGTTGAAATCTTTTAAATCTAATATCAAGCCTTCTTCAATCATTTTTACCTTGATGCGCTCTAATGGCGATTCTTGCAGATATAAAAAGTCCTTGAATTTCTTTCTTTCTTCAGTGACATTTCGTGCATAAATTCAAATGAAATTCTCTTAATTTTTATTTATGGTGTTTAAATAAAGATACTTTTTTTAAAGTATATTTACAGAAGCAAATTTCTGAAGTGCCACAACAAATTCATGCACTATAGGTTTTTTTAGATTGGATTGTTACTTGCACCCTAAAACCACAAAAATATAGTTGTTTCCTCCCTAAAACACAGAAAAGTCACCAAAAAAATCATCATTTACAGCTGAATGATACTACTTTGATCACTACTGCCAAAAAGTTTAAGAAAACAGCTTGAATTGAACCATTTGTAGTTTCCAGATGTGAGAGAAGAAACAGGCTATTGATATAGGTTCGTTAAGCTTCAATCATGTTACTTCGTGTAAAGTTTGATGCATGAAATCAAATATATGGTATATAATGATTTTTCCTTTCTTTTTCAGCAACCAGATGATGCAGAAAATACCAAGGTGAAGGTGGTAGTAGACAACTCCTACCTGTGTCAGTACTGTTGTGCTAAGTTCAGGACTTATTTCCAACTCAAGACACATATGGTTCATCACAAGGACCAACAGGTAATGAGTAGTCAGCTTTCATATACTGTGCATGAAAAAGTCAAACCACACAAAAACTGAGTTCTACATACAATGTACTTTCTATATCAGTTCAACTTTAGAAAGGAAGTTAAAGGTCATTATAAGCCTATTGTTTTTCATATTTATACTGAAGTCAAGTATGAGTATTGAGTCCAGAAGATGAAGGTCATTATAGGCCTATTGTTTTCAGATTTATACTGAAGTTAAGTATGAGAATTGAGTCAGAAACAAAATTGATTTTTCATAGTAGGGAACTTTATAAATGATCACTTCAAAAATATTTTGAATACAGTGTAAATTTTGTCTTTCTATTTGTGTCTACCCATGTAGGTATATAAATGTGTGGTCAAGGAATGCCAAGACACCTTCAAAGACCTTGACTCATTCTTAGAGCACATAAAATCACACGAGGAAGATATGACTTACAGATGTCACATGTGTAACAAGTTCTTCCCAACCTTGTATGACCTTGGTGTCCACCAGTATACTCACAGCCTTTACCCAAATCAGGGTATCAAACCTGGCCCAAGGTGAGTACTTAGTCAGTCCAACAGTATACTCACAACCTTAACCCAAATCAGGGTATCAAACCTGGCCCAAGGTGAGTACTTAGCCAGTCCAACAGTATACTCACACTGTTTACTTAAATTAGGGTATCAAGTCTGGCCCAAGGTGAGTACTTAGCCAGTCCAGCAGTATACTCACACTGTTTACTCAAACCAGGGCATCTAGTCTGGCCTGTAGTGAGTATCAAGCATTTACATCAGTATACTCACAAACCTAACCCAAACCAGGGCATCTGGTCTGGCCTGTGGTGAGAATCAAGCATTGCCATCAGTATATTCACAAACTTGCCCAAATGCAGGGCATCTAGTCTGACCTGTGGTGAGTACAAGCATTGCCATCAGTATATTCACAAATTTGCCCAAATGCAGGGCATCTTGTCTGGCCTGTGGTGAGTACCAAGCATTGCCATCAGTATATTCACAAACTTGCCCAAATGCAGGGCATCTAGTCTGACCTGTGGTGAGTACCAAGCATTGCCATCAGTATACTCTAGAACTTATGGTTTCAATCCTGGCCTAAGGTGTGTTCCAAACAGTTCCTGAATTAAGGCACATCCAGTAGTAATTACTAGTTCATCTTGATTATCTTGCAACTTTTTCTGAAAGAAATTTGATAGAATGAAAAATGGTGTATATAATCCATGACTTTAATTTTGATACATTTTTGTCCTAAGTAAGCTCCATATTTGTCCTGAAATAATCTCCTCTTCTACATACTTTATGTCAGAAATTTTAGCCCCTTTGGCTTATTGCAGGTTAAATACAGTTTAATAATTTTACAATGTAATGTTATGATTTAAGTATCATAGTTGATATTATAAAACTAATAAAGATTCCTGTTGGTTTTAGACATTTCCAGTGCACTAAGTGTATGAACAAGTACTCAACGCCAGAAGCCCTGGAGCATCACTTGGCAACCTCTACCCACAATCACACTTGTCCACACTGTGATAAAACATTCACTTGTGAAAGATACCTGAGGCGTCATCTTCCTTCTCATGGATCTGAAGGTAAGCACCTGGTAGGAGATACAATAGCCAATCACATTTATACTTTTTTCCTTCCAACCGGTTTCCGTGTAGTTAGCAGTAAGCTAGCTGACAAGATATCTGTTCTCTTTAGTAAAATTTCTCTCCAACAGGTTTCCATGTACAGTCCTTGTAGTAGTTAGGGGGTAAGCTAGCTGACAAGATATCTATTCTCCTCTTTAGTAAAATTTCTCTCCAACAGGTCTTCATATACAGACCTTGTAGTAGTTAGTGGGTCAGTTAGCTGACAAGATATCAGTTCTCTTTCATAAATTTCTCTCCAAAAGATCTTCATGTACAGACCTTGTAGCAGTTAGCAGTAAGCTAGCTAACAAGATATCTATTCTCCGTTTTAGTAAAATTTCTCTCCAACAGGTCTTCATATACAGACCTTGTAGTGGTTAGTGGGTAAGCTAGCTGACAAGATTATCTATTCTCCGTTTTAGTAAAATTTCTCTCCAACAGGTCTTCATTTACAGACCTTGTAGTTGTTAGGGGGTAAGCTAGCTGACAAAATATCTGGTCTCTTTCATAAATTTCTCTCCAAAAGATCTTCATGTAGTCCTTGTAGCAGTTAGCAGTAAGTTAGCCGACAACAGATCTGTTCTCTTTAGTAAAATTTCTCTCCGGAAGATCTTCATGTACAGATCATGTAATAGTTAGGGGGTAAGCTAGCAGACAACATATCTGTTCTTTTTAGTAAAATTTCTCTCCAGAAGATCTTCATGTACAGATCTTGTAGAAGTTAGTGGATAGGCTAGCTGACAAGATATCTATTCTCCTTTTTAGTAAAATTTCTCTCCAGAAGATCTTCATGTACAGTCCTTGTAGTAGTTAGGGGGTAAGCTAGCTGACAAGATATCTATTATTTTGTTAAATTTCTCTCCAAAAGATCTCCATGTACAGATCTTGTTGTAATTTGCAGGTATGCTAGCTGAAAAGATAATTACTGGGGTTGTTTGTGAATAGGTGTTAAAGGTGAAAAATTACCTCATGAAATATAAAATATTGAAAATCTTATGTATTACCTGTACTTTTGGATGTGATCCCGACTTGTAGGCATCTGTTAATTTTGTGTGTTCAGGGACTAAAAGATCTAATTGTAGTGTTACTGAATTGAATTTGCATCTTTGTTGCAGGACAGTTCCAATGTCCAACTTGTCACAAGAGGTTTAAGGGAGAGCATTACCTTAAAATGCACATGCTGATCCACAGTGGGGAGAAACCATTCCAGTGTGATATCTGTTCTGCTTCATTTAATCGGAAAGACAAACTCAAAAGGCATATGCTAATACACGACTCTAACAAACGTTACAGATGTCCCTTCAAAGCTCTCACAGGTACTGTACACTATTGTACTATACACTTCAATAGGAAAGTTATTGCAGAACCAAAACCAAAAGACAATTACTATCTCTTGACAAACATAAACATATTGTAGTTGGTTCTGAAATAAGCCCATGAATTAAATTTAATGCTTATTTGACTCATTCTTATGAGGATGTTAACGATCTTTAATGTTGATTGGGAAGATTACATATGTGAACATTTTAAATGTGTATCTGTAAACATTTGATAATTTATTTCTCATATTATAGGACAGTAAGTTAACTGTATCTCCATTGTTTTTCAGGTTGTCAGAAAGAATTTAATCGTCCAGATAAGTTGAAATCACACATTCTAACACATAGTGGAATTAAGCCCTACAAATGTCGTGAGTGTGGACGTTCGTTTGGCCGAAAACCACATCTGAGAGAGCATGAGCGTGGTCATCGCGCAGACTTCAAATTTAAGTGTGAAACCTGTGGAAAAGGATTTTTCAGACCAAAACTTTTTCAGTCTCATAAATGTCACCCTTTAAAGCCTGGTCAGGCCCATGTCTTTAAACCTCGAAACAAAAGGAAAGTTGGCCGTCCTAAAAAAAGAGTTCCCTCAGAAGCTGATAGTGTCCGAGTTGAAAATACCATGACACTAGATAATAAAGAGGAAAAGTCCTCAGCAAGGCCAGACGATACAGGAGATGCACATAATGTGATAGTTCAGGAAGAAAATACTAAGAACGGGTCAAGTGGTATGTATGTGAATGAGCAACTAGTGAGTATGAACGACCAGGAACAAGGGGGAGAACTATCAACTGCACCTGCAAAACGTACATCTCGAAGCAGTAACATAACTCCAACAGGCAAAAAACCAGAATTTTGTGTAAAAGTGAGTGCCCCTCCTCCTGTTCCTCCTCCTGTAGCACCTAGGTATGTTACTGTGCACATACAGAACAGTAGCACTGCCACAGGCCAAGATATCCAGACACATTTAATGCCACACCCCTCCCAGCAACTTGTTACACACCAAACTGGAACCAATGCTAACATGCAACCTATCACTATTATAGAGGCCCAGCATGTACCAATGCATCTTCCCATGATGACAGGGCTTGAAAACAACGCTGTAGAACCCATCACAATGCAAATGGCAACTGTCAGTGGTGCAGAAACTCTGGCACAGACAGTCACTGCTGTGGGAGGGGTTGTGAGTGAACTGATCCCAGTAGCTGTGGCCATGCAGGATAACACAGACTCAATAGTTGCTACCCAGGTGGTGGTCACATCTAATGGAGGGAGTGACCAAGGCTACATCACTTGTCCCACCCATCTGGATGACTATGGACCATCAGATGGGGATCTAGTGTTACAGGGAACAGACAATTTTCTCAAGGCCCATGCGGACATGTACCAGTCAGCTCAACAGTAATCTTTGGTGTCATATTTTTTCTTTTTCTTTGTTATTAAGATATCCTTTTTTGTTGTTATACAATTGTGATATTCAATTGAAATTTCTCCTTAATGATGATTGAAACTGCAGCACTTTAATCAAGATTATATTGCTACTTGAGAGCATTAAGGAACCAGATCATATTGCAGATAAAATGGTCGCAGGTACCAGAACATACTGCAGATAAAATGGTCACAGGTATCAGAACATACTGCAGATAAAATGGTCACAGGTACCAGAACATACTGCAGATAAAATGGTCACAGGTACCAGAACATACTGCAGATAAAATGGTCAGAGGTACCAGAACGTACTGCAAATAAAATGGTCACAGGTACCAGAACATACTGCAGATAAAATGGTCACAAGTACCAGAACGTACTGCAGATAAAATGGTCACAGGTACCAGAACATACTGCAGATAAAATGGTTACAGGTACCAGAACATACTGCAGATAAAATGGTCACAGGTACCAGAACATACTGCAGATAAAATGGTCAGAGGTACCAGAACATACTGCAGATAAAATGGTCACAGGTACCAGAACATACTGCAGATAAAATGGTCAGAGGTACCAGAACATACTGCAGATAAAATGGTCACAGGTACCAGAACATACTGCAGATAAAATGGTCACAGGTACCAGAACATACTGCAGATAAAATGGTCGCAGGTACCAGAACATACTGCAGATAAAATGGTTACAGGTACCAGAACATACTGCAGATAAAATGGTCACAGGTACCAGAACATACTGCAGATAAAATGGTCACAGGTACCAGAACGTACTGCAGATAAAATGGTCTTAGGTACCAGAACATACTGCAGATAAAGAACGAGAATATGTTCAGTTTTCTGAATAGCTGTAACTTCATTGTGTTGAAGTGCTTTAAATATGTATTCAACATTCATTGCATGCAATAAAAAAAACTACTACTATGCATCACTCAATGTTTACCTTCTTGTTGAGTAAATAGACTCGTCCTGGTTACTAATTTAGATACAGATGCAAGGAATAATTTTAACATGTATCTAAATATAGAATAAGGCAGTATTTTGTGGTATGCTCATATTTAAGTATGACTATAATGAAGGAACCTTGTGGATGAAATTTTGTGCATACATCTTTAAGCATTTTACAGATTTTACATAATGTTGATACATAATTGATCTTTATAGATGTAAAATTATTTTTCATGAAGCAAAGAGTTAATGAAACAAAACAAATGGTAGTTAGTGAAATAGTCAAATAATAGTAATTGATGTCAGTAAGTAAATGAAGAAGGTCCAATGTCTTATCTTAACAGAGAGAAACATCCTTATACATGTATAAATAAAAAGCAAAGTAGATGTCATTGTTTTTGGCAAATTTTTGTCTGTTAAACTTTTTACATTAATTGATAAATAAACACCTTATTTAAAACTGTAAGATATGTGGTATGGATATTGGTGTATTTTACTAATGTTTGAAATGGATCGTTATAATAAATTCAGTTATTGATCATAATTCTAATGAAATAAATTCCTCAATCACTTTAAACTAAAATTGAAATAATTATCCAGAATTTTAAATTGAATGATAGACTGATTTTGTTGATACAGGTGTGTCTGATTGTTATGATTGGAGTTTGATAAGTTACCCTATTTGTGGAGACTTGTGGAATCTTTCTCTCCCTTAGAAGTGAGATTGGAGGAACTCCGACCCTTGAGGAAATGTCATTAAGTTGGCAATGACAAGGCTAGCAGGGCGTTTGTAACTTTATCATATTTCCTTGATGTTTGAGATCTCTCGATCAGGAAAAGGGTGAATGTTTCTTAGTGTTTTTGTTGCCCCAATGTTTTGCATTATTGACTTGACAAATCATGGATGTGAAATGCTTAACTCTTCCATAGCAACCCAAGGGTGTAACATGGAAACTCCACTTATAGAAGTGTGGATAGGCTTGTCTAGTGCGAGGCAAATTTATTGTCCAGCTGGTGTTCATCTCAATTTTGTCATCTTCAATGTAGGAAAAAAAACAACTTTATCCTTGCAACCCAGAATATAGATCAAGGCCATTTAATTTTTGAAAACTAATAGCTACCTGTCTCTTTTGCTGATCAACTATTGACAAATTGCTTAGTAGTTTACTTTGTGACTGACTTTGAAAGTGCAGATGAATGCACAAAGTTGATGACCAGTCATCCCAGCATGTTTCTGATAAAATGGTGATTCCATATTGATTATACTCATTTACCCTTGGATATGTAAAATTATCACAAAAACATAAAATAAAAAGTTGAAATCTAATTACTTGTGCTTTTGACATGAAGATTATTTTTTTACAGAGCATGAAAAGATCTAATAATGGTGGGTGTCTGATTACTTTTGTGAGATTTTGATATGTGTTGTTGTATTCACCTGGAAAGACTGCATCTCATATATTTTGTATCTCATTTATCGAGTCCTAGCAAATGGAATAGTCATGGGAACAGGTGTAACTGTACAAATCCAGTACAAGTAAGATTTGAAATTATCTAACTTTAAAATTTATGAAGTTATTTACATAAAAGCTGGTGCAAGTTCAACAACCGCTGTTCTATCTTGATTGTTACCTTTTTGTATTTGGACGAGTATGATCCTTTCAATATCTATAGAAATCGGTAATGAAATCATTTTATACGAAGGTTCATCACCTTAAAATTTTGAACTGTTCACTTGAACTGTCACCCGATCCTATTTTGGTTGTGACCCTTTGACTTTTGTTGTATGTACACCATCATGAATGCATTATTAATTCTGAAATCTGATTTTGAGGATCACAGTGACTCGTTAACATATCTAGTAGTTATTGTAGTCACATGTGATTCTGGTGATACAGCATCATTAAAGAATCAAACTATTTATGAAGTGTTCTGCAATTGATTTTCAAAATTCATTAGGAGTTTTCTACCATTTTTATTATTTCTTTAAATTTTTTTCTTGTGTTTTGATAGTTAGCAAGTCATTTAACAGAATAAGTTATATGCTAATGATCATGGAAGTAACTAATTAATATAAACACAATTGTCTTGACTTATCAGTTTTGGTTTTGTCTTATTTATGTTTAGTTATATACTTTCTGTTTAATAAAATTAATTGTTAAATTGGACTTCAAGTGAATTTTGTCTTTATTCCACAGATCACTTATCCTTAATGCCTCGATTAACTTAGATATCACCAGGAACTCTCTGTTGCAGAATGATGGATAAAAAAAATTGTGTGACCAGTGTAAGATAGAAATAATAAAACTGATGGATTCAACTTTTTCCACAGAAAAGTCAGTGAAACAGAAATATACAGCTAGTTTTCCAATCTATATACATTAATAGAATGTTCCTGTTGATTTACATTGATAATTAGATGAAGTACAGAATCAACATTGTTTCTTTAATCATTCACATGGATTATCGTATGCCATTGCACTTCAAAAAGAGTAATGTGTAAACCAACAAAGGCAAATAAAAAAGTAAAGAACCATTTTGGATTAAGATTGTGTGCTCCGTAAACATGGGCAACTGCATTATTGATGACTTTCACCATGAACTAGATACAATCCAAATACAGGTAGTGTAAAGGAGTAAAACTAGTTCATTCTCAGATGATAAGTGCATAAATGAATTACAAGTGTGGCTGCATGTCATATCCTGCATGTTTATTGAAATCCTAGATTCCATACACTGGCTTTATTTGAAATTCCGGAATATGGGATCTAGGATTTCAATTATGCTATGGAGTATGAAATAAAGGATTTCAATAAAGCCCTTCTCAATGGCTTTATTGAACCTATATTCCATACTCAATGGCCTTCAGATTTAAATCCTAGATTCAATACTCTGTGGCTTTATTGAACTTCCTAGATTCCATACTGCATGATTTTATTGAAATCCTAGATTACATACTCTGGGGCTTTATGGAAATTCTACATTCTATACTCCAAAGTCCTTCAGTTTATATATTTCTAAATTTATATTTCTGATGTATGTTCCCTAAATAACAAGAAATTTACCATGCCTATCATATATACCAACCTGAATTGGCTCAGTCGCTTGCCTTAATCTTTTCCTACACCAAAATCATCAAGGACAGCTCCTTACCAAGCTGTGTGATAAATTTGATGATTTCAATTTCCCTATTGTAATTTTTTTCATTTCTTGAGAGCAGCATTCCTACATCCATATCTATTTGATTGATTTAAATATTGAAGCTGATTTGATATCCAATGATTTATCAGTATCATGATTTTCCTGCAAGATGATGGCAACTGACAAACTCACAACACAGGGTTTAGGAGACGCAGGTTAATAAAACGGATGCCAAAGTTTTGCAGCCGTCATAGTGATCTCATCTTGGCAAAAATATTTTCTTGTGCATTAGAAACTAGGGTGTGTTTGATGCTCATTATTATAACAGTTGGGTCCATTGTCTTCTTTAGAGAGTGTGACATTACTTACTGGATTAACCATATGATTTACATGGCGGATTATTATAATGTTGACATGCTAAGATTTTCTTGTTGTTTTTCTTCTACTATAACCGGTTACACAAAATTAATGACTCCTTCGAAGCTTATATCCTCAAAAATATTCTTCAACTACATGTCTACCCCACTCCCCCCTGCTAAGAATTTTGACGTAGCCTTTTAGACAGTAGGTCAGTAATAAGTAGAAGTTAACACGTTACACTTTGCCTGGCAATTCAACTATACATTTGCTGCGAGTAAAACCGTGATGCACTTCTTTGCATGGAACACACACTACTTTACTGTTAAACGTGGACCTTTAACCACCATACTTTAAACAAATTAGCAGATACCATTAACAACGCAAGTCGCGTTACACTTATGTTTGGTACTTTTGTTTAGTGCACAGTGACGTTAACCATACGAAAAATGTTACACTTATGTTCGAGTGACATAGCGTTACACTTATGTTTGGTACACAGTGACGTTAACTATAAGGAAGCCGCCATGCACTACACACGCCAGTGCTAGTATGATTCACGCTGGTCATTTGTCTGATGTAGGATGACCGTGTAGTTATCGAAATGTCACTCTCAATTCTCCGACGGGTTGTGTCACAATTGACATTACAGACCTGAAGAAAATGTTCCGAAAATCCAGTGCGATAGTTAACCAGAGCAGTAAAAGTTGTTAAAAGTGTACCTTGTTACATTTGTGGCAACTTAAACAAAACAAAAATTACATGATAGATGAAGTTCACCAATTCATCAGCTGTCAAAATTCGTTAAATCTCAATGCGTGTCGCCATTACGAGATTTGAGTACAAGACGGTTACTTCCCCTAACAATAGAAAAGATTTTCCTACCAGGTGGCTATGACGTCACGGTACACCTCGTGAAAATGGCAGAAACAACGCTGTATGAAGTGCTGGGTGTTTCTAAAACTGCCTCTGATGGAGAAATCAAGAAGGTAAACATGCAGAAAAAGTTGAAATCTATTGTCTTCATACTCTTTTCCTTTTTATCCTATGTTTAAGTAATCTTAAATGTAGAGTTAGATATCGTTCCCGACGTTTTTGTTCCTCAACAAATGGGTTCCGGCGTGGAGGAGTCGTGCATGGTCTTGACATTATCGTTTTTGCGACCTTATTGTAGAGTTTGTGCTAACAATATGCTTATACCCGTGCTCAAGGCATTTTCTCGATTATTTTACGTGGGGGCCAAATTATATGATAAATAATACTTTACTCTTAACCTTAAAAAACTGTTAAATTTTTTAACAAAATGGCGAGTTGAAAGAATATTCTAGTTTCATTAAAATTACGTCACCTTTAAGTTGTAAATTACCATTCGAGAAGAATCTAATTATGACTTTTCAGTTAATTTCATTTCTTTGCTTTGGTTACTTCAGAAACTTGCTTGAGTTTCATTGAATATAAAGTCGACAGACCTATTGTAATTCAACATTACTATAGGCATGACCCTTTAAAGACGACATAAAAACCAAAAGTATTTTAGTATGGCTACCTCCACGCACGGTGTTAACAGAAGCTGTGATGTCGTACCATGTAAGATAATGTTAACTAGAATTGAACTATTCAGTAATCTTCATTAAGACCACACATAATCAAAGGACACCAAATGATCAGATGTTTGAGTTCTTGACCTGAACTTTCCAGTAGAACTCACTAAAACTTTTAGCAATGGAACTCGTGAAAAAGATCCTTCAAAAGTTACTGGGTCACAGGCAGAATTACTAGATGCAACTCCTTGTATAAGAATTAATGTGGACAAGTAGCCGGCCACAATATATTGTTTGATGGTAGACTATGAACTTCTCGTCAATTAAATAGGTTTAGTGTAAGATTTGTAGCTAAGTAAAACATGTCCTTTGTTTGATTCCTTAGTCAAGTCACTGCTATGAAAGCATTTATGATCTATTAACAAAAAGTCCATGTAACATACTGGTAGGTAAATGACTTCTGATTTTTATGGCTGTGTTACATTTAGTAATGTGATGAGGGCTCAAAACATTTTGAGCCACCAGCAAAGTGCTTAAAATTTCTCCTGGCACGATTGGATTTTGCACTTCAAATTAAATGCTTATAGGGCTGTTATGGACATGTGTTGGGTTGGAGGAGTTAATGGATTTCAGAATGGATACCTGTCAAAAAAGGAAACATCTAAAAACTGAATTAGTAATGCATTAGCGCCCTGGCAGGGCTCTTGATCTGCCAGATTTGGGGCCGAATCCCAATGCAAAATAGTTTTTTTTTTCTCCCAATTTTGACCCCAATTTTTTCCAATTCTAAGGAAAACACCATTATTTTTCCCAAATCTAAGGGCCCCGGGCCCCAGTCCCAAAATGGGGTGTGAGAGGCCTGTCTGGCTTGCTCTGTTTCCTCTAACCAGGGACAACACTATCTCTTATATGTTCATATGCAAAATTGTTCTAATTTGTTTTCTCACAACTGTGTTTCATCATGGGAGCTGTCATCCACATTGGACGTGTGTTGAACTAGAAAGCTTTACTATTGTTATATTAATAACACAAGAGGCTTTCTGAATGAGATTTCTTGTTGTTGTGCAAGTGCATTATACCAAAGACCATGTTTGATATTCTAACTTAAAAGCGACACTTAAAACATGTTAGAGGAAGTGTTAGAGGAATTGTTTCATTTTAATTGCATGATTTGTAAAAATTTGTAAACTAATTGAGGCATGATTTCCACCATGACCCTGTCTGATTTCAGATGAATGTATTGTGTGTTAACATCAGTGTAAAACTTATTCCTATTGAAGATAAAGCCATCATCATTAAATATACATATTTAAAAATGTGACTTTTTCACTGATCATATACACAGAAAGTTGACCACTAAAATCATTATTTTGCAATTTGCATATGCTTATTTTCAAGCTTGGTAGTTATGAACATTGTGATAAAGTGATCATAATTTCAACTGACCAGAATGAGACAAAGCTGTGTGGTGTCTGTCAAAATATGTACAATGTATATATCATTGATTATCTTATCCAAGTTATGAATACATGTACAGATGATGAGTATTTACAGCAGTTACACATGATAGAAATCAGTTGTGCTGTGTGTGTTAACTACCTTGCCCTTTTGACATAATTTATCTGTATACAAACCATTTTCTTTTTTAACTTTAAACATGTGCTTAGAAAACAACAGCATTGTGTTCCTTTCCTCATTGGAGGTTCATTTTTTAAATAGAATGTAACCCATAATGATAACAGTGCTTGTATGATATACAAAAGCACTTTTAATTTACTATTAAATGACTCTTGAAATCTTGGTTTCTTTCCAGTCCTACTATAAGTTGGCAAAGGAATTCCATCCTGACAAGAATCCACAAGCAGAAGATAAGGTAAGAATGTTTTCATCTTGAATCCAAATCCTAATACTTGGCATATTGATTTCTGTTTAAATCAGAGTAATCAAATTTAATACCTTACACCAGGTTTTGTGTGATATAATATACAGTGATATATATGGAGAAAAAGTGGATGATTTTTATCTCCTTCCTAACTAGTGTTACACTTGTCTATCAGTCTATCATAATTTTGTTTCTATCATTTACTCTATGAAAGTTACGAAAAAAGGACTGATTTGGTATGTGGATGTATGGTAATATGTAAAGTTTGAATTTGGTTGTAGTTGGTTATTTTTTACATGCATACTTATTGTTGTATGTAAATGCTAGACTGATTTTTATCTAAATAGAAATAAAAAAATCTAGTTTAAGGAAATAAGCTTTGCCTATGAAGTTCTGTCTAATCCTGAGAAAAGGGAGACCTATGACAGATTTGGGCTACAAGGACTTAAGGAAGGAGGTGGGGCAGGAGGAGGACCAGGTATGTAAAAAAAAGTTTCAGAAAAACTTGAAAAATTGTAGCTTTAAGTTGATATAATATATCTTTCCAAAGTGTATAACTATTATCTTGCATGATATATACAGTTACAGAGCAAAATGATTATTTATTGATCAGTATGGTACATTTCAGTTGTTATGCTTTAGGGTAAGAAAATATTTCATTTGTCAGGACAAAGAAAATAATGTATATTTGACATGAATTCCTATCAAATGTTTGGTGACCATGATAATTTTCCAGTTGGGCATTATAAGAAAGATCTGCCATACTTGTCTGCAGTTTGCCTACTAGTCAGCAATGACTGTCACAACCTCTAGTTCAATCACAGCTGTAAAGCAAAGATATTTAACCATTACCATCATCTGAAATGATTTACCCCTTTGTAAACATAGATTCTTTGGTGCAGTCATATTTGAGTGTATTATCAGTTGATCACAAATTAGCAAATTAGTGCAATGATAAATTCACACAGCCACTATAATTACTTAGTAAGTAGCATATAAAAACTGGACCTAGCACAATGCTTTAAGCATGATAAATACTGAAAAAAGATAACCACTAAAATATGTGTGCTTACACTATCTTAATAAACACTTGTATGCTCTTTCAGGCTTTTCGGACATGTTTGGTGATTTATTTGGAGGAATGTTTGGGGGTCCATTTGGAGGAATGGGCGGAATGGGTGGAATGGGAGGTCGACGTGGCAGGAGGAAAGGGGAGGACACACTTCATCCTCTCAGGTATTATCAACTTGTCAGCTCTTACCCATCTCAAAGGGAAAGGATAATGTTTATGAGCTTTCAAAATATTGATACCTCTTTTTGCACAAAAGAACCAATACAATTAAAACAAATCAGCACTGAAGTAGGCAGAGTAATGATCAACTACCACAAGGACTGTGATGGTCAAACATAAAGTTTCATTTCATCCCAGTGTATAGATTGTGACATGAAATGTAAAAAACTTCAGCAGCCTTTGATGGAACAAGAAAGTGTTCTTTTTTAAGTTTTGAGATCAAACTTCATTTATTTAAACATTTATCTAGAATGAATTTTTATTTTTTAGGTCACAATTATTCCATAACCTTAACTTTTATTGAAGAAAAATTCATGCGTTCAAACTGAAATACCTAAGGTTTCAGTGATCTTTTAAGGAATTCAAAATAACTGGGTGTGTAAACTGTAATTTGGTATAGATTTTTAGCATCATAACATTGTAAATGTGTAGCAGTATTTGAAAAAATATATGATTATACATTCATTTATATTAAAATTAAATGAAATTTGACAAATGAACTTCCTTCCAGTAACTTGGCCTCTTTATGATTAGCTAACAAATAAGATAATTTATGGGGAACAGACATAGTTCTGTAATTAGTGGTAGTTTTCTCCAATATGGGAAAACTCCTCAGTGAGAAAAAGATTGCATATGAATAAGCAAAGTATACCCATTTTTACAATTAATTTGGATTTTTTGGGGTATTATTTCAGTTTACAAAGTGTAAGTTGTCATTGACATTAAGAGTCAATTTTAGAATTTGTTCAATATTTCATGTTTACTGCTACAGTTAATGTTCATGGTTGCCTTTGAAGAGTGATGACTAATGTCAGTTTGAATTGGCGGTAATTTCATCTTGATTATTGGGTGCAGCTGTGGAGAGAAAAGGTTAACAATATTTCTCAAATGTTACTATATTTTCCTGGGTTTTTTTAAAGCCTGTATTTTCTTGCATAGTTAGATTAATCGTAATCAAATTATGTATAATGTAGATTTTTCATTTTTCAGAGTAACACTTGAGGACTTGTATAATGGAAAAACATCAAAGTTGCAGTTAAGCAAAACAGTAATCTGTACAAAGTGCAATGGGTAAGTAACTAGTGTTAAAATCAGGAATAGTATACCTTTATCATATGCGTATATCCGGTTTTGGTGTTTACTTCCGGTAAAGATGGTTGATGCGGAGTATGGCATGCACTTGCTCCTGGTTTGAGGGATATCATGTGGGTAATATATGATTAGATGGTCTATCAGCTTCTATTTGATGATTAGTTGGTATATCGGATATCTACGATACCATTTGTAAACAAACAAGGGGTCTCCCTCAGACCGGGAGCAATTGCCTGCTTGTTTTTTTTTAGTGTGTGTGGTTGGTGGTGCAACAGTATGTTCTTTTTGTCATTATTTTTTACTCATGAATGCTCTTACTTTCTACAACTTTCTTTTTTGATGTTTTCCTCAACTCTATATCTTATCTTGTATTTCTGCTTTCTCTTTCCTCTGCCTGGGATGTTAACTAACTATAGAAAAAAGGTAAAGTCTAAGTGCATACCAGGTATAAATGGCCCTCATAGTTGCAATAATAGTATATCTTATACTCAATACTTAACTTTGACTCGGGTTATTTTATGTATGAAACTAGATAACATTGGTAGGCTATATTATGATCAATTTTACCCAGGCCCAAGTTATATTTGCTTATTATTGGCTCAGAATTATGGATGTTTTTATAGTACACACAGTTGTTAAGTCTAATGCATTAGACCAATACAGATAATATGGAATCTATTGGTATATTAGCAGCTAACTGTCAAGGCTTGGGTGATCATAACAAAAGAAATGATGTTTTCTCATTTTTACGAAATAAAAAATTTAATATTTATTGCATTCAAGAAACACACTTTACTACTGAAATGGAAAATTCTGTAAGGTCTGAATGGGGTTATGAATGTTTTTTTAGCTGTTACAGATCAAACTCAAGAGGGGTGGCAGTATTAATTGATAATAATTTTGAGATGAAGGTAATTAAAGAGAAGAAGGATAATAGTGGAAATTTTTTAGCATTAGATATGTTAATAGAGGGTAAAAATGTGACTTTGATAAATTTATATGGTCCAAATACAGATAGTCCACATTTTTATGAACAGGTAGTTGATGTTGTGAATGAGTTTAATAATGAATTCCTTATTATATGTGGGGACTTCAATCTCGTACTTAATCCTGACATAGACTATGATAATTCTTATAGACAAGTAAATAATCCAAAAGCTAGGGACAAAGTAATAGAGATGATGAACGAAATAGGGTTAATAGATATATACAGAGATCAATACGAAGACTCTAGAAGATATACTTGGAGAAGAAGTAATCCAAGGAAACAAGCTCGACTAGATTTTTTCCTTATTTCCGAAAACATGCTGCCCAGTATTCAGAAATCAAGCATAGACCCTGGTTATAGATCTGACCATTCAATACCTACAATATCTTTTAAGTTTAATGATTTCAAAAAAGGAAAAGGACTATGGAAGTTTAATAATTCTTTACTTCATGATATAGACTTTCTGCAAATAATCAACAAACACATTACTGATATCAAGAAGCAGTATGCACTACCTATATACAACCTAGATGCTATTCAGACAATACCAAACAGTGACATTCAATTTACCATCAATGATCAACTTTTCTTAGAGACACTGCTGCTTGAAATTCGAGGAAAAACCATATCATTCTCATATAAGAAAAAACTTCAAAACCAGACAGAAAACAAACTAATAAAAACAATAGAAACCCTAGAATCTAGTGATAACATAGATTATACATTATTAGATTCTAAAAAAGAAGAATTAAGAAAAATTAGACAACATAAACTAAAAGGAAGTATTATTAGATCTAAGGCAAAATGGACAGAGGAAGGAGAAAAACCATCAAAGTATTTTTTGAACCTTGAGAATAGAAATTTTACTTCAAAGATAATTCCTCAGATAGAAAAAGAGAATGGAGAAATTGTAAGGAAACAAGAAGATATTTTAAATGAAACAAAGCTTTTTTATGAAAAACTTTATGCAGGTGATAGTTGTAATGTTCATGATATGAATTTACAAGACTTAAGTGAAATGAATATTCCAAAACTTAATCAATTTGAATCACAAAGTCTAGAAGGTTTACTAACTATTAGTGAGGCTTCTCAAACATTGAAGAAAATGAAAAATAATAAGAGTCCAGGCTCTGATGGTTTCTCTGTAGAATTTTTTAAATGTTTTTGGAAAGAACTGGGTGATTTTGCTGTTCGATCATTTAATTATGGTTTCTTCAATATAAAAACTTACTGTAACTCAACGCCAAGGAATTATCACTTGTTTACCAAAAGGAAATAAACCTAGACATGTTATAAAAAATTGGAGACCAATTTCACTGCTAAATGTAACATATAAGATAGCATCAGGCTCTATCGCAAATAGAATTAAAACAGTCCTAAATAAATTAATAGATTTAGATCAGTCTGGTTTCATTGAAGGTCGATATATAGGAGAAAACATCAGGCTCATTTATGATACAATGCAATTTGCAGAAGAAAATGATATACCCTGTCTTCTATTAGTTGTTGATTTCGAAAAAGCATTTGATTCGGTTGATTGGAAATTTATTGACAAAGTACTTGCCTTTTTTGAGTTTGGTGAAGATATTAGAAATTGGATAAAACTTTTTCTTACTCAACCATGTTCTTCTATTAATCAAGGGGGGAATTTGTCAACATTTTTTGAGATTAAAAGAGGGTGTAGACAAGGGGATCCAGTTTCCCCTTACCTATTCATTTTATGTGCAGAAATCTTAGCGATAAGATTGAGAAATAATGAGAATATAAAAGGTATTCAAATAGAAAATACACCTATTCTTTTATCACAGTATGCAGATGACACCACTATCATTTTAGACGGTTCCAAGAAGTCGCTAAAAGAAACCTTACGTGAATTAAATGATTTTGCTAAAATATCCGGTTTGAAAATAAATGCCAGTAAAACCCAAGTTATCTGGATTGGAAGTAAAAAATATAGTCAGGAAGTCTTTTACCCTGAACTCAATCTACAATGGGGAGACCATAAGTTTACCCTATTAGGTATTGATTTCCATGTTGATCTACACAGAATACCAAAACTGAATTTTGATAAAAAACTTGTGAAACTTAAGGCAATTATTAAAAGCTGGAGTAGGAGAGCCTTGACTCCATTTAGGAAAATACATGTTATGAAATCACTTTTAATTTCACAATGCAATAATCTTTTTATATCAATACCAAATCCAAATGAAAGCTTCCTAAAATGCATTACCACTGAAATATACCATTTTTTGTGGAACAGCAGAAGGGATAAAGTGAAAAGGGAGGTAATTACAAAACAATATGAAGAAGGAGGACTTAAGATGTTAAATCTGGAAAGTTTTGTCAGATCTCTGAAGCTAACATGGGTAAGAAGACTATTAACACAAAGTGGAAAATGGCAGATTTTGTTAAATACAAACATTGATATAACTATGTTAATGAGTTGTGGACCACAATTTATAAATGAATACCTCAAAATATGTAAAAATCAGTTTTGGAAAGATGTCTTTAAAGCTCACATAGAACTTAGCCGGACAGAGGAACTTTTCTCAAATAAGACAACATCAATATTAAAAACACCACTTTGGCATAACAATAAGATAAGAGTGGGGGACAAGACACTTTTTTATAAGAAATGGTACTCCATTAATGATTTGATAAAGGATATTAATTCAGGAGTCTTCTATAGTTTTCAGGAATTTGTAACCAGATATGGCGTGCCAACTAATTTTTTAGAATATCAGGGGGTAATTCATATTGTTAAAAAGCTTATTTCTGACACAGATATTACCAATCATCCAGTTGTATATCCATATTTACCAAAGGCTTTTGAGATTTACTTTAAAAATAAAAAAGGATCAAAAGATTTTTATCTTTTATTATGTCACAACAATACATTGTCTACAGGTAAACAAAAATGGAACACCATGTTTGAATACAGTGACGAAAAATGGAAACAAATATACAAATTGCCTTTTAAAGTAACAAAAAATACCAAATTACATTGGTTACAATATAGGATAAATCAGCATATTTTAACTACTAACACTTACCTATCAAAAATAGGGATAGAAAATAGTTCTTCCTGTTTCCAGTGTGGAACAGAACCAGAAACAATTATTCATGCCCTATGGGAATGTGAAAAAGTACAAAGATTTTTACAGAATTTTGAATATCTTGTGGACAGTCTTTCAATTCCTTTTGCATATAATAAAGAATCCTTTTTATTTGGAATATTGAATAGGAACAATATCAATTTTGTAGTGGACAACACAATAATATTGATAATGAAACAGTACATCTATAGCTCTAGATGTTTAAAAACGGAATTTTCTATTCATGGTCTCAAGAATCTAATTAAGGAAACATATTGTGTCCAGAAATTCATAGCTACTGGAAAAGGGAATCTGGTACTGGATGAGTTTAAAAAAGTATGGAGGAAATGGGAAAAGTTAATTGAGATAACTTAGCATCATAAATTTGTGTTTCTAGGATGTGGTTATACATTCCCAGGCAGCTCCCTCTTAATTTCTCTCTCTCTCTCTCTTTCTCTCTCTCTCTCTCCCTCTCTTTCTCCTTCTGAGATATATTCCTTTTATGTAGTTATGTGTATTTGTTCTGTGTTTTTTGAATGGGTGAAGTATGAGTGATAATAATATGTAAGAATGTTTGTATAGGTGTAGTATAGGTAAAGGATGAGTGAATATGTATACATAGTGGAAAAATGAGTGAACACATCCTTCAGGGGAGTTTGTATAGGTGTATGATATATATATGAAGAATTAGTGAAAATGTAGTGTATGAAATATAAGTGAATCAATCTTTTATGAGTGTTTTTGTTATATAAATGAGGTGCAGGTGAAATATGAGTGAATGTAGTATAGGTGAAGGATGAATGAATATATCCTATATAATAAATATACCAGTTGGGAGTGTTGTATAGATGAAGTGAAGGTGATGTATGAATGTAGGTGTATGATGAGTGACTGAAAGAAGAAAAGCTGAATGGGATATAAAATATAAATGAGAAAGTGTGGTATGTTTATTGTCTTGCAATGTATCCTGTTTGAAGAAAAAAAATAAAAAGTTACAAAAAAGGAATAGTAATATCACTAACCAGTCAGATGAACCTAAGAATGAATTTTGTTTCATTGTCTATCCTGCATGTATGCTTTCAATCCAGTTTTTTTTTAAAATTATGCTCCTTTAATTGTATAATTAGTAAACTCAACAAATCATATCCAAATGTCTGCAATTGTTTATCATATGTCGATCAACAGATTTCATAACCATACATTTAAATTATGTACCTGCATCAATAACTTCATAGTTTGGAATAGCAGAGGTGTTCATGAAATGTTAGTCCATTCATTAAGGTGGAGACAAGTACAATGGTACTGAAACAAATGTTGGAATCTTAACAAATATTTATCAATGTCCTGAATAGTAAATGGTATTCTAATATGAGTTTATACAGTTTTAGTACAAATTTTTCAATCAAATACAGGATCATTTCCACTTGATTCATAAAGTAAACTGAAGACATGCTGGTGACAGTGGTATGGAAATAATATAATTAAAGTGAAAACTTTGAATTTTGTGTTGAATTTGCAGATGTGTGACATTTTTGTTGATTTTATTTTTCATTGAAAAACATATGTGTGACTCTTTCTAGTTCTGGTGGAAAAGAAGGTGCAATGCACAGATGTAGAACGTGCAACGGCCGTGGTGTCAAGGTAACCCTTAGACAGCTTGGTCCTGGCATGGTACAGCAAATGCAATCTGTGTGTCCAGATTGTCATGGTGAAGGTAATTTACTATGAGTTTTTAGCACAAAAAGAAAAATAGTGCATTGCAATATGCTTCTATTGAACTGTTGAAATGTTGTCAGCAACCTTTTGGTTTAGACTGGGACTGTAAATTAGATATTACATGCCTTGTTTCTGTGCCATTTTACTTAGAACTAAATGCAAGTCTCTCATAATGATAAAAAAATTCTCAAATGAATGGTATGATTCATCAATGACATCTGAAATGTCTTTTTAAATTGAAATTATGATAAATGCAATTGCAACTCTAGCTGAAAAAAGGAGTTCTTATAGCTGCACGAAAGTTCTTATGATGTATTTGTGTCATAGTATAATGTCTTATTATTGGACTAACAATATTGCTCTGTTACTAGGTGAGGTGATCAATGAAAAAGACAAGTGTAAGGACTGTAAAGGGAAGAAAGTGGTCAATCAAACAAAGATCCTTGAAGTCAATGTAGACAAGGGCATGAGGGATAACCAGAAAATTACATTCAGATGGGAAGGTGACCAACTGGTATGTTTCTAACTTCATCGAATCGAGTTAGTTGCAGTAAGTTAATCTGTGTTAGCTCTAGATGGTCACTGAGATATAACCTCGCAAATCTCCCTCACAGTTCATAAGTATTGTGGTCAGAGGTCATCATTTTTTCTTTCTAATTTCATCAAGTTCTATACATTATGCCTTCCTGTAAACATGGAATTTACTTTAAATATGCGGCAAATACTAAGCCATGTAAATTTCCGTTGCATATTTATTTAACATATGTATATGGTCCAGACATTGTAAAATCATCATATTACATCCTGGAGCTAAAAACAAAATAATTTACCTTTGTAATTTAAGCACATTAGATAAAGGAGCAGCAGACAATCATCTTTAATACTTTTCAAATCACAGACGATAAATGTTGGGTTAAAAATGATAATTGGTCAGTTTGACTTTTACTGGTATGGAAGTTAATGGCCAATGTGAGTTGACCATATAATGCTACACAAACTAATCATTGATGAGAAAACCATTCATCAGTTATGATGATCTTCATAAAACTCCAAGGAAATGCTCATGATTTGTGCTCAAATTATATGGTATAAATCGTGTGTGCCAGGGCTCTCGATCTGCCAAATTTGGGGCCGAATTCCCAATGCAAAATAGTATCTTTTTTTCTCAATTTAAACCCCAAGTTTTCCCAATTCTAAGGAAAACAGCATTATTTTTCCCAATTCTAAGGGCCCCGGGCCCCAGTCGCAAAATGGGGTGTGAGAACCCTGGTGCCTCACCAAGACAAAGCCTGTGATAGGTAATCGTAGACCAGTCAATGATCAAGGAAAGAACACTTATTGATATATTTTTGAAATATACACTAAATACCCTAAGGCACTTTGATCACAAAAATAATCCTCACATATTTGGTAACCCTATTGAAATCGGGAAATTCAAACCTCTGCGGAAATAACCACCTTTACAGTATATCACAAGATCGTTGAACTGTAATATGTTCAGCTGTTCTGTGGCATGTTTAAGTATAAACTTCTGAATGATGAATTCAACATTTTAGAATACATATCGGGTAAAAATCAGTGTCATTTGTTTATATTTAATCAGGAAACTTACTGTAGGATTATTGCACAATTGTGACCAACTGAAAGTTATTTGATAGATATTCTAAGCAATCCCTGTAGGTTAAAACTTTTGAACTAATGATTTACCTGTTTGGTAATAATCTGCTTTAATTCAAATTCTAATTTGAATAACATTGACCTGGTATTTGAATTGCTGTAGGCCATTGAAACAGCAAGCAAGTTAAAATGATACTTAGATATGAATTTTGTTTATCTATATTTTTAATTTTTGAATTTTGTCACTTTTTTTAACAGCCTGATATGGAGCCAGGTGATGTCATAATTGTGCTGAAGCAACAAGAACATGAATTGTACACACGTGACGGAGACAATCTCTACTGTACATACAATCTTAGTCTTACAGAAGCTCTCTGTGGTTTCCAGTTTACTCTCAAACATTTAGATGGTAGAGATTTACTCGTCAAAAGTCCCCCCGGTGATGTTATACATCCAGGTAATTGATTGATTCTGTAATGATGCCTTGTCCCGTGTTAAGACAGATATATTCTGCTCTAATTGCTTATAGCTCAGTAAGCATCATACATACTTTATATTCTTTATTGCGTGGTCTTTAGGTCATCTGATCCAAAGGGTCATGATGACCTATAGCCATAGTGCTTCATCTGTTGTCATCTGCTGCGCATAAACTTTTGACATTCCAAACTCCTTCTCAAGTTCCACCTGTGGGATTGATCTCAAACTTGCATGAAATAATCCTCAGATAGTCCTGACCAAGTATTGGAATTTTTCGGGTATGTTTGAAATCCAAGATGGCAGCCATCTTCAAAAATATATTTTAAACTTCTCCAGTCCCACTAGTGCCATTGAGCTAAAAAATTATTGGGAGTGTTAAAGAAAAGTAGCCAACGAAGTGTTGTTAATTTTTGGCCTGTCAAACCTTCTATACAGCAGTCAGGGAGGCCATTTTATATCATTATTGTGCAATCATGGTTTTCCTTTGTAACACCTATTTCAAACTTCTTGAGTTCCACCAATGGTATTTAGCTCACACTTGCATGAAATGATACTGGGATGGTCCTGTCCAAGTATTGTTATTTTTTGGTCAATCTGAAATCCAAGATGGCTACCATTGCTGCCATTTTGAAAAACATTTTAAAATTTCTTCTCCAGTTTCAATTGTGCTTTGAGCTGAGATTTAAGGAAAGGTAACCAACAAAGTGTTATTACTTTTTTGACCTTGTCAGAACTTTGAGAAATCAGCCAGGGAGGCCATTTTGTAACATGGTTGCGCTATCTTGGTTTTCCTTTGCAACACCCATTTCAAACTTTTCAAGTTTCACCAGTTGGACTGAGCTCCAACTTTACTGTCAAACAATATGTAACACTTAATACAGTTACCTACTCCTCATCAAATCTACCATCTGCATCATGGAAAATAGCTTCTTAGTAAGATTTTTATTCATAGAAAATAACCCTTCTCCCTGCTGAAAGTCTTTGTAGCCAGATAACTGTTAAGGTCCATGGGCCTCTTGTTTGTACCTTCACATTGCCTCTGCAAGGTGACTGCTTCTTTTTATATTTCTGTATTGTACAAACTGGATAGTAAAATAGAGGTTAAAATACAAAACTAGGCAAATATTGGAAGGCTGATTTCTGACAAACTGAAACCCTTTATATGAAATATGATAATAAAGGCTACTCCACCTGAAGAAGTCCATTTTGATCATCATCTTGACTTGGAGCAATGGTATCAATATAGAAATTGTATTACATATTTTTGTGATTTCAGGAGCTGTAAAATGCATAAAAGGAGAAGGAATGCCTACATACAAAAGTCCATTTGACAAAGGAGAACTTTTAGTAAAGTTTGATATCACCTTCCCACCACAAAACTTTGCACCTGAACACAAGTTACAGGTAATGTTTGAAATGATCTTGGCGGTGTTATTAATCAAGGGCCTTATTAGAACATTACCAGGAACCGGAGGGAATTATAGTTTTGGGTTGTGTCCATCCAACCTTCCGCTATCATGTTGGGGCCCTATTTCCTACATAACTATCCACATGAATTTAATACTTAGAGATATAGGTCCCCTTGGGAGACAGTATGTTGCCCATTAAAAGTAAGTTACTTTGACCTATATTTTTACCTTTGACCTACATCAAAGAAAAGGATTGTCTGGGCCTTATTTCCTACCCTACTAATTATGGGAACTTCATACTTAAAGATATGGGCTCAGTTTGTTTAGATTGTGTTTTGCATATCAAAAGCAGGTTACCTTGACCTTCGTTTTGACCTTTGACCTAAAGTCTCTGCCCTATCTCCAATGAACTAGTTCTTAGTATTTTATATATGGGTTATTTATCAAAAGTAAGTCCTTGTGACCTTCATTTGAGGTTTGACCTACATGGAAAAAAACATTTTTTTGGACCAATCTTATACACAACTAATCAAAGGAACTTAACATTTTGGATATTAATTCACCTTAGTGAGATGGTATGTCACATTTAAGAACATCAAAAATACCATCATGGCAACATAATCATAATTCAAACTCCAATTCCATAAAACTAGGGCAAATATGAATAAAAGAAAGATTTATACATGGAGACTCCTGAAAAAGTACAAGGAGAATAAGATTAGATGTTCTGGAAGAGTAAGCATCTTCTGACTCATCAATATCACCTGCTATGCAAACACCTTGGTCATTCCAAGTAAGTAATGTCACATTCTCAAATGAGAACAAGGTATACAACAATGGAACCAACAGACAAACAAATGAGCATCAAGTACGTCTAGACTATGCTACTAATTTTCTTATTCATGCTAAAAAAAGCTATTTGGTTAGAAGTTCTCTTGGGGGGGGCCAGTCGGGGGGGGGGGGCCCAGTCTTCTACACTACTAATCATGGGAACTTCAAACTTGGAACATTGATGAGATGGTGTGTCACATATCAAAAGCAGGTAATTGTGACCTACACTTTGACCTTTGGCTTACATCAAAGGAAATGTTAGGGATATGAATTCATCTTGGTGAGGCAGTGTATCAGGTATCAAAAGTGGGTCATTGTGACCTACATTTTGACCTTTGACTTACATCAAAGGAAACGTTTGGGATAAGAATTTATCTTGATGAGATGTGTATGTATCAAAAGTGGGTCATTGTGTCATATATTTTGACCTTTGACTTACATCAAAGGAAATGTTAGGGAAAAGAATTTATCTTGATAAGATGTGTATCAGGTATCAAAAGGGGGTCATTGTGATCTATATTTTGACCTTTGACTTACATCAAAGGAAAGTTTGGGAAAAGAATTCATCTTGATGAGATGTGTATGTATCAAAAGTGGGTCATTGTGTCATATATTTTGACCTTTGACTTACATCAAAGGAAATGTTAGGGAAAAGAATTTATCTTGATAAGATGTGTATCAGGTATCAAAAGGGGGTCATTGTGATCTATATTTTGACCTTTGACTTACATCAAAGGAAAGTTTGGGAAAAGAATTCATCTTGATGAGATGTGTATCAGGTATCAAAAGTTGGTCATGTGACCTATATTTTGACCTTTGACTTACATCAAAGGAAATGTTTGGGAAGAGAATTTATCTTGATAAGATGTGTATCAGGTATCAAGTGGGTCATTGTGACCTATATTTTGACCTTTGACTTACATCAAAGGAAAGTTTGGGAAAAGAATTCATCTTGATGAGATGTGTATCAGGTATCAAAAGTTGGTCATGTGACCTATATTTCCACCTTCGACCAACAGCAAAGAAACAGTTTGTCCAGGCTCCATCTCCTACACTACCAACCAATGGAACTTCAAACCTGGGGTATGAGTTCACCTTGGTTAGGCAGTCGGTTATTGGGGTACTGTAATTTGCTGCATTGTGTTGTTTATCTAAAAAAGAAAAATATTCTTAATTAGAAAATGTTCTTAAATTTTGTCACTATTCAACCAAACAAGGCAATGTCTGTGCCTTGATATGAAATTGAAAATAAGTTTGTGTACTGAGATGCAGAAACTGGATTTTGAATTTTTTCTTCATTTTACTTCAAATATAATGATTGATTTGTATCTGTTGTAGAAACTTGAGAAACTTCTCCCACCTCGGCCTAAAGTAGAAATCCCAACAGGTGAGGATGTAGAGGAAGTAAGCTTGGTAGAGTTAGATGATACTCGAGGGAGTGGTCATCATGGAGGCAATGAGGCATATAATGAGGACAGTGATGATGAAGGAGGACATGGACCCAGGGTTCAGTGTGCACATCAATAACGCACATAATTTTAGTTACATAATGTGTGTGTGGATGGATAAGAGGGAGAAATGTAAGGAAGTTTGTTGTCAGATGTAAGCAATGTCAAACATGGCTTTGACTGCCTAGGTTTCAATTTCAACAGAAAAAAACATTAATAAAATCAAACAAATCTGATTTCGTTGTTGAATCAAAGGTCTGTATTCAACTGGCATTTGATTTAAAGGAAATAGACTTGAATTTGATTTTATTTCTCGATTTTTGTTTCGTTTTTTTTTTAAATTGTGACCTTACTTGACTTGAAAAGATCAATTTTATTGTTGTCATCTGTGTTTTGAATATTTATGACCTATACTTATAAATGTGATGATGTCATTACATATATTATGACTTTTGATGTGACATTTTAAAAGATTGAACAACTTTTTAAAGGTCGTTCTTGGTAGATTGAATTTTTCTTTTTATCAAAGTCCTGAAGGTGCATTTCAAATAAGTCTGGTAGCATGAGTTATTCTGACAAAAATATGTATATTTTGGTTTCTTCTTTTACATGACTTGTGGTAATAAGCTGTCACACTCTTTTTTACATTACATGGAGATCTGTATAGTTTAATTAAAGGAGAATCATTTTGGATAGCTTGCATAAGTTTGGTATGTAAATATAGATCCTGAAAATGCAATTAAGATATGGAAAATAAAGGTCATCTTTATTACTTGCTCATTAACTTTCAACATTAAAGATATTGAAAAAAATTGACAGTACATTTAACTTTTGAGTACATTTATTTCTTTTAGGAGTTGTGAAATGTGATCATGCATTTAACATTCAAATTCTATACAGCTGAACATGTGATCATAGTATACAACAAATTTTAGATTGTTAAGTTATTTCTGAGTTGAGATGAGGTAGGTTTTGAACAACTTACCTATGATTTTTCCCAAAATTGCCAATTCATCACTTTCTTCCCATATGTGTCTATTTATTTTATTGAACAATAATGTTCCAACAAAGCATAATATGGCAGAGTGTCTTGAAACAAACCTGCCAAAAAAAGCACCAAAAATCAACAAAGAAGTTTTTGTTGTAGTAATTCATTACAAAACCATTCCAAATTAGAGACCAGCCAGTCTGGATGTTGAAGGGAAAACCCCCCAGCTTTTTTGTGTTTTTAAACAGGAAGGTTAGTTATTTGGAGAAATAGGATATTGAATTTTTTAATGGTTTAAATTTAAGTCAAATTTCTTTCCATATTGTATGTGTTCAAATATAATTTCATGTAGTTCCGATTGATAAAATAAACAGATTTGACAGATTTGTTTTCAATCTATTTTGGATTCTTCGCATTTGTTGTATGATTTCACAACATCCTTTCTTCAAAAATCTAAAAATTCTGTAATTGATGTTGCTTAAGTGCAATGTTCTGTTAAGATGAATATAATCAAATTCAATACCAATTGGACAGCTTTTAGGTCTGTTGGGTACTGGTAGTTATCATAGGTGTAGAAAAGTTTCCTGACGCTACGCAATTCTGTACACTGTCTAGTACAGATCGGACAACCTTGTGTATGGAGACGGTAGTGTTGCTTCTAAATGTGACAGGTTAGGGAGAGCATATTGGGAATTATTGATTCTCTTGAGTGCTATCTGAGTTGACATGAACTTGGTGTTGTGCTTTTTGTTGCATTCATTGAACCTGCTTTAGTTTCTATGTCAATGAAATACATGCATTCATCAGCAATCTTTCATTGTGGAGGTTGTAAAAGATTGTATTGTCTTAAAAACGGAACATTTTATCATTGATAGTATTTGCATAGAACAAAGCTAGATTTTAACTCTAAAAACCTGATATCTTTGTTGAAGCAGGGAAGGTTCTGGAAGTGATTTGTGCGATAATTTCTGTCACCTCAAAAGAGTTGATCCCCTTGTATTGAAATAGATTCAGAGCACAAATCTAAACACTCAACAAGTATATTTACATATTAATTGTCATATGATCAAAACATACTATTGTTAAAGTCAGAATAACATTGATGAAATATTTTAATATTGAATCATCTCTGTAATATTATGCTTACTAAATTAAAGTTACAAAAGACACCTTAACATGTCCTTGTTAATTCTGATCATTTCCTATCTGCTATAGTTAGACTTTTTATATATATTTACCATGTCTATACGCGTATATCAGAAATTTTAAATACATATTTGGAAAGCATATTTCTAGACATACCATTGTCAAGAAGTTGAAACTAATTGGATGAAAAGGTTTTATTGGACTTAGGCAGGTAAAACAAATATAAGTTAATGTGTTCCTGTCATGACAATGCTACTTTCATAAATTTCATGGAAGTTTTCTCATCACAAGAAATGAAGCATATACTCTGATTCTTTGAACTTCATTCAAGACTTGTGATGTTGCTGAAAAAGCAAGGAACAGAACAGTTTAGAAGCGAGGCCAACATCTTTAAGCTTATGTATCATATCTGTTTTGCCACTCAGGCAGTTTTGGCTTATTCATTGGTCATAAAACTTTTAAGTGTACAATAGACGCATGTACCATTACATAAAAGTAAAGGAGTACCATTATTTGAATTATGCTAGCCATATATCAAGTTTTAATTACAACTATTGATCATCATTTATTATCAATAGTTTGGTTTATTAAGGAAATGTTTTTAAAACTTGAAGAGGATTTATTATTCCTGTATGAGTGAATGATGTCTTCTTCAATTTTTGAGGGAGAAATTTATAAAAGAATAAACACAATGCACCAAAAATCTTGTTTTGTTTTTCATCGCCTATCAAGCACAGTTGTAAAACTGTTCAGAGGGAAATATAGTGTTGCCATAAATGTTTGAAGATACATGTATTGTTTACCAATATTATTTATGAAGTATAATTCTTGGTGCTGGGTTGCTTTTGTTCATGTAGGAAAAAGAGGTGTGTCAACAGTTTATATGAATTTTCTGTTATAAATCGGGGATGAATCTTCAGGTATTAATTCGGGCCTCCAAAGGATTTATGATCAGCAGGTTCTTTTTCAGTCTCCAGCTACTGAAATTGGAGGGGACTTGAAGTGTTTGTCATCATCTGTCTGTCTGGTTTCCAGGTGATAGCTTGAGTTAGAGATGGCCGATTAGGTATCTATTTCTGATCTATGCCATTTGATAGAAAATTACTTCTGAAAGAAATTGACATGTACATGATATTGGGTTACATGGATACTAGTTAAAATTCCAATGTCATGTTCCATTCAAGGTGTTTGAAAAGTTGCTTCAAAAATGCTAATTATGGCATGGCATGGGACGTGTTGCTTGCAACACTAACTGTAAGCTTGAACATGTTGTTAAGTGTTCTCGGTAATGATGCCGAAAGCTGAATACAGCATTTAACATAAAAGGGATTCAGTTCTAAAGAATTCACTTACTGTATAGCTGGTAAAGTTCATGGGTCCAAGTTTTTGAAGTATTCTTTTAAAACTATCAAATTATATTTGAACAAGTTAGAATTTTGCAATCTAAATGTAAAATGACATAAAAGACACATTTCTCATTATACAAATTAATATAGAAAAAACATTACCTCCAAAAATATAACAAGCTATATACAATATCAAATCCAAATACTAATGTTTCAGCCCAACATAATGGTTTGTGGTTCATCTGTTGGTCCTTAAACAATTCTCAGTACCCCTATTTGTTGAGAAGTCCTGGATGGATTATTCTTGAATTCCATGTGTCCTAGTGCATAATCCATTTTAAGAGTGATTCAGGGAAAAAGATTGTTGACACACAGCCATCATACTTTTATTGCACTTTCTTGAGAAGTGTTTGTGGACTATTTTTCCAATTTCGTCTGCAGTTATAACCATAGTACCATATTGTGCATAGTCAGTGATGAAATTGATTGGAAAATCTAAATGGCAGCCAAGCTTTCAAAATTCATATGTGGGTTTGTCTAGTTGTGCCTGTTTAATTTTGAGTCTGATCAGTGACCTTCAACCTTGACCTATGACCACCAAAATCTAATCATATACATAGAGGTGTAATGCTGTGGTGTGATTATGAATTACATCTGTTGAGAGTTTCATAAGATATCTTGTACACTAGTTTTTAAGTCACCTCAGACAAAGTCCCAGGGTGACCTATTGTAATTCCCCCTTTGTCCTACATTGTATTAGTAAATTTTTAATAGTTTTGACTTCTGCAAAACTGAACTGGTTTACAATGAAATTTTACAAAAACATGGCTAAAAGCACATCAAAATTGTAAATTATATGGTCCCCATATTCACATATTGACCTTGGCTGATCCCCAGGGGCTGTTTGGCAGGGCCAAAAATAGTTCAAATTGATTGAAATTTTTAAAATCTTCTCAAATCCCAGGTATGGTAGAATTAAGTAATCTGCATTGATGAAAAGGCCTTCAGATACTTTACCAAAATTGTGAATTTCATGACCCCCAGGGGAGGAGGTTCAGTTTACTATAGTTTATATAGGAAAATCACGTTTATTTTTAGGCCACTGGACTAAGTCTCATGGTGACCTATTGTAACAATCTCCAGCGTCATGCGTCAGAAACAGATTTAACATTTTCGACTTCTTCTTAAAAACCCCTGAAGTGATTCAATGAAATTTTGCAGAAACCATCCCTGACCTAAGATGAACCAAAATCGTGAAATATTTGGCCCCCACCCCACAAGGGCCCGAGAGGCAGGGCCATAAGGAGTCAAATTTTCAACACCCAGAAATGGTAGAATCATATGCTCTTCATGGATGGAAGCTTCTTAAGGTGCTTTACTAAAATTGTGAATTTCGTGACTTTTTCCAGGCAGGGAGGGGATTATTTTACTTTGAGCATGATTTGTTTAATTTCCATCGGAAATATTTCAAACATGGTGAAAATTATCAGCAAAGGATGGTGGTTAGATGGTATGCCCATATTCATCCTGTCTGACCCCCAAGGCCTGATGGGTGGGACCTAAAGGAGTCAAATTGACTCAGATTTCAAAACTTTTCTCATCACCTAGATCTTGCAGAATCATACACCATGGATGGTTACTTTACCAAAATTGTTAATTTCATGGCCCAAAGTTCTCACTTTTTCCCTGTGGGGAGGGGGTGAATTCTATTATAGTCTATTTTGGCAAAATATATTTTCGAGCATAATTTGTTTGCTCATCATTCGCGAATTTAAATCATTTCTAGATCAGCAATCATGAAATTACTTATTTGCGAATATGTCTGAAAAGGTAACGTCACAAAGTAAAGTATTTTCGAAATTTAAGTGATTTACAGTAAGTCAAGTTACCTTGATATGAAAAATGTGGTGAAGAGTTAGTGTAGAAATTGTGTAAGTTGAGCTTACATGCGCATTGTAACAATTGCAAGAAATCATATATAATTGGTTTATCATTTATTTAAAGAGAACTCATTCATTTTTCTTTGACATTTTAACAAACAATGTATCAATGTGAAAAATGACTAGTACCTTTGAAGTCAATACTTTGATAGATAACATGTAAAAAATCAAAATATGGCATCGTTGTTTAGCATAATTAAGAATTTATTCATAAACAACCAGCCACATCATGCATTGACAATAGTTTCCAAGTAAGTATAAAACATATAGATGTGTACTTCCACGTGAAGCGAGTCTATAAATGAACTGATATTTCACTATAACACTCAATTTAAATGTTTATTTGGAAAACAATCTGTTTTTAAGGAATTAGTAATAGAAATGTGAATGTCATCATTTAACCAATCACAATATTTAATCCTGGTGTTCACAGACATGAATTATTGATTTGCTTGATTGTTTGCCCATAAAAAATCTTGGTCATTTTTAAATGGCTGGTGGCTTCCTTACCGACATGATGAATATATGAACCCTAACTGTCACTTATTTCAACATTTCAATTTAAATGAAATATTTCAACCAATCTCAAGCCTGTTTCTTGGTTTCTTGAGGGAGAGGCTCCTGAGGCCTGTTACGGCCTTCCTCCATGATAGCCTCAATCTCCTCCACAGTTCTAGGGACACATGTAAGGCACTCCATTCCATCCTCTGTAATTGTAATGTCATCCTCAATCCTCACCCCTCCAAAACCTCGGTATTGGTCAATTTGCTCCCTCACCAAAAACCTTGCCTGCTCAGGATTGTTTAAGGCAGCATCTATCAGCTGTAACAAGGAACAACTCAAAGCTTCATACTTTTTAATAGAATGCTACATAACTCAATTATACAAGCAAACATCTGCTAATGGAATTCATTGCTCACTAAAAGCTCTCTGTATGAGAAGATTTTAGACTATTCATCCTACAGTAAGCTCAGAGCTCTAAAACATCAATCAAAGTCAGGGGTGGGCTTATTGAAGGACAAATAAATAGCATGCATTGATGAATAGTTTTACTAAACAGCATTATACATGTGTAGGTTATTGTTCAATGAACATTGTAATTCTTTTCAGGTATGAACCATATGGCTTCTGGATGACACACAGTGTTATATGATGTTTGTTTTCTACTGTAAATAGGATGTTTTATGCTTTTTCAAGAGATGACTAGTTTATGAAAACTTGTCTTAGTGGATAAAAGTAACTCAATAAATCTACTTACACTAATTTTAACCGTTTGTGGACATACAGATTTGTTGATTGGGAGTACTTACAATATCAGCAAAAATTAATGGTTATATAGTATATATTTATTTGTATCCTAAAAATTCTATGAAGACAATGTTTTCAAACAAATATATTTTGCATTACTTTCGATCTGATATTTCTTTCTTAATAAGAATTTGCAAAAGGAAACTTTTAAACCTGGACCTACCCTAAATTTTCATATAGTAGTATTTTTACTGTATTGCTGTATGAAGTACACAGTTTGTTAGCTAGTACCCTGAAGCTGTCTTACCACATCAATGAAATAGATTCCGGGTTCTACTGTGATCACCATACGGTGCTCAAGCCTACGTACTGTCCGAAGTGACCGCAGGCCAGGCTGGTCAATTCTTTCTGTACCCTGGAAGCATAAAAGGAGCTTTGTAGAAATAAATACCAACCAGGTAAGTAACTACAGGGGAATAAAAAATTACAGATACCCTTCTGTATTAATGATGTAATATATTCAGTGTATATCAGTACAATATCTCTATGCCCAAAAGAGAGTTCCTGAGGAAACTGTCTGCTGATATGTACAGTGGTGCAATGCAGGCCATTGTTGTGTAAAGATTTACAGTCACGTAAATACGTATTGATGTATATATGCTGCTGATTGGCTATTTCATTATTTGAATCAATCCACGTATCCTTAGGCCAAAGTCAGTTGTTGCCTGCTTATTGATGTGGACAAGGCGATTCTTCGGCAATTTATGTATAATATTTCGGGGATAAAGCAATATTAGTCTGCATATTTTAACACAGACATCGAAAGGCTTAGCTGAAACTCATTAGAAAGCAAGAAAAGAAGGTTTGTCTGTAGTTTTTGAGATAAACAAACCTAGGTCAACTTGTGAAAATGATTAAATGAAAATGGCCATGCTTTACATAACTGTTAAACTAAGGTTTGCTTCAGAAAGTATCAAGAATAAAGCACACAAAGGAAGATATGATGGAATCAAATATATTAATGCATTACTGTGAATAACAATCCCAATCACTGTTTTAATAAAACATCTCTCTGATCTTATAGAATGAAACAATGTTAAGCAACTTTTAAAAATTAGAACATCTCCAATAGAGGGTGTACATGTTGTTTGTGCATTTTCTGTTTTCAAAGTGATTGCTAACTGCTAACAATATATCCTTTTTATTCAGTATATGTATTGTTGACACAAATAACCAGGAACATACTCGGGAAAATATCAACATCCTCCTACATCTCTGGCTAGCAACTTCTCACCTCGGGGTAACCTCCTACATCATGTGTGTCAATCCCCATGAAGTGTCCAAGTCCATGTGGCATGAACACTGCTCCCAGCCTCACTTTCATCATTTCATCAACATCACCCTGTACAAGTCCAAGCTTCTTCAATTCCTCCAAGTGAGTTCGGTCTGCCAGCAGATGCATGTCAACCCACGATACACCTGTTCATGATATCAAGATTCATTGCTAGATGAATTTCTATAGATAGTAACAGTGACCTTGAAATATGAACTAATTTAAGTATGATGTTATTGAGCCTTTTTATAAAAATTGTTAAAATTCTTTTAAGAAATGAAGTCACTATAGCAATACCTCAGAACTGGTTGATGATTTCTATAAATGGTGACCATGACACTGACCTTGTCAACTCATAAAAGGTACAAATTGATACAGTTGACCTTTGTACAGAGTTTCGTCAAAATTCCTTCCGATATGAAGTTGCAAGCTAGACTCAAGATGGAACAAAATATGACAGACGTCTGTAATGCTGTCTTCACCATCAGGTGGTTGCAAAAAGAAAATCAAGAATGTTGATAAAACTTGCATGGCCCCATCCCTGCTTTGATGGAAAGCAAGCTTGCCACAAAGACTTCCATCAAAGAGATCAACATGAAATATGTTGTTTTAAATACTCTCATGCTGGTATTAAACTTCAACATACAGGTTTGTCTTTTACAACATTTCCATTACGAACAATAATACCTGCCAGGTTTTATCTTAATGCCAAGATTTCCATCTCCCCCAAATATATACCTGGTTTTGAAGCTGCCATGACAGCTCGACTGGACTTCAGTACAGCCTCATAGATGTTACGCTGTTTCTGTGAGAACTTGCCATTGGCTGGGTAAGAACATGTGATATCTGATGCATAGCAACAGTATTCACTTCCCATATCAAACAAACTACAATAAAAGAATGGTAAAGATATGGTTGTAACTGTAATTTAGAGACATGTTAAAATTTATCAATTTTGTTAGCAATAACACAGATCATTAAGAAATGTCAATTCTGACAACGTATTCATTGCCAGAAATGGTTATTGGCACATGAATGCAAGACAATAAAACAAAATTATATACATTTAAAGAGCTGTCAAACTTCTGTCAGAATTTGTCAATGCAAACTATTAACCCAGTAATGAAAAACAATATTTGTAATCAATATGTTTTGTCCACTTTAAATCGAGGTGTCCCTTTCCTCAATTCCAACCAAACATTTTTTTAACTGTTAAGGAGTAAAATTGATACATACCACATGTCTCCATTGTTGACCTGTTTGGAGTTTGGAGCCCCAGCATGGCCATAGTGCAGTACTGACCCATTGTCACCTCTATAAATAGATAATTAATTATACATAAACTGGAATATAGATACATATATCACTTATCATTGTAACCTGTTATATGTAACTATATAGAAATATTAAATATATTAAATATTATGATCATAAAATCTGAGTCCCTTTAAATTGTATTTTCTTGTTAATATAAAAATCATGAAAATTTTGATGCACGGAAATATCTGGCAATATGGTATATGCTAAAGCATAAACTTTATAATTTTATGACCGTAGATTTTTACATTCATGCCTATGTATATAACAAATGTACATGTACTTACGATCCACAAAGCCCATGCCCCCACGCTACGCTAAGTGCCTTGTACCCCAATTAAAGTAGCGGAAAGATGCTGAAAGTAAAGGCAGACAAATAACCACTTACGTTCCACAGATACATGTATAAGCCAGGTTCCGGGCACCACCATTGAAGTAACAGTAATGGCGAAATATGCTGTAATACAGAAAAAGTTTTTTTATCACCTAGAATGTAATGATTGACCATAAAGGCTTTCATTTCTGCGAAAAATAATATTGGAAAAAGGATATATGTGGAAAATTAAATGTGCAGGGAGAATCATTCCTTGACTTCTATGAAAAATACATGTACATCTTCTTTGTCATAAAGTTTTGATGATATTGGGAATATTTGAACCAATGAAAGCAAGTGCAACATTATAGTAATATAAATATTCTTGTTACTAAACATTTGTGTGAATGCAAGTACATATGAACAAGATGTTAAAATCATAAACACAGGAAACTGCTAGAAACAGAATTAGAATAAAGATATAACTTATGGATCTTTGAATTTTTAATTCTGAATTTTTACCTCGTAGAGAAAATACATCACAAGAATGATTTAGTATGAAATGTCACAATGTTCCAGATAAATGTCAGATTATCATACCTTTCCAGCTGGTATTCATACATTCCTGGCCGGATACTTTTCATCACCTATAAATTCAGAAGATCCTCTGATGAAATCTTAACATTTACAGATAACTTACAGGTAAATGATAAGTATTTAAACCAAATATACATCACCATTAGTTACAGGACCAGTGTGAAAGCACCTCAAGCAATGCTCGATGATGTTTTCATATCTAACACATATATCCCTGATCTTACTTCAACATATAGATATCTTTAAAGTGTTACTATATAAAAATCTCATTAAATCAAACCTCTCATTTCACTTTATACTATATACATGTTTGGTGTTTAATGTAATGAAGTAATACTGAAAAGAAATAGGTTATCTGATTTCAATAAAATTGACTGTGGTATTCATGCACACAGGGATATCTGACTCTCTGGTTAAGGAAAAGTGGACTACCAGTAGTTGAGCCCATTAATTGAAACATCAATGGTAAAATCATTATGATTTTTGTAAGTTTTTCACTTTCGTTAATTTCATGTGTGTTGTTCTAACAAAAAATGATAAATGGGTAAAAATTGAAAAAATAATAAAATTAATTTTGATCATGAACCGATTTTGTGAATACTACTTATACATGTATTTAAACCAAGTGCTAACAAAACTGTTATTTTTAACAAGAGGCCCAGAGGTCCTGTATCGCTCATCTGGATATTCAAGTTATTAATGCAAATCTTTACATTTCTTTAGAAGGAAAATATTTTCCCTGATGAGCCTCTACCCCTATACAGCTTCAAATTAACTATGGGTGGGGACAGAGATCAATTGTTAAACTCTTGATGTCCAGCAATGCTATTAAGTCATGGGATGGTAATATTAACTGCTTCGAAGATATACAATGTAATCTTTCCTGGGGTGGGACTAGAACCCAGGACAAATTATCAGTTACGGTTGTTTATCTCCTGATGCTCAGCAATGCTAATAGTTATTCAGTGGGGATCACAATTGTTTCAAAGGGTCAAATATCCAAATGAATTGATGTTGATGGTGCAAAATGGTCAATATTCTGTAATTCCTGAAGAAGATAGAGTTTACAGAAATTGTTTGATTTTCCCTATTGGACCCCATCCCTCAGGCCCTCGGGGACCAAACCCTGCATTTACACAAATAATGGTTCCCCTTTCAACAAATTTGTTTTAAATCTGCTCAGTTGTTCATGAATAGATGCAATATATATACAATGGATGCCGTGGTATTACGGCCAGGTGAGCTAAAAAACAAAAAATTTAGACCAAACAAAAATAAATAATTTTACAGTATTAAATCTAAATGATAATAATAATCTGAAGACCAGGGACAAAGCAACATTACATATGCTTACCACTACTTAGGTGTTTTAGTAACAACCTTGGCAATCCTAATCCAAACAAACAATTATGAGTGTCTTCCTGACCCAAAGAAATATTGATAGAATCAGAAATAGATCATCCCTAGAATGGCAAGGGTGAGAGTAATATGTTTAAAACATTACCTCCTTGTGAGCCTCACTGCTGAGTTGGTTGCTGTAACGTAACACCTCTAACTCCTCGTCTGTCTTCAACACACGGCTATTGAGGGGATTAAAGGTAATATTTAATAGTAGAAAGTTTAAATACAAATCTAGCCAGAAACTAATATCTGTTTACATATACATGTCTGTGTACAAGTACCCAATGGTAATCCTTGTTGTCTATATATAGGGAATGGGCAGTGCTTTTGTTGTATTTATGAAGATATAAAGACATTAGAGACACATCTGTAATAGTCCCATTTTATACTATAAAACTAATTCAATTTAATTTTCGTTAATATCACATTTTCTTGAAACAGTGTTTTTCTTCACTTACATTCACCATCATGTCCATTTGAAAATTAATATGACATACACCTCAACTCAAACAAAACTTCGACACAGTGAAATTTGAGTCATCCAAACTAAAATTACAAAGATATAGATGGGAAAAAATCGGGCCTTAATTATTTTGACGCAATTGCAATTTGACTCAAGCGATTTCAAGACAAGTTTCAACTGTACTTTTGTGTGGGGAACACTTAATATCACTATAATTGTAATCACCTTGAAGAAGTCCATGGTCCTTACTGTTCAAAAAGTATTTTATGATACAATAGCAGTTTTGGTATTGGGAACGATAATTCTATGATTTAAAACAATTTTGAATATTTTAACACTAAACATTACAAAAAAACAACACTTTTCATTTCAGTTTCTCAACATTCACACAAAATTCAACACAAAGGCACTACTGTAATTAGAGCAGAATGTTAAAAGTTTTTTGTCAAGATAACAGTCATATTGGATTTCAGACCAACACCAAAAAATTACAGCACTTGGTCAGAGCTATCTCTGGAAAGTTTGGGCAAAATCCAATTGGTGTGATTTGAGAAGTTTTAAGTAAGTCTTGTTCAGGAAAATCATAATTGCACAATCCTGTTATAAAATGGCCTCCATGTCTCCTTAAGTTTTGCTGAGGCTGAAAATAACTACACTTTCTTGGCTTCCTTTTCTTAACATTCCTACAAATTTTCTGTTCAATGGCACCAGTTAAATCTGAAAAGTTTAAAATGTGTTTTTCAAGGTGTGACAATAAGGGCGATGTTGGTGGATTTTTGGACTGACCTTAAAAGTACAAACAATTACTATAGACCATCTCAGGATAATTTCTCTCAAGTTCAACTTGAACCATACTGTAGCAGCTTTAGAAGAAGTTAAAATGAGAAAGTTTGTATACAGCAGACAATTAGTGATAAAGATGGAAGAAAAACGAACTTCAGGAGCCACAATACCAACATACCATTCCATTATTTGTGGATGAAGTTTTGTGTTGTCCAATGTAAACCTGTGTGTAAGAAAAGGAAAATGGACAATTATCTTATATGCAACAAAAATTCCATTCAAACTGAGATGATGATAAAATTTAGACTTTACTCCTGTAGATTGTAAAATGACTTTTATAAATAATACTAACTGAATTATATTTCCTTTCTACACCTTATTTTGTTTTATTCACTTATTTATTTATTTATCTATTTATTTTTTTACTGAAATAAAATGCAGGCTCAAGTCAAAAAGTAAAGATCTGATGGGTACAAGAAGATGAAACCTCAAAAACACAAAAAAATAGACAGTAAAATTTTAATATGATATCTCAGAATGATATTTATATGCTCTCACAAAACAGTTTCAATGGTAATACAAAAGTTTCCACCAAGGAGTTTGATTAAGGCTACTTACTCACTGATACCATCAAAGGCTGCCTCTCTAGTATAGTTTCCACTGTCTGTATCCATACCCCTCTGTAATACAAATTCTTTATAATATAGTATAGTAACAACTGTCTGTATCCATACCTCTCTGTAATACAAATTCTTTATGATATAGTATATACAAATCCATCTGTAATTACAAATTCTTTATAATATAGTATAGTAACAACTGTCTGTATCCATACCTCTCTGTAATACAAATTCTTTATAATATAGTATAGTAACAACTGTCTGTATCCATACCTCTCTGTAATACAAATTCTATATAAATAGTATAGTAACCACTGTCTGTATCCATACCCCTCTGTAATACAAATTCTTTATAATATAGTATAGTAACCACTGTCTGTATCCATACCTCTCTGTAATACAAATTCTTTATGATATAGTATAGTAACAACTGTCTGTATCCATACCCCGCTGTAATACAAATTCTATATAAATAGTATAGTAACCACTGTCTGTATCCATACCCCTCTGTAATACAAATTCTATATAAATAGTATAGTAACCACTGTCTGTATCCATACCCCTCTGTAATACAAATTCTATATAAATAGTATAGTAACCACTGTCTGTATCCATACCTCTCTGTAATACAAATTCTATATAAATAGTATAGTAACCACTGTCTGTATCCATACCCCTCTGTAATACAAATTCTATATAAATAGTATAGTAACCACTGTCTGTATCCATACCCCTCTGTAATACAAATTCTATATAAATAGTATAGTAACCACTGTCTGTATCCATACCCCTCTGTAATACAAATTCTATATAAATAGTATAGTAACCACTGTCTGTATCCATACCCCTCTGTAATACAAATTCTATATAAATAGTATAGTAACCACTGTCTGTATCCATACCCCTCTGTAATACAAATTCTATATAAATAGTATAGTAACCACTGTATCCATACCCCTTTGTAATACAAATTCAGTAACCGCTGTCTGTATCCATACCTCTCTGTAATACAAATTCTATATAAATAGTATAGTAACCACTGTCTGTATCCATACCCCTCTGTAATACAAATTCTTTATAATATAGTATAGTAACAACTGTCTGTATCCATACCCCTTTGTAATACAAATTCTTTATGATATAGTATAGTAAATTCTTTACAAATTCTATATAAATAGTATAGTAACCACTGTCTGTATCCATACCCCTCTGTAATACAAATTCTATATAAATAGTATAGTAACCACTGTCTGTATCCATACCCCTCTGTAATACAAATTCTTTATAATATAGTATAGTAACCACTGTCTGTATCCATACCCCTCTGTAATACAAATTCTATATAAATAGTATAGTAACCACTGTCTGTATCCATACCCCTCTGTAATACAAATTCTTTATAATATAGTATAGTAACCACTGTCTGTATCCATACCCCTTTGTAATACAAAGCAGCAGAAGAAACAAGGGCCATCAGAGATGGGTTATACTCCCTGAATGGGACAAAATTTATGAAATAAAAAACAAAGGGAAAACAGAGAGTTGTGATTCTTGTGGACTGCCCTCCTTCTTGTTCAGATCTATCTGCCTATTAAGTTTCATGTTGATACCTCTTATAGTTTTAGTGTAATGCTCCAAACAAAATTCCAGTAAGAAAATTAACAAAGGGCATTAACTCCTAAATTATACAAAAGAAAGTGATGGAGCACTGCACTTCTCCTTGTTCAGATCTATCTGCCTATTAAGTTTCATGTTGATACCTCTTATAGTTTTAGTGTAATGCTCCAAACAAAATTCAAGTAAGAAAAATAACAAAGGGCATTAACTCCTAAATTATGCAAAAGAGAGTGATGGAGCACTGCACTTCTCCTTGTTCAGATCTATCAACCTATAAAGTTTCATGTTGCTCCCTTTTACAGTTTTTGTGTCATGATCCGGACAAAATTATGACAGATGGACAAAGAGATAGACAAATGGGTGGACAAACGGACGGAAGGAGAAAGTGGTGACATTATGCTCTCCCTTTGGGGAACATAAAAATACAATGATATAGTAGTATTATACATTACCAAAGTAAGAATTACTGAAGGTCCTTTAGCCCCGAGAACTTGAGCAATCTGGAAAACACAAAATAAATGTTTACAAAGTAGATAATTAATAACAAGGTGATAGTTTATCTACCATGGGAACAGTCAGTCCACAAAGGCATTTTGTTAAAGTGAAGAAGTCTGTCCCGTAACAAATTGACTGGATTGTAGGGATGGCAAGCTTTTGGAATACTGAATTCAGAAGTATTACCCCCTCGTATACAGGTAACTAGATAACTTGTTAATGACTTCTTAACACCAAGATAATATGTTCAGGTAAAACACATTATTAAATCATATTATGAATTGGGAGTTGTTTTTTGTCTTGGGTGCAAAAGAATTACAAAGCATGACTAAAAGTCTTAATACTTTTCCGCTTAATGATTACAACTGTTGTTATCAACAAACCTGTTTTATATACAAGGAACAGCAACTTGGCACAAGGATTCAATTATGATTTCTGCCTTTAGTTGACAGTAAACTGGACTTAACATGGCCATCCCAACATTTTTTGCAGATTCTTAATCCCTCCTTTACTACAGTTTACTGTAAGTTGCACTTCAGTTTATCATACATAAATATAATTATACAACAAGCTTCCATAATCATGATGATCTGTCTTAAACAGATGTTTAATACCCAAAACTACTCATATCCAAGGTAATCTTTATTCTATGTCTTAACTGTCTTAAAACATTAACACATTGTTATGTATAGTGAAGCCATTTCATTGCTTCCATCCATAAAAATGGCTTCAACACAAATATACATTGGCATCATATAAACATTCTACATACAAGTGTAATACATGTTATTTGCAACTACATAAGACATCTGTTTTTGTCTATATTTCCCCCTGATAAATAGGTGGATAATGTAGAAGGTTTTTACTTACATCACATGTCCATTGTGCTTCATCTACATCATATCTCACTCTGAAGTCTTCAAGTTCCAGGAGTCTTTGAGGAAGTTGCAAAAAAATATATTTAAATATGTGACTTGGAAAAGACAAAATTCTTTCTTCTAACTAACATTTAATCCCTCTCAATTCCTCTCCCTTCCCACAGCTCCCTCTCTCCACATACACCTTCCGCTATTTATCTGAAACTCATCTACACTTGCCCCTCTCTATCTCCATCTTAATTCTCCTTCTCTACTCCTCCACCATTTTCAATGTGCTTATACCTCCCTCTCCTGTCCATGACTCTCCTTCTCTATCTGAATTCCCCCTCTCTATCTCCATCTTAATTCTCCTTCTCTACTCCTCCACCTTTTTCAATGTGTTTATACCTCCCTCTCCCTGTCCATGACTCTCCTTCTCTATCTGAATTCCCCCTCTCTATCTCCATCTTAATTCTCCTTCTCTACTCCTCCACCTTTTTCAATGTGTTTATACCTCCCTCTCCCTGTCCATGACTCTCCTTCTCTATCTGAATTCCCCCTCTCTATCTCCATCTGAATTCTCCTTCTCTACTCCTCCACCTTTTTCAATGTGCTTATACCTCCCTCTCCCTGTCCAAGACACTCCTTCTCTATCTGAATCATCTTCTGTCTGTCTTCTTTCACCTCCCTATACCTGCCTATACATATCCCTCTTCCCGACTACATCTCCCTTTTTTTTTTTTCTCTCTCTCTCTCTCTCTCTCTTTCTCACTACATAAATCCAATACAAGTATCTCCCTTTTACCACTTACATCTCCCTCTCTCCATCAACACCCCCTACATCTTCCCCTTGCAACCTTAACTTCCCTCTCTCTGCCTTAAACCCCTCTTCCAGACTCACCCACCCACATCCATCTCTATGCACCTAATCCTCCCTCCTCCAACCTGCACCTTTCCGTCCCTGTGTATATCTCCCTCTCCTGTTCTATACATAATTATTCCTTCCTATATCTCCCTGTCCCTGCTTATATCTTTCTCTTTACTTTCATCTCTCTCTATTCAACTACACCAATATTGTCCCCCCAAAAAACTTCTTTTTTTCCATTTATAGCGCCTTCTCACAACTTAGTCCTTCTACTCTAAAACTTCACCTCTAAGTCCAAACATATATCTCCCTTCCCCTCCACCACCCCTCTATCTCCTTCATCTTTCTCTCTCCTTGTCCCTCTCCTTGTTCCTTCCTTTCTCATCTCCTTTCCCTACATTCTTTTCCCTCCTCCACCCCTCTCGTTCATTTTCCCTCTCTATACATCCACATTCTTGTCCTCCTTACATCTTTCCATTGATCATATCATCTATGGGCAGTGATGAAATTATTGGACAAGTTAGTACAAGTTCAACAGCAGCAAAGAGACCAACAACTTCAAAAAAACTATCAGTGTACAATTATATGTACTTGTCATTCTGCTTTTGTTAATTGTTTTACCAAAAGATGTTGTCTTATTCCATCTTTATATTTGGTATATACCGATGGTTATCAATACTGATACAAATCAAATCACGATGCAGTAATCAACTTTGAAGCTAGTTTTGAACTTACTTTCCCATCCACACAGCATAAGACTCTGGTAACTTAGGAGGAAACAGAATACTTTTTTGTGTGTCAACATCTATAGCACCAAAGAAGTCTGGCTCCTCTACTCCAAATGCCCAGTGGAAGAAGGACTCCTAATGAGAGTTAAACACAATAATGTTCATTAACATACAGATCAATACAGTAATTTCTGAAGCTATTTTTGTGACAGTATGCTCTACTATCACCATCATGTTTGATTTAAGTTACTTAGCAAGCCATCATCAGGGCACTAGGACAATGATTTGTTCATGATGACTGTTTCAAACATGTGTATTTCACTCAGAAAACTTTCTAACTGATACAGTTGGCCCTACTGTTTGTATTAGTAAGTTGCACAAAAAGGATGCTGTCAGTCATTCTGAGTTCCTAGAGTTACTTCCCTTCGTTTCAGTATATCAATAGTAGATGGTATAGTGAAAAGCTTGACGGCAAATGGAGGCAGTGAAATATTGTCATTGTTCTATCTTAATGATTTACTTGGGAACAATGGCACAGTTAGTTACAAAAAGTCTTAATTCATGACGTACCAGCATAGGCACATGTCGACCACAAATACAACAGCTCATTAGGCACATAAATCATGTAAAAATTTAATTTTGATTCAACAGGTTTTTGATGTCAGGGCATCTTTTAAATATAGCTTTTCAATTTGTCTCCAAAATTCATATAATTACACATGAAACATACAATACATTTGTATAATTGAAAGTATTCAATATAATAAAAAAAAAAGTGAATTTAATTTAATTTTCATTTACTTTCATATTTTACATTTGAATGTGTGTAATTATCATAATAAAAAATATCTCAAATGAAATCTTTGTATTAATATATGTTTAAACCGATATATATTGTTAAATATACCTGTCTGAATACAGGTTCATGGTCTGATGAGTGGCGTGTTTCTGATTCTCCACCCTGAAGAAGTACAATTGCTCCTTTGGGAACTTTGTCTCTTAGCCTTTCACACAGTCTTCTTCTGTTTATTTTGAACAGGTCTGATGAAACAGCCAAGGTATGCACTCCTCTACAAAATGCTGGCCTGCAAATAGCAATTGTAAATAAGAAATTTGTCCCAAACTGCACTATCAGTGTTTTAGGAAGGACAGGTCTGATCTCAGTTCCAGTTCATCTCTATTCTGTTTCATATATACCAGGCTTGATCATACATCTGTAACATATCAGGGTCCTGAGTTTTAATGTGACAATAACCAAAATGGAATGCTACCAAAAATGGAATACTTCTCAACTATTTAAAGCAAAATTTTTATTTTGCTATGTGAATAAAAACTATTTTAAACATAAAATAAGGTATTTATGAATTATTCTGCCATTTTTCTCACCTCATGTTGTCTATGTTGCCTATCATCCCTATTTAAAACTTTTATTAGTTGACACCTACTATTGTTTTATCTTTATTTCTTCATAAAAAGTTGGATCTTTTCCCTAATGTTCTCTTCTCTGTTTTTCCTCTTAATGATAAGAAATTTGAACATTCATTTGCAATTATAGTGATAATGATCTTTAAAATGATTATTTTATTACGACTTCTGCTATATCAGAGAAACAAATAATTAGCTATCTCTAATCTCCTCAAAAAGAAATTTACATTCCAATGAAAATGTTTGGAAAAACGTTAAAATTTAAGTAGATTGTACAGACTTTTCTCATCAATAATGTCCGCAGGCCTCTGACCCCTGGACCAGTGTCCATTTTCTTAAATGATGTGCTATAAATAGCAACAAATTAATGCATCTATGACCTATTTACCCTCTACTGAACATTTGAGGTCAATCAATAATATTTCAATCAAACAACATAATTAAGGCACATAACTATTTCTGGAACATTTATAAATCACATTAAACGAAGTTTCATATGTATTTAAATGCCAAATCCAAGATGGCCACCTAGAAGCTTTTCTATTTTTCTGATCAGTCAAAAAAGAAAACGATTACAACTAGAGATGTAACTACATATGAAATTTGAAAGAGATCCATCCAGTACTTATCAAGAAATCAGGATAACACACATTCATTGTTGAAATCCCTGATGGCAATTGTTTTTTTTCAAAATCAAAACTAGGGAGCAAGGGGAACCTACACATAAAATTTGAGGGAGGTCCATCCCGTACTTCTCAAGAAAGAGCCATAGCAAACTTGAATTGACAAATTCAAAGATGGCCACCAGGCACCTTTTTCTCCATTCTCATTTTCTGATCAGTCCCAAAATCAAAAGGGCACAACTACGGACCAAGGGGATCTTACATGTGAAATTTGAGAGATCCATGCAATAGATCTCATGAATTAATAGCGATAACAATCTTTCAAAGTCAAAATTCAAGATGGCCACCTGTCTGTCATTTTGTGTTTCTGATCAGACCCAAAATCAAATGGTCACAACGACAGATCAAGGGGAATCTACATATGGAATTTGTGAAAGATCCATTCAGTACTTCTCAGGAAAAAGCGATACAATAATTTGAATAACCCATCATCTGATCATGGTGGGCTAAAATATGAAACTATAAGAAAAATCCCCGGAAATGCTGTCATGCAACAACACAAAATTCTATTATGCTTTTTAATCAATGAAAAAGCATTGTTGGAAATTACATTTTTGAGAGATACTTGACTGGGAAGTTAGTGAACTTTCATAAAATGATCAAGATTATGTCAGATATTTCTATAAACAATCAGAATTTTGGAGGCATTCCATTTTTGGGTACCCCTTTCTACTGAAAACGCATTGCTGAACCTGTGAACCTTGCATGCATTATATTGTTGCGTTTTATTTATAGAGACGAGCGCTGATGACGTGTAAACAAAGCAAGAAATGAAAGCTGAGGATATTTACAAGTGAAATGACAAGAAAAAACAGGAATCAAACACCCAGTAGATTTAGTTTTTACAATTCTCTTAAAAAAGTGTTCCAATTTGTGTAGCGTCACGTTATCTCCATTACCATTTCACTGTTAAGTGAAAGTAAAGTTGTATTATGTAAAAAAAAAACACACTGTAACAAATAATCCAATACTGCAAGCGAAGAAAAAACAAATTCCTTATCTACTCATTCATAATAATATTACTTACTGTGCCCTGTATGCAGCCATCAGGAGAAGTAAGAGTAGGAGGATGTCGTGTCGAAGAAGTCAGATGACAGACGAGGTGAGGGTGGTGTTCCCACAATCCTGTCATAGACACGCTTTGCAAACCACCAACACGTGCAACGTCGTAGATGTGAAGAAAGTCAGAGACTCGGATCAACTTTCAATATGGTAGCGTGCAGATAACAAAGTCCGTTTCTGTTTTCCTGAAAGTTTTTATTTTGCCTTTACGCTTTGAAATATGGCAGCTATTCTTAAACACTGGAGAGAAGCTGCTACATTGATTTTAGTTGCAAAAAGAGCCCAAACGATTACTGGTATCGGCAACCGGATAGAAAAGTCTACAACAAAAACGTATGATTATGATATATTGATGTTGAAAAGAAGCAGCAAAAGCAAGTTCATGCCTAAGCTGTACGTTTTCCCGGGAGGTGTAGCCCAAGATGTTGACTTTTCTAAAGAATGGATAGATGTTTTCAGAGGCTGTCAAATAGATAGTTTGTTTGAGTTTTTGAAACGAGGAGGCACAGGCCCTTACATGTTTAGCAGACGACGCAATGCAGAATTTGAACACATTCCCAGTGAGCTTGCCTTTCGGATTTGTGCTATACGCGAAACATTTGAAGAATCTGGAGTCCTTTTAGTGAGAAACAATGTAGATTTGACAAAGAGCAATAGTTTAGAAACAGGTCCTATCTATGGCAACATAAGTAGTCTCTCTGAATCTGTCATTCAATCTTGGCGAAAGAGGGTGAATAAAGATGCCACAGAATTCTTGATAATGTGCCAGGAATTGCAGGTAGTTCCCGATGTCTGGTCACTCAATGAATGGTCTAATTGGTTGACCCCTGTCATAATGCGTTCTGATGAAGGTCGAGCAAAAAGAAGGTTTGACACTTCATTTTACTTGTGTGTCATGGATCATATGCCGCCAGCTATTCAAGATGATACAGAAACTGTGCATGCAGAGGTATTGTAATTCATATGAGAGTTTATCATATTCAGATAGTTATAGTTCAATGGAGATTAGCATAACTCAGCAGAAATAACTTCTGACTGTACAAGGCAGAAAACTTATTAAAGTTTCCTGTTACATGCTCAAAAACTATAACATATTTTTTTGGTTTGTTTTTTTGTTTGTTACTTTTTTTATAAACAGGTTAGATGTGTAAAGAAAAGTAATCATGACTTAAACTAAACAGGGTAAGGAAGTCCCTTGAAAATGTCCCAAAAAGTTGAGGGCCAAAGGAAAATATAATTTTGTTTTGGTAAAAATTTGTGAAAAAGTACCATTTTTTTAAGGTAAATTTATATGCAAACTATTATTACATGCATCCGTCATACTTATTGACCATGAATGACACACATACAAACTGATGTCACAGCCTAAATTAAAAAGAAAAATATTACCCCCATTTCTTAAAGAAATGAATAATATCTATCTATATCAAGAAACCAACAATACTAATTGCACTCCATATTGATTTTTGGTTTCACAGTGGTCCTCTCCAGATGTATTCATGAATAATCGTTTTGAAGGAGGACTTGCTCCACCACAAGTGTATGAACTCTGCCGAATGCTCAACTTCACTGATGCTGACAAACTGAACCACTTTGCATGGACAAGATCTATGACATGTAGTAGAGTGGAGAGATATTTTCCTGTTCCATGTTTCTGTAGTGATGGACTTGTAGTCCTCTATCCAGGTAAATTATGTGATGTTATTGAAGATTCAAATGGACTGTGGATTGGAATGATAAATGAAATAAGTGAGATTGATCTGTTTTTGATTCAGGTGTGTTAACTTTTAGCTCACCATCATCAAATGGTGGACCTTTCACATCACCTTATATCAGTTGACTCTTCATAATCAGTTCTGGTTACATTTGTATGACATGTTCTATTTCTTGAGGAGAACTGAGTGCATTTCACATGAAGGTTCCCTTTTTACCTATGCCCTTTTTATTTTGGGATTGATGAACAATTTGATATGATTAATGGATGTAAGAACTAAGATCTAGGCCTACTGTATTTATAAAATGAACAAAAAACACCTAATTGTTATGTCTCAAATTTTTAGATAAAATTTTCAGTAAACACAAGGTATGAGTGCTTCACAATGCAATTTTTGGTAGCTACATTACATAAAACACTGATATTTCTGTTTATTCTTTTGCATCAAATAATATCCATTCCATTACCAACAAAATGTTATACTGAAATAAGGAAACCATCTTAGACTCACTGTATTTGCACAAATGGTTACTTGTATTCAAAATGATGTTTCTTCTTTCAGTATTCTGATCCTTTTATAAAGAATATCAAAAATATTAAAAAAGTTTAGTCATGGATTGATTGCAGTTTTGTTAGCTAACAAGAACTATTAATTTCCAGGTGATGAGATGTACCCTAAAGAACCTGATTTCGAAGGCAAAAATCCCATATTATCATTTGATTTCACTATGGAGGAGATGAGGAAGAAATATCCATTACGGAATAGATCTAAGAGGAATGAAGGAATATTTGAAGTTAATGTAGAACCAAAAGATGGACACAAAATACCAATGTTAGATCTTTCATCCATTGGTATGACTGAGTCTAAGCTATAAAAGTACACCTCAATCAAGTTGTATCTGTAGAATGTACACCTTCTTGTATTTATATAGAGTCATTTGACCTGAAGGGTCTTGTATAAAAGATATAGCATTAATGGGCATTTGTTAAATGGAAAGTCCAATATCAGCAAAATATGGTACTGACCAGTATAATTATATCGATATACAGACACCATCGTTTTGATGTGAAGGTCATTAGGAATTATATTTACAGTTTATCTAGACGTATAACCAAGGCTATGTCACTAAGAGTTGTGGATACAAGTACATATTTTATAAGGTGTTTAGACAGTTAATGGTTTATGTTTAAACATACAATAGACACATGTACATATAATACATTGTACTGGTATTTTGGTAAACCTCATATCTGAAATCCAATTGTTACATTCTTGATAACATTTCCTCTCTGTACCCATGGGACATTACATGGTACTCTTGCATATTACAGGTCCCACCTGAAGAAGGGGGAATCAATATTTATTGTGTCATCTATCCTTCTTTCCTACACTACTAGAGTCTGTTGTCCTAGGGTAGAGAGATGATTATTGGGTGTGTCACTGTTGGATTTCAAATATAGTTATTGTACTGAGTTGGAAGTGGAACTTCTTGTCTTATTCTAATTAGATTGTTATTATACCTAGGTCTCAATGTTTTGTTTGTAAGTTTGTGAAATATCAGAAAAAGTATTGAAAATTCTGCACTAGTGATTGAATGCCTGTCAATGAGCCCCAAATTGTTCTAATGTAATCAGTATTGTTCCCGATATTATTGAATAATCAGCATTTTACTCCAGCTTCCTGTCATAGACAATCAATGTGAATTATAAAATGCATTAACAATATAAAAACATATATATATATATTAGTGTGAAGTTTTACTGTATACCAGGTTGTTTTCACCCTTGTACAAATTTGACTCTGATCATTTTGCTCTGAGGATTACTTAAAAGGATTGAATAAGTGTAACAAATTTTTTCCCCATTTTAAATTTGCCCTCCCTGTCCATGGATGTAAAGGGTGAAAATTAAACAGCAGTGAAAATATCCTGGTATACAGTATAAGGCATTAATGTGAGGTTACATTTTTTGCTGTCATGTCAAGGTTGTGATATATAATGATATTAAATGGAGAATTTTATTTCACTAACAGATCCAAACCCAGAATTAATCAACTTGGAGTTGGGTTAAGTTATTTTTAAGTGATACAGGAATGATATAGAGCTACTACTATTGTGTAAAATTCATTAATCAATAACCTAATAAATCCTCTGCTGTGAAGACCATCATATTACCGGGTAAATTTGGGTGTTGTATGTAAAGGTGGTTATGATGGAAATGTTACTAATGTGAACTCCACAGATGGGAATATAGATGGATAATGTAATTTCATGCTCTTTTTAAACACGTATTGATCTGCTGATTTATTATTTTGGAACCATGCAGTTGTACAGTTTACATCATTTGATTTATTTAAGAAAATAAAAATTCTGCTCACCCAACATTTGATGGTGTTGATAAAGTGCATTTGTATTTGAATGTTCCATTTGGTGATGGAATTTATTTTGATAATTTGTCCCCTACCTGGAACTGGAAGGAACTACAGTTTTGTGTGTTAAGTCAGTTCATCCATTTGGAATAATGTCTGGGCCTGATCTTCTACACAACTAATCACAGGAACTTAGTATTCTGAACATGGGTTCACCTTGGTGTTGCATATTAAAAGTAGGTCCCTTTGATGTACATTTTGACCTTTGACCTATGCCACAGAAGAAGATTGCCTGGGCTCTGACTGCTTCACTGCTAGTCACTGGAACGTCATAATTGTGTATGAATTCGACTTGGTGAGGAGGCAGTGTCTCTGGGGTACTGTAATTCGCCGAATTGTCTAACTGTAACTTTGCAATGCATATTACCATAAAGTGTACAACAGTAATGTCTCTCATGCACATAGTGATATGTGATAGAGTACACACTGTTACATATCTCATGAAAGTCGCATACAAGTTGCAGATATATCTGCAAGAAGAAGACAACATAAAGAGATTGATTTTGTTTATTTATTTCAAAATTCCTGCAAAAATTACCTATATCACATGCATCATTATAATACCTGGTGCATTATTATTTCATTCAAAAACAGAAAATTGCATCATATAATGTTACAAGATGGGGAAAATCCACCAAGTTACCAACATATATTAAAAGTCATGCATTATCTACCTTTAATTAATTACCAGGTAGAAGCCAGGTGAGCAAAAAACATATACCTTCATCAACATTTGTACATAAGCAATAAAGATTCCAGTTTCTCTTAGCTACTCCAAATATTGTTACTACATGCTACTTATCAACATGTATTAACAGCAATTTTATTGTTCAATACAAACTTCTCATTAAGCATGCATGCTAAATAAAACAATATTTTTACCATTTAAAATTTATCAAAGAAATCTTTTTTTTCTCTCTTGCAATGAAGATAACAGAAATGTCTGAAACAAAGAATTTTATTCTTTTTCCACCATTTTACAATTTTTATAAATATCTGTACATGTCCCTAAAAAGCTGCATTCCACTTTCATCACTATGTCACATCATAACGTAACTCATACTTACTAAAAATCTTACAATGGTATCTTAAAGCAATCCTAAAATCTATCATTGGTACAATTGAAAAAAAAGTTTTGTTTACAACAAAGTCAATAAATATCCACTACTCCTTAACTTCATTGTAACATAAAAAGTCTTTCAGGATTTCAAGCCTTCATTGTCTGTAAGCACTCTTTTTTTTTTTTAAATGAAGCTAATTTAGACTATGAAGAGGTAATTCTTAATGCCATGACACATCATTTAGATTAAATGCTGAGATATTTTCTGATTTTGGTAAAAGAAAAAATTGGGAAGTAATGTTTTAGTTAAATTTTGACAGCTGTGGTTCAAAATCTCATAAAAATCTATTATCACACTGTTTACATTAATATATAGATGAGTTTTGCCTAGTCACCATTGCTGAGGTAATACTACAGATAGAAGTACACCAACACTGTTCTTAAACTTGAGGCACCTGTGACAGCTTGAGAACCATCTTGACTAGATCTGTCTGTCAACAGAGATCCTAAAAAATCTGTCAGTTACATTTTGTAATATATCATATATCAGTATTGAAATTCAAAAACAAACATTTATCCACTCATCTCACTGACCTTAACCAGGTCATAACAAAATATCGCTAAGGGAAAAAACTCAAATATTATACAAGGATTCATTAACAGAAGACTTAGTATATTCACTGCTGAAAGAACACATGAATTTCACACAAACTCCATTAAAATCATCCGATGTTAAAACCTCTTTAATCCATACAATTAATGTAAAAAGCAGATACATGTATACACAAATTGACACATTGTTAATTGCAGAATATAATCATTACATATTATTGACACCTTTAAAATAAAAATATCTAACTTGCATAATAAAAATTTCTGATATGCATATGCAATTTCAATTATGAAAAATTTAAAAGAAGCAACCTCCAAACTGCAAACTACATACTTTTAAACATACTGTAATTTCTTGTGTATTGCATGCAGTCTTTAAAAAAGTTTTAAAACATTGACAAATATTGATATTGATACTGTCCATTTAGTGGCAAGATATATAATCAGGATTTATGCCATGACCTGTCATGAAATGAAGTATTTAATGTGCGACTGGGTATAAAGTTAAAAATGGTATACCTGGGGTGTTACTACCTCACAACTGTTCTTGTGGGTGATATAACTTATTTTTTGCAGCAGGTAATACACAAGAGGTTACTATACATACAAAAACAACATAAATACCAGTACCAACAAAATACCTGAGAATATCTCTATCTACACTTTCAGATTTTTTTTATATCAAAGCAACAATAGCTAACAAAATTTTTCATTAAAAGCATGCATTTACTGGCAGTCTATGTAATGGCTGCTAGCTATGTTAGTTTTGTCATAAAAGCCATAAATTTCTTATCATTTACATAAAAATGTAGCAACATTCCTGAATCTGACAGTTGTAGGTGACACGATATATGACTATAGATTAAATAAGATAACCTGCATAAGACTTTGGTAGGGATATAGCCTTTAACTTAAATTTTGATATGAACTACTGACCAGATATGAATCAAGTCAAAATATGACCTGAGATCAGATATTTGACAACATGAATTAAGGATAAATTTAGACACTGCAGAGATATGACATGCAGGTCAGATATGGAGTTGGTCATGAAAACAGTAAGCTAAATATGAATCAGGCTAGATTATGACATGCAGGCCAGACATAGATCAGGTTATGATATGAGCAGCAAGTCAGATATGGATCAAGTCACTTCATCATGAGCTGACTTAATGTGGATTGGTATGTATGACAAAAAGGGCAAACATGTAGATTGGGCCCACATTTTATCTGTAGAATAGAGATATGAATTGAGTTCATATAGGAGCAGCAGAAAGAACTGTTGTTAATCAGAGATGGATTGGTCCAGGATATGACCTGCCATGTTGATATGGATTATGCCAGGATATAACCTGCTGCCCAAATATGGACTGGGCCAGGACATTACATAATATCCAGATATGGATTGGGTCAGGATGTAACCAGCCTTGATTTGGATTAGGCCACAGTATGACCTGCCACCTAGTTTGGATTGAGTCCGGCTATGATCTGGATCTGAATATGGATTGAGCCAGGATGAGAACTGCATGTACAGACTGGATATGTAACTTGCAAACTTCAAACAGATTTGACAATGAGAGAAACTACAAACCCATTAAATATGAGTTGAGTTGGGATATGTCCTGTCGATCTGATATGGAGTGTTGAAAGATATGATCTATGAACCAATAATATAACTTCATCAAAGATATAAACAAGCACATGATAACCAGCATGAACATTTTTACCTGATATAATTGGATTGTGTAAACTATTAAATACAATTCATGTATCTAGCTTTTCTTAACCACCACATTCAAACGGTTAAATTTGAAAACAAGAGAATCAAAGAACCGATGGCTGCTCCCCGAATAAATGTTAGTTCCAAAACAGCTAGTTTTGACAAAACTTAAGTATGAAAAAAAGACCAATGACTTCTAAATTATGTACAAGAGAGTTATGGTTCTTGTACACTGCACTTTCCTAATCGAGATCTATCTACCTATAAAGGTTTCATGTTGATACCTCTTATAGTTTTTGTGAAATGTTCTGGACAAAATCCTGATAGACGACAACTTAAGGGAGCATAATGAAGTGTTATTTATTTGACAGAATTTCAAAGGAAATACTGCTATGAATAGGATGGGCATTATCTTGTCAGTAAGTAACAATCAAGGATATAAAGTTGGCTTCACCTTCTGTATCATATGTATACATATGACAAAAAAATAAATTAATATCATGGTCTGTTGAAATCAAATGTCAGGCTAGCAGTATAAGGGTGTATTTTGTGTAAACACACTGAGGAGAAAAAAAATGTAATTGAAAATATAAGACAACCTAGGTTTACTACTACAACACATTATCGAAAAGATCTTTCATATTAGTCCAAGTAAAAAATCATTGAAAGAGTTTGAAGTTTTGATAAAAACAAAGTACATCAATGTACTGATATATCAGTACACAATTTTAGTTTTTGATAGTATACACATGTACTTACAAATTTTCAATATACTAATACATGTTTCAATTCACGAATAACTTAATATCCAAAATATCATAATATGACTAAATATCAGCTAGCCTTAGTAATGACATTACGAAGTGAAGATTTACAAAGATCCAACTTTGCAAAAAAGCTGACATAATTTTTATATCAATTACCTGATGATCTAAGTGATTGACAAATGTTGCCTCCTACATGGATGCTGTGAATAAATCAAGTAAAGTATGTCACATCTAAGTAATACTGAAATCACATTTGATTTAAACAAGTGTCTGACATAAATGTCCTCACTCCCATGTATAATGGGACCCTTTAACATTGACCGACGATCACCTTACTATGATAAGGTAATAAACATGATAGGACAGGAAAGTACTGGGGCAAGGGACTCAATGGTGGGGGAGCATAAAAAGGTACTCTACCTAGTACCTACCATTTTAAAGCATTTCTCATCCTGTGGAAGAAACTATATCTATAAGGCATAGCTATTCTACGGAGGGATGCATACCACAGGATTAACTTTACATTCCATGGATGTGGCACTTGTATAATCATAAAAATCTCTGTCCATATTTTCTTCATCTCTTCACATCAGTTGTTCTCTGCTTGGTTTTGATCTTGATTTTGGTGTTGGAGCCTGGCCAAGATGGCTCTACAATGGTGCTGGACGGAGGGGCTGATAAAGTATAACAGAATAAACAGAGGTATAACTGTCCGTAGTATCGTCCCAACTGTTACCGTGACAACCTGTATCAAACCCACGGCCATAGTAAAGGGTAAAAAGACTAATGCCACAGTCATTTGTACAATAGATACCAAGGTTTCCACTGTGATGTCTGCTATAGTAGATGCTACTTCCACAGTACAGAGAAATGAGCAATACAAGGGACGGAAGACAATGTAAGTCAAGCACGCTAGCAGTTCATGAAAGATGAAGAAAAACGTTTGAAACACTGGAAAAATCACAGATTGTATAAAGCCATCTTTATGTTGGACGTCCACCATTAGAAGTACTACCAGAACAGCCAAGGAAATAGCTAGTACATGTTTCCAGTCCTCTGATAGTCCTTCCCATTTCCTCTTCAGAGACTCTGTTGAATAATTAATTGAAAACAACCTTAAATCAAAGTGAAAATACAATATAAAAAAACATAAAGGAAGGTTATTTCCAAAGCAATGCATAATGCCTTACATACTTATATTTATGTCTATGATATTTGTTTCTAAAGTTTTCTGACTTTACATAAGATTATACATATTTTTGTCATTGTGTTTCCTATCACATATGCAAGAGAACCAAGGGCCTTAATATGGTCATCTGAGTTCTATGCATCCTACTGTTATTCTTGTAACATATGTCATAGAAATCATCTTGTTGAGATTTGGCTCCATATGACCCCTTTTGGCTCTGCCACTTAGTTCCCTTGGGGCTGTTGACCATATAATTCACAAGTTCAGTTCACCTTTGGCCAGAACTCTTGAAGTTGCCATCAAATTGATCACTTGTCTAAGGTTTTATACCAGGTTTAATCAAAATCAGTTCATATTAACTCAAGTTATCATGTCCACATGGTGCAAATTGCCATCAAATTGATCCCTTATCTCAGTCTTTATACCAAGTTTCATCAAAATCAGTTTAAACTGACTGAAGATATCTTATTCCTTTGGTCAAATGGTAATGAAATTGCAAAGGACCATAATTCTGTATGTTGTAGTTGATCCCTTGTTCAAGGCTTTATACCAAGTTTCATCAAAATCAGTTCATATTGACTCAAGTTATCCTGTACATATGGTCCAATGGTTATAATAATGCAAAGGCCCATAACTCTAATTTATGATCGTAGCATTTTGTGTCTTGATCACAAGATCCAATGGTCATAAAACTGCAAAAGAGTAAGTTAGGTATGATCGAACCAGTTCCATTGTCAAACTCATCTATGATCTTACTGAAATTCATCAAAACTGGTTCATATTGCCTCAAGTTATGGTGTTCACATGGTTCATTGTAATAAAATTGCAAAGGGACATAAATTTACAATTAAATTGGTCCCTTTGTCAAGCTCATCAATGATCTTATGATTAATGACTGCATACAAAGTTTAATCACAATCCCTTCAAATTTAATCCAGTTATCATGATCACATGAAAAAGTTTGACAGAAGAGGACAGACAAAAACAATCACTATATAGGTGACAATGACCTGTTAGGTGACATAATAAAATGTACATAAAAAGTTTTTAACTTTGAAAAAAAACCAGAAGTACAATTATTTAAGAAAAGAAATGTTCGAAAGATTTCTTTTTGGTCTTGATAGCCCAATATCTTGATGGTTCATTAATGCTATACTTAAAACACTGAGGTGTAAATTGCCAATAGATTTATGACTAAACGATAACCTTACCAGTATATTGATGTTGTATTATTCTTTGTCTACAATGACTGAAGCCTTGATGCAGACGAAACTTTACTACGTTTAGTTTGTTCTCCAAACCTAAAACAACACACACAAACATATATATGTTTACTAAAATACCAAAACCTAGTTTAGTTATTAGTTATGAACGTTAATATATATATCGATGCTATATTTAAGTTATTTGTTGTAATACCATATAGATTACTTCAAATAGATTCTGTATGGATAAAGACAAAACATGAGTGACTTTTTATCAAAATATATTCAGTTTTATTACATTTATTAATAAGCAAAATTTAATTCATGACAAATCAGTTTTTAATAGTTTTGCATGATGTTAACGAAAAGCTTCAATAAGCTTAAATATTAGTAAATCTTACCATCAGAAGCATGCACTTCTCTAACAAATTGTTTTCCAATGTTCCAGCCATCCTTGGCACAGCACCACGTATGTCTCACACTCTCATAAGATAGTATTCTGGCTGTAATGATAAAACTCTACCTTTATCTACATATAGGTACATGTGCATGTTATGCAAGAATCTTAACAACACAAATCCCTCATCATTGTTTCAATGATTCACTTGTATGCAAAACCATTAACCTTAAAAGTTTTATGGCAATATTTTTGATGGTATAATATCTTATACCTGTACTCTGTTAAAACACAAGTTTCATAAAATCAACACCCGGACAGTTACATGTAGGTGAAAGGCTAGTGCAATACCACTATGCCACCCGACCACCTGATGTTGGATGCTTATCATGATAAGCATGTCATTCCAACAAAATACTGTACTCAAGTTCTCCTAAATAACATGGTTATTACTAAAATGCAAACCTGAAAAGCAATCCCAAGCAAGCTCCTTCTGAAGGAAACAGAAAATGTAGTTTGAGAGGAATTGGTCAAACAGAACTTGAAATATTGTGCAAATACCTATTTTCTTATTATAGTAAACTGACTTTTGACCTTTGATCTCCAGACCTGAAAAGTGATCTCAAGTAAGTAGAACTATACTTTCTGTGAGGAAGCAATTGATAAAGTCAGAGATAAAATGACACAACAGAACTTGTTTCAGTATGAAATTTGTAATGACCTTTACCTTTGACCTATTGACAAGAAAAACAATCCAAAGCAAGTGTTTTCTTTAAGGAAATCATGGATGGAGAATAAGTGGAAATGGCCAACAGGATTAGAGATGTTGTGAAGAAATAAAGGTAGAGCAGACTGATGGACAGACTGATGGATGAGGATGAATCCTATATCAATGTTTAGCTGAAATATTATCATCAATTATAAACTGTGTTGTTTACCTTGTCCTGATTTTAGAAATTGTCTTATTTGACTTCTTTTCCAAATATTCTGTAAGGATTTTAAGATTGTTCCGACATCAGACTCATCCCAAGGATTTTCATCAGCATCATCGTATTCTGTAAAGATACATAAAAATAAAATGTAATCAGATTTATAAACAAATCTTAAAACTCTGATGAAAATTTGTAATCAATTCAAATAATTTATTCCAATATATGTGTATTGTTAATACATGTATACATGTAGCTTTTACAATAAGCTAAAATATAAAATGCAAGCTTCTGTAACACTAATGAGATGTCTGATAACCTGTCTGAGTGATCTATAGACATAATTATTGACCTTCAAAATTTCAGTGTTGGTATGTTAATCAGTGACTTTCAAAGTGAATTAAATTATGGGTCTTCTTTTAGTGTTTTTTCATTACCATATATTAAGGCCTACAGTCAGAAATCATTCCATAGGCAAACATGAAAGTCAGCTGACCTCTGAGGATCCTATAGACTTTAGTATGATTCACCATACCTTGTCAAGTGATATGTACAATTTTAAAATATCATGTTCTGCCCTGTAAATACCAAACACCCTGTTGTGTACCTGAACTTTTGAGAACACTATATAGACTTGAATATATGATAAATTTATATGTTTTGACTCCTGTCAAATCAGTGTTATACTACATACACGAGTCCTACTTTTTATCACATGTTCAAAATTACAAAAAAATAATGATACCTATTTCGTTGACTTCCTCCGAGGTGTCAAATCTAATAATCTGGGAGTGTTCTATCTGACGTCGACACTGTGGACAGTCTCTTGTTGTACCATTATAGGCATGCTGTCGCTGCCACCGTCCTATACACATGTGACAGAACACATGCCCACATGGAATACAGCATGTTGGCGTCTTGATGGCATCTAAGCAAATGGAGCAGTTCACCATCTCGTCATTTCTCCTGTACAAATTTGAAGAATTTCAAAAACTTCTCACTTTAGAACCATCAATTTCTATGTAATCTGGTTTGATTTTGTATCGAGGTCAAATAGACCTTTATTTAACAAATCATGCAATGAGATACTACTTACATTTTTATGAATTATCAATATTTTCTACTTTGTTAATTTTGGATTTCCGTTTTGTGTATATTTTATATATCATAATCAGTTGTTGTACACCCTATTTTGTAGAATCAGGATCATTCAAAATGTTTGCAGTGAAAGTGCTCAAAATGGTATGTTTCCAATATCACTTTAACTAAAAAATAAATGTCATCATTGTAATTTTCTTCAGTTTTTTTAAAACAGTCTAATGAATTATTATTTCAGTTGCTGATCATATGAGATATCAATTAAAGGTATTTTTTCAAAGTTAGAAAATCTGACAGGATATTCATTTTGTCACATTTTAAAAATTTGTTTAATATCTAACATAAAAAAGGTATGTGATTTGTTCCAACAACTTAAAATTACACCAACTTTCATCAAAAATATTTAGCAGAGAAACACTAGTCTAAAGGGTTCTAACTACCAGGTTATTTACCTGCAAATCATTTAAGACACACAAAAACTGAATTTCAGATAAAGTGAAAAGCAGTCAGAGGGACCTTAGTGCCCACATTTGCATATCATAACTATTTCTTTATATATTGGATCCTTTTTCCCTTTTTTCTCTCTTTTTATTTGCTCTTAATATATAAAGTTACAGAATGATGCATCCAAGTCCTTTCATGAAAGAGTGAAAATAATCTGAAACTGTTAACATCCAGATGGCCATCGGTTGCCAAATGGACTGTTAGGCTAGGAATCATGGGGAAATTAAAAATATTGCGATATTTTTAAAATTGGTGATGATCCATCTTGTACTTTCAGAATAAAAGGTCTTAACAAACATTCCTTGTCAAAATCGAAGATGGCCTCCAATTGTATTTTTTTTTACATGTCCTGAAACTGATGATGGGTTAGGTACAATGGACCAAAGGAAACCAACATTTGGAAATTTGAGAATGATTGGCCCACGACTTTTCATAAAGTTCATATCTGTCAAAATCATAGATGGCCATCTGTCAGATATTGGCGAAATTGAAAGGACACAAAAAGGGCTAAAAAGAGGAACTTACAAATGATTTTTTTTAGAAAGAATCATTCAATAGTTCTAAAGAAATAGCAATAACAAACTTCCAAGAAGGCCACATGCTGGCTATTTTGTTTTTTCTGATCAGTCTCAAAATCAAAAGGGCATTTCTAGTTATAGCGAGCATGGTTCAAACTAAATAATATGAAAAAATGAAAGTTAACTCTGACCATTTTTCATAATGAAACTAAGAAAATATACTGCGCAAATTCCATAAAGGCTATACTTCATTGACTTATTAGCGATGAAATCAAGTTGTTTAAACAAATTTATAACCGTTTTATCTCAAACTTCTCTAAAATATTTCAATATCAATAATTAAAACCTCAGTACTTATAACAATGATGAAATCAGCACTCATCTATGGTCTTCTGCCATCTACAATACAAATACATCTCAAAGTGACCTCCCCTACCGGAAGTTTTACCGGAAATAAGCTAACATCCGGGTTCTGTTGCCTGGACAACAAAGTAAAGCCATCTTGATAGCAAACGGAAAAAACAGTCCAGCCTACAGTTTTCGTCTCTAAACATACAAAATGGTAAGGGTTATTCTGTTGAAATGTCATATGCTGTAATGATATGCGCATTTATAAAGCTAATTAATTTATGCAACAGAAAAATGAAATGTGTTCGAACGATTTCTTTTCAAGAATATCCTTCAGTGTATGAAAAATTGTCCATCATTCAAGTTATATTTTTGATTATTTGTGCCTTGTGATTGTGATCTCTTCTTTTTTGACGAATAGTAATTAACATTGCAGAAGATGAAAATATGGAAAAATGAACGAAATATTCAGTCGCACTCTTACATTCGAAAAATATAGGATTCTCGTCAGCAAAGTACTCTTGTAGAAAAAATGGTAGTACTAGCACTGACTTATATATCTTACTTTTCTACAACTATTTGTTTAGTAGGAATCTATCATGATTTAATACTTGGTAAACGACAGTTTCCTTTTGATGCGACTTGTTCGGGAAATAGGTTCATAGGCCTTGTATTTTCAAAACCAATGGTTTTACATCCATGTCATAAGGACATGTGAAAGTTAGTTTTTCTACTGTTTATCACATGAAAATTCTTTTAAAGTCTTCCACCATATACTATGATATAGGTTTTACTAGTGTGATCATTCTTGCTTGAATGAAGTAAGGTCCTGAAATGAACATAGTGTTTTTGTCCTTCAGATTCTGTCATTATTCAGTACAAGGCACTTTATGGTAAAATGTTATGCGTTTTATTGATTGGATGTTTTATACACTTCCAGTAACATTTCTGGGCTATCCCATTATTCACAGTCGGTTTCCAGTATCTGGTTTGACCACTCATTTTATTCGTTAAACCTCTCTCAAAAGTTTATAACATAACGTGATAGTTTAGAAAGACACATGTGATGGTAGAGAAAAATGTCTCACTCTAAACAACAAGCAAAACTTTAACCTTGTTCCACTCAGTCAGTCCATCAGTAAATTCATCAGAATACATGAACCATCTTGATTGCATTCATATTTTATATGTTCCCATCTGCGAAGGCAAGCTTCCCCCACCAAAATTCTGTGGATTTCTTCAGTACATTAGGTTGTCATTTGGATAGTGGCTGACATTGACATTATAACATTTTTTTCAACCACGTTCAATTCATGTGGGAAGTCATTCTTATTTTCAGATGACACAAGTGAATTTTGAATGTGAATATATGTAAAATCAAAGACAAAACTAAAAACTTTATAAATCATAAGTCCAGAAGGTACATTCCAAAGATAGAAGATTTTGTTTTACTTCATATTTGTAGTTTTGTACTTTTATTGTCCCATCATCCACCATATACCATTCTGTTGTGTCAGGTCTGTAAGTCTTACAGACATTCACATGATGACTCAAAAATTGCAGAAAGGTATTATAAATAAACGTTTTCTATCTTCAGCCTCCTAAAAAGAAGAAGAGTGGGAAAAAAGGAAAGAAAGGGAAAAAGTCTGGAAAGGCAAAAACACCAACAGTCATAGATGGAATCTCAACAGAGGAAATGTCTAAGGAACAGGTGAGAATGTGCTTTAAATATTGAAGATCAAAGAGGTGTGATGTTTGTTACATTAGGAGATGAACAGCATAAATACTTAATTAAAATCATTTGAATTTATGATAGTATTAGAGAAATAATTTACTGTCAAGAATTTCAGTTGACGCTTTCAAACACAAAGAACATCTACTGGTGTCATATAATTTTTCAGTTGCAATTTTCAGTCTGTATTTTACACCTGACATATAGTTGTCAATCTTACTTGAACATGAAGGAACAAAAAATTCTACTCAGCAAATGTCATCAGAGAACTAATTTGAACATAACAAGGAACATAATAGGATTCCCCTGAAAATGTTTTCTATGTTGATTTTCCTGGGAATCCCAAAGACTTCTAAAAATCCAAGAAAATCAGCTCTTAGTATGATTTTCATAGATGCAGAGAATGACTATTCTGTCTGCCTTGATATAAACATAATGAAATAATGAATGCACATAAAAATTGGAAAATTGTTGATTTTGAAATATTTTAAATTGAAATATTTTACATTTAGCTGGAGGAACATATTGTACGTCTCCGTGAAGAATTGGACAGGGAACGTGAAGAAAGAAATTACTTTCAGCTAGAGCGAGACAAAGTTAACACTTTTTGGGAAATTACAAAAAGACAATTGGAGGAAAAGAAAGCAGAACTGCGTAATAAAGACAGAGAAATGGAAGATGGTGAAGAAAGACATCAAATAGAAATCAAGGTAGAATTATTGTTCTTGCTGAAACTAGTGAAATGTTCTGTAGGACTGGAAATAAACTTATCAGGAATGTGTATAATGATAGGAATTAACTTATAACTTGGCAAGTGGTACAACAGATCTTATTTTTGATAACTTCTGACTATTTGGTGACAGTTCGATTTGGCTATATAAACAGTGTAATATAAACATGTTATTATTTTTCTTAAACAGGTTTATAAACAGAAAGTAAAGCATTTATTATATGAGCACCAGAACAATATATCAGAACTGAAGGCAGAAAGTGTATGTGCCATCAAGTTAGCCCAGGATGATCATAGGTCTAGTGAGAATGAGTTACGGAAAGACAAGCGAGGCCTCAAAGTGGAGCTTAAGGAGCGTGAACTTTCTCATGAAGATTACATTAAAAATTTGAAAAAGGTTTGTGTATGAACAACATGAAACTCATTTTTGTTAACTCCCAGCTTTATGTCTATATGTAAGTAATTGTAAGTAATGAAGTTTTGTATTCCTTTAAACTATCCCTATGTACAGTTTATTTTTCTGTTAATAAAGTAAATTTATGAATATATTACAATAATGATATTTGTTGTAGAAATGCAAATTCAGTATAAAAGTATATAACTATTAGACATTTCTCCTCAGAAACATGATGAAGTTGTAACACAACTGAGGGCAGACTTTGAAAGACAGTCTCGAGAAATTGAAGCCAAATATGAAAAAAAGATGCGAACTCTTCGGGATGAGTTAGATCTCAGAAGAAAAACAGAAATTCATGAGATTGAAGAGAGAAAGAATGGTCAAATTAATGAACTCATGAGAACACATGAAAGGGCGTTTAGTGATATAAAGAACTACTACAACGATATCACGCTCAACAACTTAGCTCTCATCAACACACTCAAGGTAGGGTATTATAGTGACCATCTATGTAATCAGTGGTGTGTATGTTCAACATTCATAAAGCACATTTTAAGATTCTAGCTCTTCAGTAATTTAATGATTCGTTCCTAGATAATGTAAAAGTTACAATGATAATATACAAGTTATACCTCATTTGGAAAATTGTGATTGATTTAATCTATACAGGAGCAAGTAGAGGAAATGAAGAAGAAGGAAGAAAGAATGGAGAAGAGGATGGCAGAAGTAATCCCAGAGAACACTCGTCTACGGGAACAGTTGGAGAAGGCAAACGGAGAGGTGGATGATCTGAGGAAGCAATTAGCTAACTATGAGAAGGACAAGGAGACTTTGAGGGTAATTATAGAAATACATGTTTTATTTTCTCAATGAAGTAATTGTCTAATAAACATTATCATGATGTCAAAACTTTCATTATAATTAGGTTGTGTTAGACAGTTGACATAGGACATGTTTTTTTTAGAAATAAAGAAATAAAGGGATCAATAATATGTCATATTGCAATCCTAGATGACCAAGGCCAGACTGAGAGTAACAGAGGATGACTTCAAAGCTATGAAGTGGGAACATGAGGTGCTCGAGCAGAGGTTTGAAAAGGTGAATAGATTTAATTGTTTGAAATCATTGATAAAAGCCATAAGGCAGACTATTGAATTGTAGGATTAATGAAAATATTACAGATGAAATACAAAGTTTTATATTAAAAAGATATTGCATGTTTTTTTCTTATGACAAATAACAATTTTGTCATTGTCACATCTATCAGAAAATCAAAGGGTAAGGTGTGGCATAAGAAATAATAAATAGTTATCTCATAGATTTTTTATAGAGTTCAGGAAAGTGGAACACATAATTAGCAGAATATCTTTTTCTTCTGCTAAACCAGATTTGAATACTTTGGTCATAGTTTTCATATGAATTACATATCAAAATATTCTTCCTACTCATAAAATTGAAAGAAATACATTTAACAGCATGTTAATTTCTTAACATTGAAATTAAAGATAAAAAAAAGCCACACACACACATAAACTGAAAAAAAGGCAAAAACTCAGTAGATTCAGGTATGTTGCCTCAGGATCCAAGAATGTGGACATGGATTTTATGGCACTTCACCAAGCGCTATCACCGAATCATTCTCATTATTAAAAAAAAAATTCTCAATTGTTCAGATATTTTTGTGAAAGAGTTCTGGTCCATCTAAAGGTCAAAAGTAGATGTAATGTTAACTAATTCAGCTTTTACCAATTAACAGACTCAAGGTGAAAGAGATGACTTGTATAAGAAGTTTGTGAAAGCCATCCATGAAGTACAACAGAAGAGTAACTTTAAGAACCTGCTGCTGGAGAAGAAACTGGGGGCCCTGGCTGACACTTTGGAGAAGAAGGAGGCACAGCTGAATGAAGTGTTATCTGCCTCTAACCTCGACCCTACAGCACTCACTGTGGTCACACGCAAACTTGAGGTAGCTATAATTTGCGAGACCTACATGTTTATTTACACAGGAATTTTTCTATAATTGTTTTATCACAACTACAAATGGAACTTTTGACTTGATTTCAGTATCACTTGACAATGTATACATATTATTTTTATTACAGGATGTGCTGGATTCCAAGAACAGTGCTATCAAAGACCTGCAATATGAGTTGGCAAGGGTATGCAAGGTATGTAAAGCTGCTTGTATACTGGTATTGAAAGATTTCATAAAAATGTCAATGCCATAATTTTCATTGTTTTCATTATGTGACAGATGATATTTGTTTTAGATAGTGTTTGTTTCACTAACTAGGTAATTGCTTGACATCATTTAATTTTATTAAATAAAACAGATGCAATTTAACAGGATTAATGATATTTTCCATTTTCACATTAATTATATTGATATATTGAAACTTGACAATTTGTAAGATAACTCTATATATTGAAAGATATTTGCATTCTGCTTACTTTCACATTTGTCCATTTGATCATAATGCTTTTGTGCTGTAAGCTCTTTTGAGTTGTTTCCCTTTGACTTGAATTCAACAAAGTCTAAATCACATTAAAAGTATTATTACGGCATAAAATGGAATGGGCCAGTAGAATGTATCAATACAGGACTTGGAAGTCTTTGTTGAAGACCACTAGAAAGCAGAATTATATCCGAATGTATTTTATGATAAATAACACTGGACAAACTGGTCTAACTGATGTGAACACCCAAAGAATCCTATTTCACCCAAACAAAAGTATAAGTATAGTTCATGTGTTTTTTTTTTTTTCCATTAATAAAGGCTCACAATGACTTGCTGAGAACATACGAGGCAAAACTGATGCAGTTTGGTATACCTACAGAAGAACTGGGCTTCAAACCACTAGAAAGTACTGTTGGAGGGCAAGCATTAGGCCAGGGACCTGCTGGACTGGTGTCTGCCCCATCGTAGCATTCACTTCACATATTCTGAACATTCCAAAAACGTTTTGTGTCTCTCCGTCCATTTGAAATCATGCAGGCTTTAAATTACCTAAATTATTTAAGAAAATTCATAAAGGAATCATTTCATTTGTACAATGAAAATTATTGAAGTTTTGAAAAATCCACTGACAACATAGACTTTCATTGTCAAAAATTCTCGTTATGAATGCATAACTGTTTAAAGTCAGAATTTGCTGAGGGAAGGAGATTATTTTAAGGAACAAACTTTCATGGATATGGTCTCAAAAAATGATGGATTATTTTGTATATGGTTGAAGGAGCAGCTAGTGTGAACTTATCTGCGCTGGTCTGTCTGTATACTACAAAGAGAACATGACTTACATATCCTTGTGACTGAAAACAAGTCACTCAGAAAACAATTTGTTATAAAACAACCATTATTTATTAAGGCTTTATTTTGTAAATACTTTTTGTACAGCCACCGATCATTTAATTATCTGTGATAGCTACACTGTAAATGTACATAGTAAAATAACTAGTAATCCAATGTTTACTGTACAAAAAAAAAATTAAAAAAATATGCTGAACTAAGTGATTGCTTTATGTTTCAGTTGAACTTCTGAAAGGAATTAGTTGTCTGTACTTCTGTGTAATGAAGGTATTTCAACCCAGTCACTTTTCTGTCAATCTGATTAATTAGTCCCCAACTTTGGAATGGGGAGGGGACTTTTTTTTTGTTTTTTTTTTTTTTTTTGTGTGTTTTTTTTTTTTATATCTGCCTGTCCTTCAGATATCTTGTCTGGGCTCAGTCTTCCACACTACTTTTCTGAAACTTCATACTTTGGGTATGGGTACACCTTGGTAAAACAGTATGTCATGTATCCAACAAAGGTCAGTCTGATCTACATTTTGACCTTTGATTACATCTGTGTTGTGAATGGCTTTGCCTTGTGTTTTGACCTTAAGATACTTCAGATTTATTTTTACGATACTGTATTTTCAATTTCCAATAACAATAATATTTAATATACTGTTGACCAGATTTTTACCAGATTGTACCAAGGAATGGGTGAAACCATAAATTCAAATTAGTACCATTGTCATAGTGAATAAAACCCAACAAACAAACAAATTTATATAAAGTTACAAAGATAGCTATAAACGTACAGAATCTTGATTAAACTCCATTTGATAAAAGGATGGTAAGTGTAACGAAAGTCCTTATTTTTGAGAATGTAGTTAACACCAGACTGTCTTATCCTACCCTCATGGTAGGAGTAAGGGCTACCAATATTCTTCAAAACAATTACCTTGACTCTTTGGTCATAATATTAGATGAGGGCTACGGACTCGGTTCAAATGAAAGACCCCTGAGATTCAATGTGTGAAAGATTTAAACAGTTTCTCTATAACCAAGATTCCCAGGTTCAAACTGTTGGACTTGTAGCATGGTTGGATGAGTGATATTGGCCTACTTCCAAGGGATATTGACCTACTTCCAAGGTTACATTGGCTGAATGTGTAAAGTATCTCTTGCAGAAGGTTATCACAAGTTTAATGGGGTTGATTCTATAAAAGATACATAATTATTATTTGTAATCAATAATCCTCTAAACAGACCTGGTCGTGTCCATATCTACCTAAAGCATAACAAGTTCTCCGGTCCCAGTGATTTCACACTCCAGAGCTCTGATATTTTTTTAATTTATTTTTGATGATGAATTTTAATAGACCAAATGTTGTTACAGAACAGTCTATTTGACTTATTTAATAGACCAAAAATAACATGGCTGTGGTTTTTCTCACGTCCCGTGGTCATTAAAAATTCAACTGCTGATTCTTAAAACTGGTCACATTACACAATGTAATGATAAAAATCTTTACCCAATTGCTCTCACAAACTTAAAATAGCTCCCGTGAATCCAAGAACTCTTTACCGCCATTACTCAATATAGCTCCAATGAATTTAAGAAATCCCTACCTCCATTACTTAGAATAGCTCCCATGAATCCTAGAAAACCCTGCCTCCATTACATGAAATGGTACCAGTTAATGAAGAAATCTTGACCACTATTATATCAATGAGGTCCCTGTGAATACTATAAATCACAGCCTCCATTTCTTAATAAAGAAATCATAACTTTTATTACTAAAAATGGCAACATTTATCTTAATCTCCGTTTCCTTAAAAGCGGTTCCCTTAATTAGGAATCCTTAACTTCCTTTACTTGACAATTATTACAAGCAATGTTTTTATTATGGTTTTTTTTTTCAAACTGCTTCCTACATTACAAGAACACCAGACAGCATACACAGTCGCTTTCACACAAAATCCAGATCATCATCATCATCATCATCATCATCATTCCACACATTCATACTGGTATGTAATTACGGGTATGTATGATTACCTCATTTTCATTTCAAAATTACACACATCCATAATGTCAATAGTGTCACTCATATTACACACACATCCACACACTTACCTTCACACATATACAAACACACATCATAAATACATGTACACACATTTCAGAAAAAGGGGGAGATAAGTATAGCCAAGGCGGGAAGAGAAAGAGAAAGAAATTAGAGAGGAACGGTTTCATGGTATATATTAAAATGGACAAAACAGTGAGCTAATCGGGCGAAACCAGGGTTAAAAAGAAACATAAAAAAGTATTCAAAGTTGCTAACTAGAACCAAAATCATAAATTTGAAGCATTTATATAAGGGTTATTTGTAATGTTAATATTGATAATAACAAAAATGAAACAAAAGATATTGGGATTACATCATAATTCCAACTGATATTTCCATTTTCTCCAACATTTTCAAAATATCCTTTAATCAGCTGTCATCTATTGTTATTTACAAATTTTTGAACCAGGAAATTATCTTTTTTAAAATCGATGAGTGCATTGAGTATTAGGGATTTGCTGAGGCATCTAGTTTTGTAGATCTATTTTTTTTATATATGTATAACTCTAAACTGGAATCGCTGTAGTTTTGAAATATTAGCGACTGAAAAAGGACTCTAAATATCTTGGCCCATCTTTCTGCATCAAAGTCAAAATCCTGGTTTCACTTTCTGATCCCAGTTGGAGTGATAATGTATTTATAAAAATCTCTTGATCCTCTTAAACTCATGAATTACCTGGAATCTTAATCTGCATTAATTCAAGTACTTGAGACGTTACTCTCTAATTTTTCTAAGAATAGATGTCGTGAATACCAGAAATTGACGTCTTTCCTCTTTAAAGACAAATTCAAATTGGAAGCTCTAGTTGTTATAGATCTGACGGATACTGATGAATACAATCAAATGGATTAGTAATCAATCGCATTAAGACAGGTCCAAAACAAAGAAGTGTGTCTGCCTGAAGAATAAATCGTACAAGGAACAAACAAAATAACAAAAGCAAGAACATACCTACATATCATCATAATCATAATCCAAACTCAAATTCAATAAAACTAGGCAAAATATGAACAAAAAAAAAAGATTTACATGGTGGCGTCTGGAAAGCGCAAGGAGAATAAGTCCTTGTGTTACGGAAGAGTAAGCGTCTTCTGCTTTATCGATGACGTCTGCCATGTAAATCCTGGTCAATTCAAGTCAGTAATGGCTGGTTTTCACAGGAAAACAAGGTACGCAACAACTCGGAACACGGCGGCAAATTAACGAGCATCAAACGCTCCATTTTTCATATCGCACAAAGACATAGAATATTTCTCAATGAGATCACAGTGGCCATTGTAAACTTTCCCCATAATTTTCATCAACCTGCTTCTTTTAAACCTGAGATTGTCCCTGAGCTGATGAATTCTCGTGATAAAGGGGACATGTCCTTGAATATCGAATCAACTGAAACACTATAGGTTAGGGATGTACGCTTGTTGCTATCCAGAAATGGAAATTTCAACGGAGGGAAATTGAAAGCAACACTCTTATCATACATTTGGAGGAAATCTGACGGTTTTGTTGTAGGCAAAGATCGTGATAAGCGGCTGTTGTAGAAGTCTGTCGTGTCATTGATATCCAATTCTGGTGGATATATACGATGGACATGGTCAATAAAGACACGTCATCAATGTATCTGATAGTGAAATTAAACGACTTTTCCAGGTCTTTGTGACCTGTTTTGATAAGCTCTTCGAGAAATTCAACCTCGTACGAAAACAAAAACACGCCAGCCAACAGTAGATAAGTAGGCCGATACTATTTTCAGATAACTTTATTATCCAAAATGATGGAGGTCTGAAAACAAAAACATAAAATCAACTATCTGTTGGTAAGACATAAGTAATAGACTAACAAGTAAATACATAATCCTCTAAACAGAGGGACAGTTAAGTATCCATATGTATGCCAATGGTCTGTTGGAAGATCGTGCCACCAAACTCGACGAATATGTTTTCAACTAGAAACTAGAAGATTGTAATTTCGTTCTCAATATATTTTTTATTTGATTTGGACGTGTTTTTAACGAAATACGCCTCAGTATAGTTCATAACCGTTTATTTGTATCGCCATACATTTCAGTGTTTTGTTAAATTCGATGAAACTGGGGCAAATTATAAACAAAAGAAAGATTTGCTCGCAAACCACCAGGTATTCCGGAAGAGGAAGAATCTTTTTCTTCATCGACGACACCCGCCATATAAATGTTCATAGCAATAAAGAAGTACATGTGTAATTAAATCTGTATCGTGTAAAGCGATAAATACTACACAATTTACCCCGGAAGTTGTTGGCCAACAGTTTGATGTGCGTTTCACCTATATTTAACGTTTACCTCGATCGTTTCCTCCAGGATGATAGCTAACCATTCAAGCAATGTGTATATTACATAGCTAGACTCTAGACTGTAAAACGTATTTATTTGTGTTACCCGGGAAAAAAATATGAGAAATTAGACCCCTTCCGAAACACAACATTTCCTGTCTAATATCAATAACACTTGAACGCAATATGCAAATGACCAAATATCATTCTCCTGTGACTTTCGGCCACTTAAAAAGTCATTTAAAGATTTGAGCAAAATTGATCCCTGTTACATCGAAAAAGGTACAAAGTCATTGAAATGATAAAACCTGATAATTTTCAAATTTGGCCCCCACCGAGAATCGTGGTTACGTTACAAATGTTTAGGACGGTAGATTCAGGACGATTTATATATATATATATATATATTATCTGCACAATTGATGACCATTGAGTTAGAAGAGGATTTGTTCAGAGACATATATTCTCTTTTCTTATTGTGCTTTCTCTTTAGATATCAAATTCAAACTTTTTTCGACAGTGAAGGCCGAACTACGCGAACATACGAGTAATCGTTTACACAGTAACGTGTTGGGAGTTTCCAACCATTCGACAATTTCTTTGTTATGTCATTTTACATTTATAAATAGGTGATCACACCACTCCTGACGCCACTGCTAAAACTGATACTTATTTACAGATTTACTTCAAGATATTGTATGGCTTATTGCCAGCCGGAACTTGGAGTTATGATGATATAAAGATAAACATACC